CAATTCGACGAGAAACCAAAAAACACATTTACATTAGTATAGTCCAAAGTATTACAATTTATGGTTAGGAAGTATGGGACGTCACCAAAGCTAATAGAAACAAAAAGAAATTTATTAAAAATTCTTTATAAAGGTATGTCATTACTAAGAGTGCTTATGATAAATTAGGCGTTACCAGTAAGCAGCATTATCAGTGACTTCTTTGGTCTGAGTATTTTGATCACTACAATATTGTATGTACATAAAAAAAGAGCTTTATATGTTAAGAATATCGTGTATATGCCTTTTCTATATTAAAGTATATGGTAATCTTAAAAGTAATTAATTAAATTATTGCAGGACAACTGTTTTAGTTGGAACTAAAATCTTATCACTTTCATGTCAGTTGTAATATGTATACAATAAATAAGCACGTTTAGAAAGCGTATTACTTTTTTATAGCTAAATATAATTAATCTCGAATGTGTTAATGCAAATGAGTGATACTATTATACTAAATGTAAACCAAAAGTTTTATCCAAAGAACTGTCAAAGTTGTGCATAGGTTACCAACTTGGAACTGTATTGTATTAAAAGAGAATATAGAGGCATATGCATCTATATACTTTGATACTAATTTACAATGTGCTGCTATGACGTGCGTCTCGCAACGTTGCCATTTTTATTCGAGAAAAACACTTGTTTTTAAACATTAAAATCTTTGTAGCATCATGTTCTGAACAAACTACCTTTTTAGTGGATACCTTTGGTTTTAGTTAATAATGATTCTTATAACATCATAGTACACTTAAGTTGTTTAATTCTCATTTCATGCATATTTTTGTAGCGTATCATGGACAGTTGCAGACGCTAGCATCCTAGTACGTTGGTATCCATTTTTGTATTCTTTGGAAATTATATGCTTACTCCTTTATTTGCCTGCATGTATCACTGATTTGTCATTGATCTATCGGGCAATTATGTACTTGATTAAGACGTAATTTAATAAATTTACTACCAGCTGTAAAATTTGTCCAAGTGAATACTACCGATAGAATTCTGCGGAGCAACTCAATAATACTAACATGGATTTTATTGTTTTATCCTAAGGTTTTTTGTTGATAAATCTAACACGTCACAATCTAAGTTAGTGACAAGGATTTATTTGTGCCCACTGTAAATAAAGGTGAACAAATGTACTAAGCAAATGAACCGGTTTATTATCGTACCACTTTAACGCTGTCAGCTGGATTTACTTGCAGTACAGACAGTTTCAGTGTGACCGTCTTGCTGTAATTCAAGATATTCACGAATGGTTCGTTTTCGATTCTAATAGAACATAGAAAAGTACAACAATCCCTCGTTAGTTACGAAAACTCATCTCCTCTAATGCTTTTCTCAAGTAAAGGAACCTAATTAGGCTTAGTGAGATTGCCGCAGAATATTTTTTTTTCGACATATTTGGTCTACGGACTTTATTATGTACTAAAAATTTTACAATTGGTTTTATATTTTTTACAATCTAGTCTTTAACGAATAGAGCCTAAGGATTACTTAAATAACTGACCAATTCACTAATTTCATACATTTCTACTTATTATATGAAAGTTAAGATAAATGTAAAATAAGATCTACCAAATTATAATTTTTTAAGACGCGAGCAATAATAACGTATATCATTATTTGGTAATCGCTTTGATTGTTGTTCCTTTTGCGTATTGTACGGCACAATAGATTTATTATTTGGGACAATTTTGTTTTGCATACGCTGTAAAGTTGTTATTAAAGTTTTTATTGTATCTAAATGTTGTTTTATTTTCGTTTGATATATAGTGTTTACACTGTACAGCAGTAGTTATTAACAGGCGGGGCGCACCGCCTGAGGGGGCATGAGAGAATTTCATGGGAGGCGTGAGGCTACAAAGAAAAAAAAATAATAATTAAAAAATATATATTTTGTTAAAAAGCAAAATATTTTATATTTCGTATTTTTATTTTGTTTAGAAATATTTCTTTATTTAAACGTGATTAAAATCGTTTTACTCAAAACACACAGCAAGAGTTAAACATGATAGTCTTTGGTCAGCAGCCCAATGTATAAACTATTCTTTGAATAATTTCCCTTAAAAAATAACTATGTTAAGACATTCATAATATAGACAATAAATCAATCATCCTATAAGCAGTAAGATAAACAATCTATAGTTATGCTATGTAATATTTGCTGCATTGAATCTGCATATATAAAGTAAAAATATCCTTTTTTCCTTTTCTTCCCTTTCCATGTTCTTATATCTGTTGAACCAAAATACTTGACAACATTCCAGTAGAGTATACAAATAAAAACTTAATATTTAATAGTAACAATAATATACTTGATTATAAAAATGAAATCTATAAAATGTTTTAGTTAATTTTACTATATAATTGTAGGTAACCCATATTTACATACCGATATTTGTACTTGCTTCAAATTGATTTGCTTCAAGAATTTATATAATAATGAACGACACATATTTTGGAAGATCTGAGCGGTTGTTAATTTCACTTAAAATTTTACCTAAAGTGAGTATTTCATTCTTGAAAAAGAAGCTGTGTACTATCTGTCGTATAGATATAGATGTTTTAACTCTTTCATCCTATGTTGCAAGAATATGAGGTCAACCTTCAATATTTTTAGGACATTTTACTGCTCCAGTCTGCTTATATTCTTTAATTGTTCTAAATTCTATTGTTGTAAATAGTTGAATTCGCAACATCTAAAATTAGCACATTACTTTAGTAAGTATTGATTTTAATAATAACTATTCTGTAAAACTAACCTGCTGCCTGTTTTATCTTTACTGCCGTGGCTGTTATTTTTATTCTAGAATTATCAATTTTCATGTTTGTACATGTTTATAGTACATTATTTCTCATTTGATTATAAATGATCCATAAATCTACTCGGCGTTTTTAAGGTGGAGAAGAATAATTACCACTAGTACTTGGCGTTGAATCCATATTGTTATCTTAATAACACTAATATGTCGCTAAATAGTTCTGAAAAGAACTGTTTTTTATATAAATGCAAACGAAAAATCTACAGATGTAAGAATTTTTTTTTTTTGTGTGTGTTTTGGCTTGGACAATTGTCATTCAGCCAGTCTCAATCAAGATAAGTTTATTAATGTAGTGTGTGTGTGTGTGTGTGTGTATGTGTGTGTGTGTGTGTGTGTGTGTGTGTGTGTGTGTGTGTGTGTTTGTGTGTGTAGAGTAATTGTCTTGATACTTAGCAAAGTCGACGTCATTGTCTTTGCTAAGAGACGCTAATTGTATCCGAACGTCTGCGGTCCCTCCGGTGTGTACCGATCACACAAGGATAGAAATTATTTTCATTTATTAATTTTTTTAATAAACGAAAATTTCCACCCATGTGGGATTCGAACTCACGACCTTTAGGTTTAAAGGCAGGCGCTCTTACCACTGAGCCACAGAGGGGGTTCAGATGTAAGAAATAACACAGAAAATACAAAAAATTGTCGATATAAATTTTGAATTTTAAAATTTTACAAATGTCAATATGTCATAATTTAGTGGAGTAAACTTGCCTGCGCTTCGACCAATTACAAACAAGCATTATGACGCGGAAAATTTGAATTACTCCTGGTTTAAAAACAGACCATAGTATCAATGTTAAGCTTCAGCTATTCCGGTATCTAGTGATAATGATTCCTAAAATTATAGCCTGGGTTATGGAAAATTGCAAGAACTGTTTAGGCAGCTTAAAAGCTACATTTACATAAGATAAATTACCATCGAGTTAGAATCTATTTATTGTTAGAATTTATTTCTAGAGATTCTAACTCGATGTAAATTACATATCAAGGTAGGCAACCCGTCATACGTAGATCTTACATCATACCTATTTGAAAATGTTTACATAAATCTGTTAAAATTGAAGTTTACAGCATGTAATTAGTTCACATATACATCTCAGCCCCCACTATATAATGGCAAATTACAAGAACTTTTATTTTTAAAAGAATAGAATTCCGAAGAGCGATATAAGTGGTTAACTTTATAATACTACACGTTTCTTTGTACCCGTAGAAGAATACGAATAACAAATCCGTTCAGTTAAATAAAAAGAAGACTGACTTACTGTATTTCCACAGCAGATTGTTCTATACTTTGGTTTATTTAGCAAATCTCTAATTTTCGTTGAGAAAATTTATCTTCTAATGATCTTTCAAAATCTCTTTAAAATGTATTGCAATACTATCTTTAGCAAATTCATAAAAAAATTAACTAACCTTTTATATTGACGTTCTTGATTTTCTTTTGTTTTTGTAAGTAAGATGAAAATAACTATTATATTTTTAATTTTTGCATGAAGGCATAAACGCTCATTAGATATTGCCAGTGTCAATTTTCTATTCCATCAAAATTATTTGTCTTGATTTTATTAATGGTGCTTGTAGATGGCTATGAGGCATTGGCATACGAGTTGAAGTAATGGCTTCTTAAATTGTTAAAACAGATTGTTAACACGATGGCAAATATTTCAAATAGTATCAGCCACTTTCTAGAAAAGGTAGTGTACAGCTAATAATTAATATAACATTCATTTCTTTTAGTATCATTAATACTTTTAAAATTAATCATTACAATCGTTTTAATCCAAGTTTATTTTTGAAGTCATTTATTTTTCTTTCGAGAAGTTGTTCTTGCTAAAATTATGTGTCAAAAAATTCTTTAATTATAATTTTGGGAGTAAAATCAAGGATAAGTGATTTAAAAAAAACTTGTAAAAACCTGCACAAATGGTATATAATTAGATTTGTTTAAAATCAATTTCTGAAAAAATGATAAAAGGAGCATAATATAATATAATATATTTATTTATATAATTGAATTTAATCTCATAAAATAACTTTTTTATAAAAATATGGTGTATTATTTATATCGCGCAGTTTTCTATGATTTTTAATTTTGAAATAATTGAAACACTCGCTAGATGCCGCTAAATGACATTTTTAATTTCATCTTCCCATTTATTAAACCGGTAGTAGAGCCTTTTCCGTGAATTTGATAAACTCTTATATTAATCTGTATGATTGTTTAACACCATGGCAAGTGTTTCAAATAGAATCAGCAATCTGCTGGAAAAGGTACTAGGTATCTAAATTAAGATAGTTGTTAGTAGAAGCGTATTACATTTTAACATAACCTGATATTATTATCAATAATGGTTTTGAATTAACCATCCCAGCTATTTATAAGTACATATTTAATGTGTAAGCTACTCCAATTATGTTTTATGCATTCCACAGTATACAACAGATTACTTTTAAATATTCCTGTTCGAATTTCAGAAGTATTCTTAGGAATAATCTTAGCCATCTAAATTGTGTTTCTTAGCTGACAGTATTCATTGTTCCAGTAGGTACTTAGTCTATCTAAATTATTAATGCTTTCCTTAAGTTAATTTTTGTTTCTTGCATTCACAATATTGAACAATTGTTCAATATTTTTTGGTGGAGGTAATCATTTTGGATCTGTGTGCTTTGTTTTAATATAAGTAATTAGTATTAGTCAAAAATCGTCATTACTTTCTCTTGTTATTAGCTTTTTATAATATCTTTATTGGCCTTTGATCTCATGTGACTTCTTTTAATGCCTTCCATTTTTGCATTCACATGTTGAAGAGGATGGAACATAACACATGTATTGGTGATAAAAGGCATCTAGGTGGTTTCACGCATATGTTACAAAATGCAGATGAGTTCTTACTTCATCAACCTTTACAAGAATCTAACTGTTGTCTTGTAGGTTAGTGGTTGATGACACTGATTTTGCTCACATGTTATTTTCAAATGAAAGAAAGAAATCCATAGTGTGTAGGTATCTTTTTCTTCTAGTGTGTATCCTTTCAGATATTGATAACCATCAAAAGAATTTATGCATTATTCACAATTGTTTTAAACAACATGAGAGGTCCACGATATTTTAAATGGCATCAATATAACCACATCTCAAATGTTGAATTTGTTTGCATGTAACTTCTTTGCACAATACTCATAATTTTAGTAGTCATAGGTAAATTGTTCGTCAACAGAACAGGACTGGCCTGTTCATAACACTGTTTATGACAAATTAGATGCTAGTTTATAAAAGGTATCAGGTACTTTACAGTTACTATACAACTTATTACAATGGATAGCATACTGAAGAAGAAACTAAGCAGATTGGTAGAATCATTGATGCAAGGATATTGAAACTGAATAGGAAGGCAGCATTGTTAAAACATCTAATGAGAGTGATAAGACCAAAAATTCTCTATGGCAGTGAAGCATGGTTGATAGAACTGACAGAGAAACAATTTGAAGAAATCTTAAAAAGAAAAGATCTGGATAAGAAGAAATAATGAGAAACTCCAACTCCATTTAATGAGCCAATCATTATATTTGAAATATCAATTGTTACATCTATAATTAATTTAAAATGATTTTTAATTCTTTTACAGATGACCTCATCAGACAAAGATTTTCGATTTATGGCAACAAATGACTTAATGATAGTACTTCAAACAGGAAATGTTTTACTAGATACACATACTGAAAAAAAAGTGATACTTATGTTGCTAAGCCTTCTCGAAGATCAAAATGGTGAAGTCCAAAATCTGGCCATTAAATGGTAAGTTTTTTAGTAATAGGATGAACTAAAAACATAGCTGAGTAATATACTCCTGACAAGTTAGAGTGAATGACACTGTTTTTATCATATTTTTTTCACTTTTGTGATATTTAGATCCATTAGGATACCCACTCACCTAACTATGATCAATGACTATGTGGAATGGCAATAAGTTGTGCAGTCAGTCAAGACCCACCTTGCTTTGCAGTACTACGAGAAGAAGTAAATATTTAAAAGTATCAATTAATGTACTTAATTGTATCAAATGTATTTGCTGGCGATTTTAGAAGACTAATTTAGAAATATATAAAGAAGTACTAAATAAAAATGAAATTAAATTTAAATATTAACAAACCAAAGGTTATGCAGATAGCAGAGGAAAGGGGAGAACTTTGAAATAGGCATTGAAGGAACAAGTAGACCAATTTAAAACTCTTATATACATAAAAGTAATAACGGAAGAAAAAATATTTCTAGAAAAAGTCAACAGCAGAGTGGCAAAAACGCTACAACTATATCATGGAATGAACAGAAAATTTATCGGCAGAAAATAAATATGACGGAATAAAAAAATTAAAGTTTTTTAAGCAGTTTTCTATTAGAAATATCTAGTTTTATTTTATTAAGGAACTGTTCCTCCCTTTATTTATCCTTTGAAATACCTTAACTTTTTTAAATTCTTTTTAGCTTGGATCTTTTAGTTACCAAAGTCAAAGAACCTCAAGTAGAAGCTATAGTTCTACCATTGTGTGCAAATATGATAGCTGGTAAAGAGCAGTTAAGAGATATTTCAAGTATTGTTTTAAAAACTGTCATTTTCACACTTTCTCAAACACAAAAAAATTTATCTCATAGCATTGTTAAGAAAATGGCAGAATCTTTGACTAGTGCTATTGAAAATGTAAGTATGTTTTTTATTATGATTCTTTTTTTCTTTAAAGGAATGATGAAATAGAATGAATGATTATGTGTTGACAAATTTATTCTTTTTTAAGTAGACTTTGTATAATTTTATATATAATTTAATATAAACATCATCCAAGTCTATGCTCCAACTGCAGACAAAGGGGAGGAAGAAGCAATTGAGTTCTATCCGAACATCAACAGTATCATACAGAAAATTCCTTGACAGGAAATTCTCATATGGGCAATTTTAATGCCAAGATTGAAGCTGGAGATAAGACACAGTCCATTGGCAAGCTGTACACACATGGAAATTCCCTCAAGACAGACCCAGAAGAATTGTTAGGAATTTTAGTAAATAAAAGATTACATATGTATATTAGTAAACAGCTTTACATATGTCAAGACTTATCCTGGAGCAGACTTGGAGACAGACCACGTTCCACTGGTGGGAGTATTTCGAGTCAAACTCAAAACAAATTCCTCTCGGAATCTGGTTCAATACAACATATGTGCAGCTTTTCCTCGCTGCTGCAGATAAGATAACGATTGCCATGATGCTCGCCAACATTCTTAACGGATAGCTACATCAAAAAGTAAAAGAAGTGGACTTTTACTTTCTAAATTGGAAAAAAGACAGTTTTTAAATATTAAACAAACAAAATATTATATTTATGGTCATAATTCTTTATATTCATTGGTAAGAAGGTTTGGGGTAAACAAAAAATATATTCTTTACACTTTAAAATTGTTATTCACCATATGGTGCTTTTCAATTTGGAAGACACTTTTCTGCCTTACTGTAATAATCTTATTTTAATTCCAACAGGAAAAAAAAGTTTGAACAGCGTAGTGATTTTGTTTTGTTTTATTAAGACTTTTATTAATATTCAAAAATAATTGCAGGATGATGTATCTATTCAACTACGAGTACTGGATATTATAACAGATCTGTTAGTGCGCTTTGGTCCGGCTTTGCAAGAATTCCACAGTTCCATTATCAAAGCTCTTCTTCCACAATTGCGATCCCAACGTCAAGCTGTCAGAAAGCGCACAATTACAGTCTGTAGCAACTTGGTACTTTCTTGCAACAAAACTATATACACTAAATTAGTCGACCATTTGTATAAAAGGTTGTGTTCTAACAAAAATAGTTCGCAAGTTAAAACTTACATTCAGTGTGCCTCTGCTGTTTGGTGAGTAAATCTAGTATTATATTAACATTTTTGTGTGAAGGTTTATGTCCCAAATAACAGAAACTATACTTATAATTCACATTAAGAACGTTTGGCTGCAGATCAGTATTGCCCAAAATCTGGGCAATAAATAATTTAATAACATAACATAACAATATCTTTATTTTTAGAGAATAATATACATTCCGTGAACATAAAATTATTTAAAAAAAAAACAGTGTCACAAACGAAAATATTATTTACTTATTCCTAACCGTTACATATACAAATAGTCCTCCACAGAATATGGCTCAAGAGCTAATTTAAATATTTGATGTTTTTACAAACGTAATCTTTCCTCCCTTTTAATAGGTTCGGGCAGTTCATTAAACAATTTGATGCAGCAATAAAGAGCGTTTTTTTCTGTTATACTTAACCTGTGTATTGGAATTTTATAATTATATAACCTGGTATTTACTATACTATTGGGCTCACAGTTCCTAAAGAGTATTTTATTTTTATATAGAAAAAGTAAGCATTCTTGAATAAATACAGTGTAAACTTTTAAAATATTATTACTCCTAAAATGCCCTCTACATGATTCCCTATTATAACTCTGATTATTTTTTTCTGAACCAGAAATACATTATTTATGTCCCTACTGTGGCCAAAATGTATTAGACCATATCTAAATTTTGCTTCAAAATTAGCGTGATACACTGTTTTTAATGAGTTACTATTCATGTATTTTTTTAGAACTCTAAAGCTGTAAATCACTTTACTTAAAGACATACATAACTGGTCAACATGTTTATCCCAACATAAAAAACTGTCAATATATAATCCTAAAAATTTGGTACTGCTGCTAATATTTAAATTATTTACAATAATACTGTTTGGCATATCTGAATGTGCATAATTTGTCTGAATATACAAATGAAAATTGACTAAAAAAATGTGTATTTCTATTTAAAAAATATCATGCAAAACATAATTTTGTTGCATTAGTACTAATAATTCGTATTTTATACTGTGAAAATCAATGAAAAACAAAAAATAATTCAATACTCATTTTGGTGATCCTATAATAAATATTTTTTATCGTAGCCGTCAATCTGGACCTAAATTTGGAGAACACCTTGATAAATTCGTACTGTTGACCCTAGAATACTGTGATACTGAAGATGATGAACTTCTAGAGTGTTGTTTACAAGCTCTAGCAAACTTTATTACCACGTGCCCCAAAGAAATGACAAAGAATATCCATATGGTAAGCATGTTTAAACTAATAATTATAACCTGACATAAAAACAAGATTTGTGTACTAAATGAATTGCTTTAACTACTAAATTTGTTAATATTAACTCTAGAGTTTTACCTCTTATAACTAAAATCTAAAGTTTACCCATTTGTATCCACAAACAGTAAAGACCGGAATATAGACAACAAAAGTTCAAATTTTTCCCACTTAAAAAGTTAAGCATTGTGTTCATGAATAATCAAATCAATATTTTTTGTTTAAACGTTATTATTCTTTTAAACATAGTTAAGCATCTGGCTAATAGTTCATTTTGGTAGGTTATAAACGTGTCATTGAAGTATCTTGTCTATGATCCCAACTACATCGATGAAAACGCACCAGAAGACAATTGTAGCGACGAAAATGAAGATGAGTACAGTGACGATGACGATATGAGCTGGAAAGTGAGAAAATCGGCTGCAAAATGTTTGGAATCGATTATTATAACCAGACGCGAATTAATTAATGAATTCTACAAAACTCTGTCACCAGTTCTAATTTCTAGATTTAAGGGTAAGTCAGGATTTTATTTTATATTATTTATTTTTTATGAAGAGATTTGTACAAAGTACTAGTCAAAAGTCGTTCCCCCCTTGTATCTTTTGAACGGTTATTGTTATAATAGTGAAATTTCGAGGTAGGTAATAAACAGATGTAGGCTTCTCAACTAGACATAACAGGTGACGTAATAATGACAGATGACGTTACAGCGTCACTGTAACAGACAATTTTAAATGGGACCTTATGGCAAGTGATACCTCTTTTGAAAGGTATTGAAAATAACCATTCAATCATACTAAGTTTATTTGAATTTAGGCTCATTTTGATGAATAAATTAAATTAATACAAAAATTGTATAGACATAAGTGCCCAAGAATGTCTCAAACGAGACACCCGTAGGGCAAAAGTCTTTATTTTATCAGACAGCCAAGCCGCCTTAAAGGCTCTAAAGTCATTTAAATGTGAGTCAAAGTTGGTTTGGGACTGTAAACAATCTCTCAAGAAGCTGATGGAACGCAACAATGTAACTGTGATGTGGATGCCAGGTCACAAGGGAATTGCAGTAAATGAAGAAGCTGACAGCCTCGCAAAAGAAGGAGCTAATACCCCATTCCAGGGTCAGGCACCCTTCTGTGGACTATCGAAAAGCCACATCAGAGAGGAACTCCGTACCTGGGAACTCAATCAACTAAGATCATATTGGTCACACCAGGACAAAGGCAAGCAAAAAGGCTCATAGAAGTGTCGCCTACTGCAACAAGCCGCCTTCTCGAAATGAGTAAAAAGATATCAAAACGGTCACTGGCCTTTTCACTAGTCACTGCCTTCTGAGATATCATCTCAAGAAGATGGGCAAATCAGATAGTGAGAACTGTCGTTTCTGTCACAATGAAAAAGAAATGGCATACATACTATGCAACTGCGTAGCACTGTTCTGCAAACGACTAAAATTCCTAGGAGAGGTCAGTCTGGCGTCCTCTGGCATAGGAAACAAGTCACCTAGGAAGCTAATCAACTTCATCAGAAGTATTGGCATTCTGGAGTTTAACTAGATTAAGGTATGCACAAAAGATCTCTATAGGTCGAAGTGCGGTGAGGCCGCATGGCCTTAACGACCTCATATAATCTAATCTAAGTGTTCAAAATGTGCTTTATCTACTTCCTGATAGTAATTCATCCTATTTTTAAACTCTTCCGTACTCGTTCAAATGTATCGGGGGAAATTGCCCTACATTCTTCAACAATTCGTTGTTTCAGAAGGTCAATATTGTCGGATGTTGTAGCGTAAACTTGAGATTTCAAGTATCCCCACAGAAAAAAATCTTACGGTGTTAGGTCCGGTGACCGAGCTGGCCATTCTATCGAACCTCGTTGTCCAATCCATCTACCACGATTTGTCTCATCCGGGTAACGTCTTACTGCACCATAATGGTGTGCAGGAGAACCATCTTGTTGAAACGTTATTTCCAAGTTACCGAATGCCGAAGTTTCTAATAGCTTCAGAACTATATAAATACTTTTTATTATGATTTCAGAATGTTAATATATTTGTGTTATTTATAGAGAGAGAAGAAAACGTAAGATCTGATATATTCCATGCCTACATATCGCTTCTTAAAGAAACAAAAGGCGAAACTAATGTAAATCATAACACCATGCTTATAGACGATGAAGAAGAATCCTCCATATCTCTTCTACAGCAACAAATCGAACCATTAGTTAAGGCTGTACAGGCGCAGTTGCGAACAAAAAGTCTTAAAACCAGACAAGATTGCTTCCACTTACTAAAAGAGTTATGTGTAGTACTTCCAGGTGCATTGACTAATTATATTGGAGAATTGATCCCCGGCATACTTTTTTCCTTTAAAGAAAATAGTGCTAGTGTAAAGTTAGATGTATTGTCGTTTGTCTACCGTTTGGTAACGACACACCCACCTCACGCTTTTTATCCCTATATTAGTACTTTTTTACCAACCGTGATAAATGCTGTGAATGATAGTTTCTACAAGATCACTGCTCAAGCTTTAAATGTGCTGCAAGAATTTGTAAAAGTAATTCGACCGATGGATGCAATTTCGGGATTCGACTTTAGGCCTTACACCAAAGATATTTATGTTTGTACATACGTTCATTTGAAAGCTACCGACGTTGATCAAGAAGTCAAAGAAAAAGCAATATATACGATGGGACAAGTCATTTGTAACTTTGGCGATCATTTAAGAGCCGAACTACCCGATTGTCTGCCTCTGTTTCTTAATAGATTGAAAAATGAGACTACAAGACTTACGACTATCAAAGTCCTAACTCAAATTGCGAGTTCGCCTTTAGGTAAGTGTGATTATATTAATTTTTTTCAGTTTACTAAGAGAGATGTGTCATCCTCATCAATACACCGCTGACACTACTAAAGTAAATTTACAGGTAAAAGGCCTATTATGATCTGCTTTGTTTTAATTTTTGTTAATTCTAATTGAATTAAACTAGATCAAATAATATTTAATTTCTCAGGGTTCTTTACTACACGATAAAATTTATTTTACTTTCTATTCGTGGCTTTTAGTATTTCCTGGATGCTGGCTTTCTTTAGGGTAGACAAAGGGAATAAATATTATAACACAATTTATAACCTTTTCAAAAATCACCATTTATTGCAATACCATATACAGGGTGAGTCATGAGAAACTTTACATACTTCTACCATATGTAGAGTCCCTCAGGGAGCATATCATGTGGCCACTAAAAAATGTCAACTCCTCTTCTTTATTAATTAACAGGGTGATTTGTGTAATTGACCATTTATTTCATTTTACTGTAGTGTTTATACGGCTCATTTAATTTTTTTAATTTTTGCATGATACAGTACACTACTATCAAGCATTCGACTGGTATTAGCTAAACTAAAAAATTTAAGGACTGGCTTTTTAAAATATATACACCCTGCATATATTTTTTTTAAATGCAATAAATGATTTTCAAACTACATAAATAGCCAATGAAAACGACATATGCGACAATGTTATCGCACTTTTATTAAATTTTTAGTGAACGATCAAATCTTACCAAAAATAGAACAACCATAATGAAGTATCAAATTATAAGGTATTAATTTAAACAAATGTTATAAATTGCAAACATTTTAATTAAAATGAGTTCCTACAACATGATCTAATACGTAGAAAATTAACATCTTTACTGTCACTTTGTATTGTCTCTACGATAGAATCAACTTTCCAATTTTAAATTTTTACTCATAGATCGTATTGGGGCATTATTTTTGATAAATAATAAATTAAATTGATTAAAAAGTCAAACTTCTTGTATGTGTTAGTTTTTGTTGATTGTAAATGATTAAAATTTTATGTCAAATAATAATACATTGCATCAACTGTACTAAATAAAAATAAATCTAAAAAAGTTTAAAATGAAGGTTGGCGTTGACCGTTTGACGTTTCTTGATATTTTATACCCATTGTCATTATTGTCATTATCAATTGTTATTTATGTGTACAAGAATACATATTTCTTCTGTCATATCTACGTTAAGTACATTGTGTTAGTTTTGGTAGAGCTTTTGTTACTTTCGTTCAAAATTTGGGTTAGTTTTTAATTATTTTCGAGAAAATGGCTTTTTTCCTAGTGGAACAACAGAGCGAGATGTAGATGAAGCGCAGGAAGATGACATTATGGACGCCGTTACTATGAACCCTACAATAAGCACTAGACAAGTAAGTCGAGAACTCAATGTTACTCAATCAAAAGTAAGTAGAGTCTTACAAAAAATAATCTATACCCATATCACATTCAAATGGTTCAGCGACTACATGCTGGAGATGAGATCGATAGGTTGGAATTTTGTAGATGGATTAACAATAGTCGACCAACGCTATACAGGACACTATTTACAGATGAAGCCCAATTTACCAGAGACGGGATAAATAATTCACGAAATTCACATGTGTGGGCAGAAGAAAATCCCCATGCTATTCGAGAACGTCGTTATCAGTTAAGGTTTTCGGTTAACGTGTGGATTGGTGTCATAAATAACCAATTAGTAGGTCCTCACTTTTTTGATGGTCCTTTAACAGGGCAGGTCTATTTGAACTTTCTACAAAATATTTTGCCGAATTTGCTTGCCAACGCGAACGTTGCTATCCGAGGGATGTATTTTCAGCATGATGGGGCACCCCCACACTTTTTACTGGCAGTGAGACAACATCTCAATAATGTTTATGGCAACAGGTGGATAGGACGTGCAGGTCCTATTTCGTGGCCTTCAAGATCCGCTGATTTCAATCCCGTTGATTACCATATTTGGGGACGATTTAAGCCACTAGTTTACGCAGTGAATATTAATAACCGACAACAATTAATTGATAGAATTATACATTGTTGTAATACTATTAGAAACGATCCCCAGAGTATCCGTAATTCAATACGTCAATTAACAATTCGGCAACAAAAATGTGTACAGGCTGCAGGGTTCCATTTCGAAAATCTATTTTGAATTATTTTTATTTTGTTACCATTATTGTATCTTTTCCAGTTCTAATTTATGGGTTTATCATAACTATGTACATATTTTTAGTTTTTTTTTTAATTGTTCTTCGTTATTGTTAGTAGTTACTGTTTTTTGTTGTGCAGTGACTCAGTTTATCATTTCAATTAAAATGTTTGAAATTTATAACATTTGTTTAAATTAATTACCTTATTTGATACTTCATTATGGTTGTTCTATTTTTGCTAAGATTTGATCGTTCACTAAAAATTTAATAAAAGTGCGACAACATTGTCGCATATGTCGTTTTCATTGGCTATTTATGTAGTTTGAAAATCACTTATTGCATTTAAAAATATATATATATACAGGGTGTATATATTTTCCAAAGCCAGTCCTGGAATTTTTTAGTTTAGCTAATACCAGTCGAAGGCTTGATAGTAGTGTACTGTATCATGCAAAAATTAAAAAAATCAAATGAGCCGTATAAACACTACAGTAAAATGAAATAAATGGTCAATTACACAAATCACCCTGTTAATTAATAAAGAAGAAGAGTTGACATGTTTTAGTGGTCACATGATATGCTCCCTGAGGGACTCTACATATGGTAGAAGTATGTAAAGTTCCTCATGACTCACCCTGTATAACTATTAACGTAAAAATTGTATACACTGAATTATCTATTCCTCAGAGCAACAGAAAACTTAATTCTGTTATTTTAAAACCAATTTATTTAATTTATTGCAAAATTGTTCACATTAACTTTCTTAAAAACAAACAAATTTTATTATATGCAAATTTTCTAACATGAATTCAATTCTTTTTTATCAATTGCTTTATGATATGAGTTTAAATAAAATATATAATGTACATCAGGGGAGGGGTGCTCAAACGGTCGATCGCGAGTGCTTTTTGGGTAGATCTCGAAAAGAAAAAAAATTTTAATAAGTAGGTAGGTAACTAAACTACTGTCAGCAGAGTTAAACGTTTTTATTAATACTGAACTATACAAATACATAGAATGCTTGACTAAGCATCATTGCAATTCAAAGAAGTGGGGACAACAAAATACTGTCCACACAGCATATTTTATATTTACATATATTAACTATTTATTTTATTAATTCAATATTTATTATAATTATTAATCAAATTTGGGATGATATTCTATCAACTACAAAAATGTATTACGTAATAAAATAACACTGCTTGCGGCAAAAGGTGGCTTTATCAAAGGAACGCGCGGCACTTGTCAAAGAAAAGCCGTGTTGTTTTTAGACGAGAGACAGTACAGTCTAGTTTCGGGCGGCGCGTTTGACGGGAACATTCGAGACTTTCGTTCACGCCGATATAAATGTTGCGCCTGCAGGATTTGGAGTTATTCTGAATTGTAACTTGATAGCGATCCTACGTCGATACAAAGTTTATTATTAAATAGTGGAAAATGAGTGCAGTGAAGAAATCTAAAACGTATCATTTTAATAAGGATTGGGAGGAAGAATTTTTCTTTTCTATGGTGAAGGATAAGTGCATTTGTGTTATTTGTCTTGCGTCAGTTGCAATACCTAAGCGTGGTAACTTAGAGAGGCATCAAAAAACGGTTCATAAAAACTATGAAAAGGATTTTCCGCCACAGAGTGAATTAAGAAAACGAAAAGTAAGTGATTTGATATCTTGTTTGAAAAAAGAACAATCCATGTTCACAAGACCAGCCAAACAATCAAAAGCTGCTACGATCGCGTCATTTAAAATATCTCATATTTTGGCGAAACACAAGAAACCATTTGAAGATGGATCGGTGGTGAAGGAAGCATTTATTGAAGCGGGTGAGACTCTATTTGGAGATTTTAAAAATAAAACAGAAACCATGTCTGCTATTAGAGAACTTCAGTTATCTCGTCCGACTGTCACAAGGCGTATTGAAGTCATGAGTCAAGACATCGCAGATAAACTAAAACATGATATCATGGAATGTACATACTTTTCTTTACAGTTCGACGAATCCATCGATATGACAGACACTGCCCAGCTGTGTATTTTTATTCGAATGGTATTCAATGACATGTTGCCTAAGGAAGAATTTTTGACAATCATTCCTCTGAAGGGGAAGACCCGTGGCGAAGATATATATGACGTTTTCTTAAATTTTGTAAAAAACTACGAGCTACAAATATATAAATTAATGTGCATTACAACCGATGGAGCACCAGCAATGACTGGAAACAAAAACGGTTTTGTGCCATTGTGTCGAGCTAATGAAGAATTCCCTTCATTTTTTCATTCCATTGCATTATACATCAACAAGTTTTGTGTTCAAAAGTTTTAAACACGGAGGAAATTATGGGTATTGCAACAAAAAATGTGAATTCCATCCGTGCACGTAGCTTGCAACGGCGGCTCTTTCAGTTGCAGTTGGAAGATAGGGAGTCAGCTGAACACACTGATTTAGTTCTTCACACGGACGTCAGGTGGTTGAGTCGCGGAAAATTCCTAGAAAGGTTTCAAGAATTATTGCCCGAAATAACAGCTTTTCTAGACGAAAGAGGTGATGACACTCAGATTTTGAAAAACGAAAAATGGCTAAATGATTTGGCATTTTTGACTGACATCACAATGCACTTAAACACCGTTAACTTGGAGCTTCAAGGTAAAGGAAGAACTATTATTGAGATGATTAGCGCAGTAAACGCATTCGAAAGTAAATTGCAACTTATGATAGATCAACTGAAAAGAAAGGATCTGAAACATTTTCCGTCTTTAAAAGCAAGGATTCCTCAGTTGAATTATGATACGTATGAGGCTGAATTATCAAATATTTTGGGACAATTCGAAATGCGTTTTTATGATTGCAGTAAATTGGAAAATATAGGATCATTTATGAGTTATCCTTTTTCATGTAAAAACATTGAGGAATTAGCTACTGAAATAGCAAGTCAGTTTAATATGAACTACTCATGTTCTGTTGAAAATGAGTTGGTGCAGATTATATCAGATATACATCTCAAAGCTACAGTATCTGATACAAATTTCTGGCGTTTTATATCTGAAGATAAATATCCGAATCTAAGGCAAATCGCCCTTCAACTGACGGCATTTTTTGGGTAAACTTACTTGTGCGAGTCTGCATTTTCTGAAATGAAGATAATTAAGTCAAAATATCGCAATCGACTAACTGACGATCATATGACATCATGCTTGCGATTAGCACTCAGTGGTTCCGTACCATCTTATGAAAAGTATGCTGAGGACATGCAGTGCCACGCTTCAACATCCAAAGCCACTCCTTAGTTAAGTTTAACACCATATGTAACTCTTTTGTTTTGTAACAACAAATAAACTCGCAATTTTGAATAACTATGAGTTTTTTCATTGATATTGTAGAGAAGAACCTAACTAAACCTAACCCAAACCAAGACTAAAATAATGTACCTATATTGTGCAGAAAGCTAATATCTATATATGCTACGGTACGCCCTACCTAGGTAGGTAGGGTGTATCGTGTATGTATGACAACCCTGCATCACACACACTTGCAGTCTCTCAAAGTCGATCGTAAGTAGTCTAAAAATATTGAGGTAGATCGCCAGCAGTTCAAGTTTGAGCACCCCTGGTGTACATACAACGCTTATTTCACAAACAAATTGACTGACCTTTCTTATCTTCTTTCTCCGATGTCTCCCAACGGATACTGACTTAGTCTCCGGATTGTGTTCCGGAAATACTGTCCAATTTTCCAAAACACGTGTGGCTCTGCTTTCTTCCTCCAAAAACTGTTGCACAAAAACAGCACTCCTTCAGTTTCTCTTCAAATTAAAAATAAACACCTCCGACTCGTTTCACAATAATAATAATAATGGGACTCTTTCCGAAAATTGCGTCTCCCGCCTCTAATGGTTATCTTGTACAAACTTTATATAACTTTTTTCCTTTTCTTACAGATTCGTCTACAACTATTCTGCTTACCATCTTAAACTCACACAAAAACTTATACTTCTTTTTCACACGCTGTTCTCTTACTGGACTTCTTGTTCTGTCTGTTAAAAACACAATAATTATTCCACACACTGTTCTTAAAGCGGACTTCTAGTTCTCGATCTTAAAACGACAATGATTTAAAGCCCCTGGTTCAATTTTCAAGTCGACTGTCCCATTCTCGTCCCCTAGTACTTTGTAGCCAATCAACATTCATCCATACAAATTTATCCCACTACCAAACTTCAAATTTTCCTAATTTTATATTTCAAGAAATCAAGCGTGTCGACTAATTGGTTTTTCCCCCAATTAACAGGATATGATATGGACTAAGCTTTCTTTTGTTTTGCTACAGGCAAATGCCTCTTTGTAAAAGATAACATCTATTCATAGCATTACCTACCTTCGAAGAAAAAAATATACAACCCATTATATATCTAACATTAATTTTGAATTCCTATTCAAGGTTTTCGGCTTTCAGTTTTCTTTTGTAGGGTTTCTTTCTTTGTTTTTATAACAGAATCTTTGATTTTGCTCCACATAATGTTCACATTCTCAGTGTTTTTCATTTTTTATGTTAATTTCTTTATTTCTTGATTGATGCAAGTTGAAGCCTCAGCACGGATTTCATTTATCTTGAGTAACTGAGATTCACTTTAGAACTTTTGGATTTTATTATCTTTTTCTCCCAGTTTCATTTTTGAGACAAGGAGGTTATGGTCTGAGGAGATATTTGCTTCAGGAAAAGTCTTAACGCAATTTTGTTCATTATGCTGTGATGATCTTCAGGAATACATGTTCATAATCGCCAAGTTTTCTTCTTGACAAAATTGAGCCAATCTGTCGCCTCTAGCATTCCTTATTCCTAATAAAAATATTCGATAGTTAAAGGAAAAATTTGTGCTACAAGGTTGTGGTCTCAATCAATACAGGTACCTCGGTAGCTGCGCCCATCAATTCAATTGGAGAAGTATCTAGCACCTATAAGTATTTGGTAGTTTGGGTTATTTGTTAGACTATCATATGAACCTGTCTTTGTGCGAAAAATATGTTCTTCCCATGATCACGTTTTTAGTTGATTGATTCTCTTTGGAATTGGTTATGAAGTTTTTACTGATATAAACAGGATCACAGCCACCTTTACTTCCAAGCCATGAAGTAAAAAAGGCAACACCGCATTCTATGACGTCGGTAGTCCGATAATCAGCTGTAAGGTCTACCAGAATATTAAACTAATTTGAATTTTAGGAAACTGATATTTTGAAAACTTCAATTCATTACACAAATATTTTTAGGGAAATTAAATTAATAAAACCTTATATATACCTAGTAAATATATATAAAGTTTTATTATTATTTAGGTTATATTATCAATAAAATATTCACTAGAGTAAAATTTATTGCACTTAAAATACAGTGTCAAACAGTTAATCTTACAATCAAATACAGTCAAGAATCTCTAGAAATTTTAAAACACAAAAACTTAGTGTAACTATTATGATTAAAAAATTCATCCTAAGAAATCAGACACAATATAAATATGGTTCTAAATTAATCTAATTGAAAATTAAATATTTTACTATTTACTTATATCTTTTGTTGAATTTTCATACATGATATACAAAAGTAGCAATTTTAAATATGAATAGGTTTGTTGTCATATAGACCAAGTTAAAAGAGGTATACATGAAAAACGTGTTGAATGTAACATACCATTTATAACTTGTATATCGATTTAAAATAGCCTATATTCTCAAAAGATTTTTGAATGTAATACTCAAATTTGTTATCACTTATCTAGAAAGCAGATCTAAATGAGAAAGTAAGTTCTTTAATTGTGACCATCTTGTTAATTTACTGTATTGTAAAATCCATTTCAAATCATTACCACTTAATCTATTCTTACCTACATTGACAATTACACTAAAATTACTGCTAGCTATTACACTACATATTACACAAATATTATCACACTTGTGTCCCAACTGATTAATGTTTAATACATAGAAATATACACAGTCACTTGTAATTTTACTTGTCCAGTTTTTCAATGGGATATTATTGTCTAAGTCTAATTGACATAATTATGTTATCTCTTGTTCCCTCTTCTTATGCAAAACGTTTCTTCTGTCTTCGGGATTCCTTCTTTCTTTAGTACGATGAACAGTTACATATGATGGTACTTCAGGAAATATATTAGGAACTGCATTGCCTTTTAATTTGGGAAATATTAACTTTTCAATGTGTACATTTCCATCTTTATCTTCTCATTGTTCAGTCCGCTGAATATCATCTTCATGAAAATGTTTGGCACATACTACGGAAGATTTGGTAATTGTACAGCCTTCTCTATGAATAGAGCATAACCCAGTATACCTTCTTTGGGGATCTTTGGGAAACAAAAACGTACTTTCTGCCTGTTTCGTTTTTAAAGTACTGGCATAATTGGTTTTGCAACCAGGTACACAACAATGCCAGAGCATCTGTAACAAAAAACAAAAGTATTATTATTGTTGTTTTTAGTTTACATATTTTGTAACAAGAAGCAAAAGTATTATTATTTTCAGTTTGTTTTGTAGGTTATATTTATACTTGCCTTTTAAATTGTCGTTAAAAATCTTCTAAAAGTTCTAAATTTAATGAAATTTCACTTATATTAATATTTTCTAATTGATGTATACACAATTTACAAATAAAACATTCGAATAAAGTTAAAAAACAATAAATTCAACAAACTTTACAAGCCTTCCTATATGAAATGTTAAACCAAAACAAACCACAGTCGGACTACCACGCGTTGTTGCCAAGTTTCTACTTCATGGCTTGGAAGTAAAGGTGGCTGTGACAGGATGCAATAAATTATTTATTCAGAAATATTTTTTTAGGTATTAAGTTGCCCATATTGTCAGAGGTAATGTCGATTCTAGCGACGTATTTAAGAAAGAGCCATAGAATTTTAAGACTGTCTACACTACAATTAATCGATTCTGTTATGAATAATTATCATAAGGATTTGAACGAAGACTTATTGAAACCTATCGTATCAGAAATACCACAATTGATTGATGAATCTGATCTACAAGTTACACAGAAAACGCTCGTTGTTTTGCAGTTGATTACTGTGTACCATCCAAAGGCATTACAAAATGTGAGAACTACTATTATGCCGCAGATTATATTACTCGTGCAATCTCCTTTGTTACAAGGTGAGTATTATGTTTTATTATTTACTATAAAATAAAAGGTTTTTCTAGATTTTCAAAAAATTTAGTCCATTCCCTCTCACCTATTTTCAAATTTGCTTTAGCATAATATAGAATATATATATATATATATATATATATATATATATATATATATATAATATATATATATATATATGTCGTTCATTGTAAAAGTGGTGTAACTCCATATTTTGTTATTTACTGTTTTATTGTATCATTCAACCACGTTTAGTATAATCTTTCAATATAAAAGCGAATCATCTCCAAAACTTACTCCTTCAACATGTAGATGGGGTTACTAATTTTGTTCGAGAGCTTAAACTGTAAATATGTCATTATAAAAGTGAAGTAAATCCCAAGTCGCAATAATAATGAAGTAAGTCCGGAGATACTTCACTTTTATTGTGGCAAAATTGCAAGAGGTTATGTTACATATTGTATCATTTCGTTGATTAATTTATGTTTACTGTTTCAAAACGAATTATAATAGCATATTATGATGGATACAGATGATTTTAGTAATTCTGATTCCGAATATCACCCTTCAAATGAAGAAAATAATAGTACTTCCGGTAAGTTTCGTTGTTGTTCATTTAGTTATTTTTATAACCTTAAAATATAAGTTATTAATAAGAATTAGGCAATCCATTGACCTGTTAAACATTGTATTTGGTTGGCACACAAAACCAACAAAACTGTCCGTAACTTTATCTACTTGTTTTTGTTAATGTTTTTTAGTGTTTTAAAGATATGTTTTATTCATTGTTTGAAAAGCAACAATAAACAAATATTATTTTGCTTGTTTTTGTCCAACATCTGGTGCTTCTAATAATAATTTCCTTAGCATTTGGTTTAAGCATATTATTGAACTACATACAATAAAAATTCCAAAAATGAAGCGAATAATATTCATACAGGATAAATAACGTATAGTTATTAGGAAAATCACAAAAATAACCTTTGTTTGCCAACCAGAGGTCACGTGGTCTGGATTGCCTAATACGGAACTATTTTGTTTATTTTTTGAGTTTTATAACTAACTATACTTGCTCAACCTTTTAAATGTGTTGTCTCCTTGTTTTAGGTACAGATTCAAGTCATGACGAAAATATAAATGATAATAATGACCAGCAAAATCTTCAAGCAGACCCTGTACCAGCTAAGGCTAGAAAAAGATCACTCAATAAAGAAAATTGGGCAGTCAACAAAAGAAAAATGTTAAGAAATAGCGGTAAAGAGTATTTAACTAAAAGAGGTATAATAAAAAATCAGAAAAAATTTGAAAATATTGATTGTGGATGTCCAAAGAAATGTTTAACGCTGTTGACAGAGGATGAAAGAAAAGAAATATTTGACTCTTTTTGGAATTTAAAAAATTATGATCTTCAAAATTCATATCTGTATGCATTGGTACAAAAATCAGCAGTCAAAAGAAAACGTCCACTAAATAGTTCACAAGCAGGAAAAAATTTTCATTTCAAATATTTTGTTAAGTCAAGTAATAAAACCCGATCTGTGTGTAAGAAATATTTCAAATCAGTGATGGCAGACTGTATCGTTGCCTTTCAAAGGATGATGTGTTCCAATGTACTGATAAACGAGGCACAACAAGTTCCAGAAAACTTGATGATTCTGACATTGTAGCTCACATCGAAAGTTTTCCTTCCTATCAAAGCCATTACACGAGGAAAAATAACCCCTGTAGAAAGTATTTAAATCCAGGACTAACAATACGAAAAATGTATGATATTTACAAAGAAAAATGTGATATTAATATGACAGAACCTAAGAAATTAAAATATTATAATAAAGTTTTCAACACAAAATTTAATTTACATTTTAAAATGCCACACCAAGACACTTGCAAAACTTGTGATGACCTTAATTTAAAGATACAGGGAGCTGGCGATGAAAATGCTAGGAAGGGATTTGAAATACAAAGAGAAGTTCACCAACGAAAGGCAGAAGCAGCAAGAGAAAGTCTGAAAAATGATTCAAAAAGAACTAATGAAGCATACATTCTAACTTTTGATCTACAGAAAGCCTTACCCTTCCCCAAACTTAGTACTTCTGTAGCGTACTACAAAAGAAATCTTTATGTTTATAACTTCGGTATACATTGTTTCAATGACGATGTAGGCTACATGTTTGTCTGGGATGAAATTGAAGGCGGATGGGGCTTTCAAGACATTTCATCATGTCTTGTAAAGCTTTTAAAAACTCATGCAGCTACACAAAACCATGTCATAATGTACTCTGATTCTTGTACCGGACAGAATAGAAACATCAAGATGGCCCTTTCTCTTTTAAAGCTTGTACAAGAACCTATTCTCAGTATAAACACAATAGACCATAAATTTTTAGTGTCAGGACATTCGTTTTTACCCAACGATGGGGAATTTGGAGTCATTGAAACCGCTAGTCGTCATCAACAACAAATTTTCAGTGCAGATCAATGGATAGACATCATAAAAAACGCAAAACGCAAACAGCCACATTTTTGCGTGACGAAAATGAAAAACTGTGATTTTTTTAGTACAGTTACCTTGGAAAATTCCATTACAAATAGAAAGAAAACGACATGTGGTTATGAGTTCAGCTGGCTTAATATTAGATGGATAAGATTTGAAAGAAATCATCCATTACAGTTTAAATTTAAAGAAACCCTTAATCCTGACACCCCATTTTACGTTGTAGATTTAACTAAAAAGAAGCAAGGACCTGAGGTTCAGTTAAACAATATTATACAAATGCCACTGTATACCTCAAAACGTCCCATAACCAGCGCAAAAAAGAAAGATATGAAAGACCTCTTACCGTATATTCCACCGATTTATCACTCGTATTATAAAAATCTTCCTACCGATATACCAACGCGGTCAAACAGCGGTAATTCTAGTGAACGTTCATCTGATGATGAAATTATGTACGATTAGCTCACAATAACAGTGAAGTAACTCCAAAAAAATTTTTTTTCCTATTTTTATCACAGAATTCAATATATTTTTTTCGTTTTATACTTATGATTAGAAACTTGGTCTTGTAGTGAACAATAAATAATGTAAATAACTCAATAACGACTTTTATTTTTTTTTCTGTACATCAATTTGCAAATGTCAAAATATTTACAAATTCAATTTGATTGAGTTACACCACTTTTACAATGAACGACACATATAGTTCTTGCGTCACATGCCCCCAGAGGTAGTACGTTATGGTCTATTCTGTCTATGCGTCACATGTCCCCTATGGCATGTGTGTACATGTAAGTACTTCATGCCCTCTAGTACACAAAAGTGTAACTTTTGCATATATTACATACAGAAAACTATTATAGAAGTAAATTTTGAAAAATTAAGGCAAATATCGAGCACAAATTTAATAATTAAATCTTGCCCAAGTACTTTCGCTTTCTACAGCATCATCAGGGGCATTTCGTTAAATTTGGTCTATCCAGCAAGCGCAGAATGCAATAAACATGAACTTGGACATAAATTGTACATAACACTACATTAAAACAGGGACAAACAGTTTAAAATTATTAAAAATTATTCTACGCTCTACATTCTTGTCGACAACAGGAGAGAGATTTTTGTAAAATAATTTTAACATAAAATCCATCATTTCTTGATTTATATTTTGTGTCCCTTCAGACTAGTATCTGCAGGGTGAATTTTTAGTGTGACATCGATCATAATTCCATTGTGGTACAATATATCGAAAAAACTAAGCGTTTGGCTTCCTCCGTTTAGGATATCGCTCGTGATATATTCTTGAGGCAAGTAAGCAATTTCTCGAGATTTCTCGTAATGCCCAGATCATATCTGTTAACTCTTCTACAAAAAAAAAATCATTTTAACAATAAAGACAAGCCACACAGACCGATTAAAAAGTTAATAATATGAAAATTGTCATTTTTTCAAAGCCTTCTATTTTACCTTTGCATAAATGGCGTTTTACTTATTATTGGCTGCGCGTCACAATCGGCAGTTAGGAATATTTTAATAAAAATTAAAAAATCGCAATCTAGAAATTGTTACATCAATTGTATATTGTTTTGCTTTCTGTTGTGCGTGAGTTATTTACTGAATAAAAATAATCTTGTTATACATGGTGTTTCGAAAAAGGTACCCCCGTCTCTAGGGTAGGTAAAATACTGAAAAATAATTGGGGTTTGCTTAGTAAAAAATTTTTGTAACGCCATCCATTTTCAAGATACAGGGCGTTGAAGAAAAAAAAATTTACGCATTTTTACGATTTTGCCGAAACTACTGGCAACATTGTAATGAAATTTTATACGAATATGTTTTGGAAGCTGATACATCCCATGAATTTGTTTTTATATCTGTTTCTCATAGAGGGCGCTAGTTACATGGATCGTACTAAATATTAGTCAATATAACTTTTTTAACAGTATAATTATTAATCAAAATTTCAAGTAAACTTAAACATCATTCAATTTTACACGAAAAAGGTACTCTTGGTAAAACTCGATACTGTGTACCGTTTTCGGAATATTTTGATTTGAAAATTCTGAAGTAATAATTGATGCTAATAGTAATGATAAAGTTCTAATAGGTATACCTCTATTTTCTCCAAGTGTGCCATGGAAATCTGACATTTATTGATTGTTATGACGATAAATCAACAATAATTAGAGTTTTGAAACCTTGTTATTTGTAAAATCACATCAAAATGTACTAAAATGTTGAATACACTGACATGTTATTATCCTTAGGCGAATGTTTAGGATGGTCTAGTGCAGCTGTGACACATGCAGAAAAGTTTCCTAGAAGAAACTTACCAAGTAAAATAGCATTTAGAGCCGTTCAACGACGTTGTCGAGAAACTGGGACGGTGAGACCAAATAAAATAAATTCTAGTAGACCAAGAATAACAAGAACAATTAATAAAGAAAATAATATTTTAACCCTTTCAGGACGGCACCTATTTGCCCTTGAAATGCCACACAGACGGCAGTTTTTAGCGTGCCTTGTGGACGGATGGCACATATATCAGTCAGAATAAAAAAATTAACACGTTATGTTTAATAACTGTTTATTGAGTAAAGACATGCATATTTTTTAATGTAAGGAATGTTTTATATATAGCTTTTATTAAAAAACGGTAAAAAAACATTTTTTTTTAATTTTTTGGTAGAAAAGTGCAATTTTTTTAAAAATTTTCTTTAGTGTGGTATATATCGAAGCATGGAACTACACACAAACCTACATCACATTCTTTACACATGTATCTCGATACCTTGCGTTTTTTGTCCGTTTCTTTTGTATGCGAACACACAACACATCTTCTGGAGGCAGTTTTTGTCCTTTCGGTTGCTGGAACAAATGAAGGAAAATGCTTTTCCTTTAATCTGGATATATCCGCTGACATGGATCTGGGATTTTTCACTTGATATTCATATCTGAAATTAAAAAAAGCTATAATATATGTAAATAACGACAGAGAAACAAAAACTTACCTTCTAAAAATCTGATGTATAAGACTCAGTTGAAATTTGGCAAGCGGCATTGGCATAGTCTGGTTTGTCAATAACATAGCGTGGGCATTTAGTACACAGATATCTACTGTGTGAAAAAATAATTTTTTGTACCATTTTGTGGTCTTCCTCATGCAATCAATGCTACTTATCATCATGTCAGAGCGGTTGACTGACCCCATTTGTTTATTGTACTCAATAACACAATCTGGTTTCCTTACTGGTTCTTTAGTAGTAGGATCAATTTTGTCAAGAACAATCATTTTATTTTCATGCATTGTTGTTATCATCATAACATCTCTTCTGTCTTTCCATTTAAACACCAAGCAAATGTCAGAATTTCTCCAATCTACTTCACCCTTTTTCAATTTTTCCTGCAAAGAAGGCATGTGCAGCCTATTAGATCTAACAGTCCCACAAGAATTTGTTTTATGTTCATACAAATAATGTGACAAGATTAGACTGCTATAAATATTATTAGTAAACAGTGAGTGGCCTTTGTTTAGATATGGTTTCATAAGCTGAGCCACAACATTTCCAGTGGTACCCAAGCCTTTGATAGTTTCTTCGGTAGAATATGTATTCTTCCCAACATAAACAATAAAATCCAGAACAAAACCAGTCTCGCAGTCACATATAACATAAAGTTTTATACCAAAACGGTGGCGTTTGGTTTTTATGTATTGTTTAAAAAGGAGTCTTCCCTTAAATAATATCATACTCTCATCAATAACGAGGTTTTCAAAGGGATAGAATTGTGACTGAAATCTTTGTTTTATTTGTGTCAAAACCTCCTTTATTTTATACAAGCGATCTCCAGCTTCTGCATGTTCATTGTTAGAGAAATGCAAATATTTCATAATTTGTAAGTATCTGTCTCTTGACATTTTCTTGCTAAAAAATGCGAAGTACAAAAGAGGATCTTTTGACCAATTCTCCTTTACTTCAAGCTTTTTGTTTCTGGACATAAGCATAGTCAATCCAAGAAAGGTAAAGAACTCATCTAAATAAAGATGTTTCCATTTTTTATCATTGTTTTGCATAGCATACCTGTTAGTTTCATCAATTATATATTTGGCTGTATCCTCGGTAAACATTTTCAAAAAATAATCTATTGCCTTTGGTTCTTCCGTTAAGTTCATCATGTCCTGTACTCCGCTCTGACTATCATCAAATTTATGTAACTTGGGGACGAACTGATTTTTTTCCCACTGGATTTGTATGTCACTATAATCTTTTTCAATATTCTTTTGATCGTTTGCATCTAAGTTGTCACAATTCTCTAAGCTTACATCTTCATCAATTTCTTCTTCAGCACTACTTTCTTGATCACTTTCTCCAGTTGGCAAATATTCACTCCCACTATCAGAAAATGGCTCCTCTTCACTATCAGAAAACGCAAGTGTGTCCACTATTTTTAGTAAATTAGCCACCTCCTGTTCGGTTAATCCACAATACGAAGAATAATCATTTGTACTGTTATTATTAACTTTAATTCTTTTGCTCGAAGGCCCGGCGTTCTCATTACACGACATTTTAGTTGCTACTGAAACACGTGGCGACGTAGCCACCGGAAATTTCAAGTAATCTGTATGCTGCGTGCGCATCTCTCTAGCCGAGTGTCGCATATATCGGACGGTGACTGATATAAACGACACTCGTCTGTGTGGCAAATTATAAGCTCACGATATATCCGCCAGTCGCCTACCTGCCAATTTCATTTTAAAATTTTGGCTGATTAATCATACACTGGTCTTTGGAGACGGATAAACATAGTGACATATATATCGGTCAGTCGTCCGTGTGGCAGTTTTCTTTCTGTCCGATATATCGGTCAACCGTCCTGAAAGAGTTAAATTTACTTGATCAAGATCTAACAGTTAGCGTAAGGAATATAGCAAGACAAACAAATACTTCTTCTTCAAGTACTTGGCGGATACTGAAAGAACAGCAATTACATCCTTATCATTACAGACAAGTCCAAGAGCTTTTGCCAGATGATCTACCGGTTAAAGTGGATTTTTGTAAAACATTGCAACAAAGGACAGCCCACAATCCAAAATTTTTAAAATGCATTCTTTTTACGGACGAGGCCACCTTTATGCCACAAGGTATGTTTAACTCCCATAAAGCACATTACTGGTGTGTTGAGAATCCACGAGTCAAAAGAGTATCACATTACCAACACTCATTTAAAGTTAATGTTTGGGCAGCAACTTTAGGTAACAAATTATAGGTTATCATGTTCTACCTGGAAATTTAAATGGTGATAATGTATCTTGATTTTTTAAACAATTCCTTATTCGAGATATTAGAAGATTTAACGCTAAACGAGCGAAGATCTTTATGTTTTATGCACGATGGAGCTCCACCACACTTTGATAGAAGATGTCTTAATGGGTTGAGTAATCATTTTCCGAATCGATGGATTGGTAGAGATGCAGAAGCTCCGATTCATTGGCCTCCCCGTTCATGCGATTTTAACCCTTTGGACTACGCAGTTTGGTCGTATATTAAGAAAAAATCTATGCTACAGAGGTAAATTCACGCCAAGAATTGGAAGAAAGAATTCAACGTCAATTTAATGACATCATAGCTGATCCCCTACCGTTTAGAAGGTTAATGGAATCTGTAGAAAAAAGAATATACTTGTGTATTCGCGAAAACGGAGGGCATTTTGAACACTTACTGTAATTGAATTTTATTTTATGTTCTTAGTCATTAATTTAATTTTCTTCTTGTGAGTTTTGTTTAATTACTAACTATGTTATACCAGCATCAATTATTACTTCATAATTTTCAAATCAAAGTATTCCGAAAACGGTACACAGTATAGAGTTTTACCAAAAGTACCTTTTTCTTGTAAAATTGAATGATGTTTAAGTTTACTTGAAATTTTGATTAATAATTATACTGTTAAAAAAATTATATTGACTAATATTTAGTACGATCCGTGTAACTAGCGCCCTCTATGAGAATCAAATATAAAAACAAATTCATGGGATTTATCAGCTTCCAAAACATATTCGCATAAAATTTCATTACAATGTTGCCAGTAGTTTCGGCAAGATCGTAAAAAATGCTTAAATTTTTTTTCTTCAATGCCCTGTATCTTGAAAACGGATGGCGCTACACGTTTTACTAGCGTTTTACTACGTTTTAAAAAAAAACATTTTTTACTAAGCAAACCCCAAAAATTTTTCAGTTTTTTGCCTACCCTAGAGACGGGGTTACCTTTTTTTGAAACACCCTGTATTATTTTACAAAACATATTTTATCTTATAGGGATTTTAGGAATCTTGTATTTCATTAAGGAGATATGATATTTCCATAATATATTTATTGAATAAAAATAATTTTGTTTACTTTCAAAAATTGAATATATTTCCGAAATTTGAAGAAAACTAAAAATATCTCGGAAAGTAATGAGTTTAGGTATAGGGAATGAAAGAGGATTATAAATACAATATTTCTAAAAAATAAAATACAGGGTGATTCATTTAAAAAAATTGAGGAAATCGTAGTTTTGTTTTGTAGTTCAATTGGTATACAATTTTTTGTCAATGATTTTAAGTAAACTTAATTTAAAAACTACATTATATTGTTTACTTTATTATATAAAATAAATAATTGTTTATATAATACTTCTTTATATACATGGTATTGATTTCATAGGGAATTCGGGATCACTGTTTCTAACGCTACTTACATACTCACTTACTAACATAAGATATACTCTTTTTTTTTAGATTCAACGTTGCAATCGATTCTAGGCTTTTTAAATTCATTAATTAAATGTGACTCACCAGGATATTCCCTTTACCTAAGACTACTTAAGGAACCAATACTAAGTACACCGACTACCCTATCTAGACAGGTATTCTGTTCCCTAGCCAAGTGTGTCGCTACAATAACAGCTGCTAATGATTTAGTTACTAACGAAATGATATTGGTGTTTATTAATGAATTTAAAATTGCCACCACCGATCATGAGAAAATATTCGCATTATTGGTGCTAGGAGAAATTGGTAGAAAAATGTAAGTTTACAAAATACTTTCCAATGATTTAATAAAGAAAAAATAACATTTTTAGATATCCAGTACCCTCAAAATTACATTTTTCCAAAATGTTCCTAAAATTTTGTTAATATTTGAAAGACATCTGTTTTAATAACCCAATATATTTCTTAAGCATATCTGTATTGGTATGAAAATAGTACCAAACACAAATGTAAGGAAGAAAAAGAGACAAATTTATTTAAAATATTAGTTTTTGTTTATTTTTTTCAAAGTTCTTGCACATTTGAGTTTATGTTTTACAAAATTGTCTTATTATTGCATACTGATTATTCAATTGATTGTTTGTTTTTTAGCGATTTATCCTCATCAGATGTGATAAATATAATACTTGAATCTTTTGTTTCCAAATCGGAAGAAATTAATTCAGCTGCTAGTTATGCCCTCGGCAGTGTTTGTGTTGGTAAACTATGTCATTATATGCCGTTGATCTTGAAACATTGTCAAGCAGATTCAGCCAATCTGTATTTGTTTTTGACTTCTTTGAAGGTGGTAAGTTTTCTTAATTTATAAAAATATCCAATTTGAAATACAGTAGACTCCCTCTATAACGAGAACTGGAATGTCAGACTAGTTACCTCTTTATAAGCCGATCTCGTTATATCAGACAACAATAATACTGTGCATACATATGAATATGTAGTTTTCTCAAACATTAACATTATATATATATATATCTATATATATATATATATATATATATATATAATATATATATATATATAATATATATATATATATATATATATATATACAGAGTGGCCCAAAAGTCTGGAAACGGCTAATTATCTCGTAAATTACTAGACATAATTATACAAAATTTGAGATACGCCTATTTTGGGATACGGAGATTCCATATTTGGTATTTGCAATGTTGCAAGATTTTCAGTTTTTTTTTATATTAGTAGTAACTTTGGTTTTTCAAATGCATCACCCTGTATATTCAGTCATTATCGGAATCTCCTATTAAATACGAGTTCAACCATATGTAACACTTATGATTTTATGTAGTCTGGAAGGTCTTAAATACATAAAACAGAAGTCTGGCAACGCCTAAATTGTTTCAATACATTTTTTAATACTAACTATTTTCAAATACATTAAAACGTAACAATTGATAGTTTAGAATATTTTTTAACATAATAGTTACGTTATTAAGTGTTCAAAATGTGCTCCATTTGTGAGTTGACAGCACTCTAATCGATGGTAGAATGCGTCTACCACATTTCTCCATGATTGTCCAGAAATTATTCGAGATTCATCGATAATTCATTGCCTTAGCTATGCAAGACTTGCTGGTTAAGTTTTGTAAACTGAATTTTTCAAGTATCTCTAATAAAAATAATCGTTAGGATTGAGATCGGGTGAACGTGGAGGCCATTCAATTCTACCTTGTCTACCAATTTATCGTCCGGGAAATATCTCATCTAAATAACGCCGAACATTTACACCAACTATCTGACGTTAAATTTCTTTCGATAAAAAATGACCCAATTAAATAAGTACCTACTATAACTGACCATACATTTAATTTTTGTGGTCTTTGAGTATGGTTTTCACGCATTCAGTGTGAATTTCACACGAGTTCAGCTATTCAATACGAGTTCAACCATATGTTCACTTGATTTTATGTAATCTGAAAGATCTTAAATACATAAAACAGTGCAAAGTATGTAGATTTTAATAAATTTAAATATTTAAATGGAGAATGCTGTGATTTTGACATTTGTTCACCATTTAAATTATGAACTAAAATTGACAGTAGTTGTGGTTCAAAAAGTTCTGCAATTTAAATTGCTTCTCTAAAATGCCGTTCTCTAAACCGTTCTCCTATTCATAAGACGACGGTACAAAAAACTGTAAGGCGATTTGAGGAATCTGGAGAAGTAAAAGATAGATATCGATCAGATTGACCGAAACGAGTTATCAATGACAACAAAACTTCAGATATAAGCAAAGTTTTGTTGAAGATCCACATACATCCCCAGGCAGGGTTGCACAAGTACATGATGTAGGTCATTCTTCAGTCTTACGTTTATTACGTAAAAATAAATTTAAATCATACAAAATTAACTTATTGCAAGAATTAAGTGAAGATGACTTTGGTCGTAGATTAGAGTTTACTGAGGTAATGATGGATAAAATTGAAAATTATTAAAATTTCGTTAACAGAATATGTTTTTCCGATGAAGCAACTTTTACACTGTGTGGAAGTGTAAATCGACACAATTTAAGGTACTGGTGTGACGTAAATTCACACTGAAGACTGAATGCGTGAAAACCATACTCAAAAGACCACAAAAATTAAATGTATGGTCAGATATAGTAGTTACTTATTCAATTGGGTCATTTTTTGTCGAAAGAAATTTAACGTCAGATAGTTGGTGTAAATGTTCGGCGATATTTAGATGAGATATTTCCTGGACGATAAATTGGTAGACAAGGTAGAATTGAATGGCCTCCACGTTCACCCGATTTCAATCCTAAAGATTATTTTTATTAGGGATACTTGAAAAATTCAGTTTACAAAACTTAACCAGCAAGTCTTGCAGAGCTAAGGCAACGAATTATCAATGAATCTCGAATAATTTCTAGACAATCATGGAGAAATGTGGTAGACGCCTTCTACCATCGATTAGGGTGCTGTCAACTCACAAATTGAGCACATTTTGAACACTTAATAACGTAACTACTATGTTAAAAAATGTTCTAAACTATCAATTGTTACGTTTTAATGTATTTGAAAATAGTTAGTATTAAAAAATTTATTGAAACAATTTAGGCGTTGCCAGACTTCGGTTTTATGTATTTATTACCTTCCAGATTACATAAAATCATAAGTGTTTCATATGGTTGAACTCGTATTGAATAGGAGATTCCAATAATGACTGAATATACAGGGTGATGTATTTGAAAAACCAAAGTTACTAATAATATAAGAAAAACGGCAAATCTGGCAACATTGTAAATATCAAATATGGAATCTCCGTATCCCAAAAGAGGTGTACCTCAAATTTTGTACAATTATGATTAGCATTTTACGAGATAATTAGCTGTTTCCAGACTTTTTTGCCACTGTGTATATATATGTGTATTATATATATATATATATATATATAATATATATATTATAATATATATATATATATATAATATATATATATAATATATATATATATTTTAATTTACTAATCTTTATTTCTGCTTAAGTATTGTTATACATTTTTGTTCTTCTTTTAGGCAATCGCAGGTTTGTCAGAAACACGAGAAGGAAAACGTGAGTTGCTTTCACAAGCTCCTTTGATATGGCAACAATTGTACAACTGTTGTGACTGTACTGAGGAAGGAAAGAGAAATGTCGCAGCAGAATGTCTCGGAAAATTGGCGTTATTAGATCCCAACGAGTTCCTACCAATATTAGAAAGTTATTTAAATTCTGCATCACCTTTAATAAGAAGTACAGTAGTGACAGCTGTTACATTTACCATTTCAGATCAAGTGAGTATATCCTTAGAAAAAAAAAATATTGTTAGGATGGGTAAATGAAATACGTATTTTTATTTTAACTAGTACTTTATTTTTTTAATCTGAATTTATTTTTTTTACTTTGACACAATCTGTAGCAATCAAAACACAAATAAAGTTCTATAAGCTAATTTGCTGGCTGCGGAGCAAGGGGCTCCTATTGGCGTGGTGAGGTCTTCTCCAGTGACAAGATTACCTACTTTAAGCGTTTTTCAGGTCAGCTGGCCAGTTCCTTTTCAGTCTCCTATTGGCTTGGAGTTCTAGCAGAGGATGGAGTAAGGAGTTACTTTGTGATTCCAGTGCTTCATGTTGTATTTAGTGATTACATCCTGTACGAACGGGATTCTTAGGTCTTCGTGAAGTGTAAGGGGGAGTGCCCACCAAACTGGCGTAGCAGTGGCAAGTAGCAAGTAGCACGCATCTAGCATGTTATTTTTAAATGTAACCAATGCAAACAAATTATTAGAATGAATGACGTCACTATCGTTTTGGTGACCGCTGAATCATTCGTTTTCATTGGTTACATTTTAAGTAACATGCTAGATGCGTGCTACGTGCTACTTGCCACTGCCACTCCAGTTTGGTGGGCGCTCTCCCTTAGGTTTAACACATACCAAGGTGCATCAGCTATCGTTCGGAGTATTTTTGATTGGCATCTTTGAATTATGGCTGTGTTTGACTTGCTCACACATCCCCAGAGTTGGATTCCGTACGTCCAGATAGGTTTGATGACGGTTTTGTATACAAGGATTTTGTTTTCAAGGCCTGTTTTCGATTTCCTGCCTATTAACCAATTAGATCTTTCATTCTTAGGTCAATTTGTCTCCGCTTCTTAAGAATATGTTCTCTCCAGGTGAGTTTTGAGTCTAGATGTATTCCTAGGTATTTAGTGCTAGAGGATTGGGGAAGTTGAATATTGTTAAGTGAAACTGGGGGACATGGGTCTCTTCTCAAGGTAAAAGTCACTTGGACTGATTTTGTTTCATTCATTTTAATTCTCCGCTTGTAAGACCATGTCTCAATTTCACTCAGTTGTACCTGTTGGAATTAATTAATGTACCTGTATAATTGGATTCTCGTCGGCTGCAACGATGACAGCATCATCTGCAAACGTGCTAGTGATGGTTTCATTAGTGGAGGGTAGATCTGCTGTGTATAGCACATATAAGGCTAAATTGGTCCAAGAAGGCTGCCCTGCGGAACACCAGATTTTATAGGAAAATTATTGGAATTACTTTCATTCACTCTTGTTCGGAATTATCTCCCACTCAGATAGTATTTTAACAGTTTCAGGTACGTGCTGGGTAAATATTCAGTATGATTACTGAGAGTAATCAGTATGATTCCTTTATCTGGTAGTTCTTTCATCATCTTGGGTGTTATTTTGTCCCATCGTATATTTTTGGGTGTCATCAGCTTTTCTAATGTTTAAATATTGGATTTCTTGTTGAACTTCATTTTTGGTTAGTGGTCTGATTATTGGTATGTTCTCTGGAATGAAATTTATGTCCCTTTCAATTTCAATATCTGGAGCGTTGTTGTTGGGAGTAAATACTTGAGCTAGGTCCTCGGCAAATAGCGTTGTTTTTTCTTCATCATTTCTGGCCCACGTGTTGATCCCTGTTTCTAATTGGAGGTACCGGAGTCTTGGGTTTTTCGGAGTTATCGTACCGGTTTAGATTTGTTATGTAGTTTGTAAATGACAGTTCTTGTGCCTCTTTATGTTTGGATTTTAGTTGATTGCTTAGCCTGCTTAATGTAGTCTTGTCTGCTGGGGCATGGGTTTGGTGCCATTTGGTCCTAGCTTTCCTTTTTTGAGCTACCAACTTTTTAATTTCAGCTGGGATGTATTGGGCTTTACTACCTGTATTGTTCGCAGGTGTAGCATTTTATACGGCCTCTATAAGAGTGTTGTTTAAAGTCATTAATGTTTCGTTTATCTCTCTTGTTGTTTTAAGTCTTACTTGTAGACTAATATCCTCTTCTAATTTACTGCGGTATTTTCCCCAGTTAGTTCTCTCAGTGTGTAGCCTTGGTGTGGCCATTTTGTAGACTATAAAGCTGCTGATAGTTGCTATAATTGGGGAGTGGTCAGATGAGCGATAATAGTTCGGCATGACCTCCATGTAACCAGGAGAGAAGTCCTGAGTGATAAATAGATCAGGTGTTTTATTGGGATCCGTTGGTCAGTTTGTAGGAGAGCGGGTACTATCTTGAATTTAATTTAATCAAATTCGCTACGGTCAAGAAAGATGCCCAATCCTTGAGGTTTATTTTTTTATAGCTTTTACTGTCGATTTTTTTTTACAATTTGTCTCATTTTGTTCATTTTTTTTTTAATTTCAGCCATCACCAATCGATCAATTATTAATACAATGTATTGGAAAATTCTTGAATACTTTAAAGGATCCCGACATAAATGTAAGAAGAGTAGCTCTGGTAGCTTTTAATACAGCTTCACACAATAAACCTTCTCTTATTAGAAATTTACTGGATTCCATATTACCGCAAATTTATGAGCAAACTATAATTAAGGTAATTGTTACTTTAGAAAATAATTTAAATTTCATGACCAATCTAATTGTGTACATACAGATTGAACGAATTTAAAACGGATCATACAATTTAATATATGTCTGTTTGAACTGCATTTGAAATAGTGGACCAATATAAAACTTGGACAAAAATAAATTTATACCTGGGTATAGACATTGTATAAAATATCGTTCAACTATCTGTCTCGCAACAATGTTGTTTGCGCAAAGGAAGCGATAATAGTTCAGGAAATGAAGCTCGAAAAAAGTTAAAACTTCGCAGTTTTTTCTTCCTGCATGGATTGAGTTGAAATTTTAACAGAAGATAGGTGATAGCCCAAGGATCAAAATCTATATCGAACCGAAGTGCGCTGAAGGGTTTTAGGCGTGAAAACTACCCCTAATTGTCAAAAATTATAAAATAACATATTAAACCTGAATATGGGTAAAATTTGGTTTGAATTAATTAAATAATGATAGTTTCGTGCTTTTGAATAAAGTTCCATCATATTTCAACTCTTAAAAAGCGACCCTTGTTAGAGATTAATGTAAAAAAAAAGTAGTAATGCAAAGAAAATGATTTCGGTTTGGAACGATTTGCATAAAAATTTGGAATTTAGCTCAACTCACCCTCTGCTTTATAGTTTATGTCATGCCGATGAACCCGGATTGTTCTTAGGGGTGAAAACTACCCCTAATTTTCAAAAATTGTAAAATAACATTACAAATCTTAAGATGAGTGAAATTTGGTTTGGATTAGTTAAATAGTGTTTTTTTTATACTTTAAAATACAATTTCATACATTTTCAACCCTTAAAAATCAATTGTTATGAGTGCTATAGGTGAAAACAATTTTTTGCCAAAATTTTGCAACTTTTCAACTTTTGAAAATTACCCTTTACAACATTGCAGTTTTTATAAACTAATTTAATAGATATAAATTGAAAAAAGTAGAATTAAATACAAAAAAATTTATCAACATAAAAAGGCACCATATATTCTTATACATTTACATAAATAGTTGAAAATATTTACATTTATGGGTAAAACAATTATAATATTAATTTTATTCGTCATCAATTACATCTTCATCGTGATCTATGTCATCCTCATCTTCTTCAGTTATTGGTGGACTATTATTGCACCCTTCACCTGAGCACCCAGAACAAGTAGAGTTACTTCTTCAAAAACGATTTTGTAGAGGTTTTTAAGAGCTACAAGGATCTGTGAATTAAATCTTTTTGGAACCCTTAGTTTTTAAATTGGGTGAGTTTAAAGGGCTCAAAAAAGATGGTGCTTGATCGTAAATCAATGCTTTAAACGGCTATATCTCGCCAAATATTCATTGTACAACAAATCTAAATAAAGGAAAATTTTAGTTATTAAAAAAGCTACAATTTAGTACATTTTTATTTTTTTCATATATTCAGTATTTTCGGGGATATTTAAAAAAAGAAGGGAAAAAAATATGAAATTGTAAATCGTTTCTCGCTTTATGCTGTACTTTCTCTAAAACTAAGCATTTTAAATGGGTCAAACTTCTTGGACGTATTGACAATACATGTACAAAGGGAATTGCAGAAGGGTGAAGATCAATTTTAATTATGGGAGTGGTTAGGGGGTTGTTTTCATCGATTTTTTCGTAAAAAAAATGAGGTATTGACCTTATTTCCATCATAACTCACTCAATTTTTGAGCTAGTCTTTTTTTATGATAGGTCTATTTATGCTCTAAAAAGGTTCTGTGAGTTTTCTTCCAAAAATGCATCATTTTCCCGATATTTGACTTTGAATCTTTCAAATTTGGCATTTGAAGAAAACCGCTGAACATTGATAGGCCGTATTTCGGTTCCTGTTATATCGCAAAAACATTTTAAAAAATGAATTGTATTTTTCTTTTTAAAAGCTACAAATTTGTTCTCTACAATTTTTTTGATAAAATGCACCATTTTCGAGTTATTCGCGAAAAATCGATTAAAAACGTCGATTTTTTCGTCTAAAAGTTGTTACTTTCAATCGAGAATAACTTGAAAAATATCAGTTTTACAAAAACAAAATGTATAGATCATTTTTTGTTTATAATCACTTTTTTAATCGAAACCTGTAGTTAAAACGTAAAAAAAAAATTCACCCCCGAAAGGGGGTGGCAACCACCCCCAAGGCTTTGGCGCACTCTGGTTCGATATAGATTTTGATCCTTGGCTATTACCTACCTTCTGTTAAAATTTTAAGTCAATCCACGCAGGACGAAAAAATTGCGAGGTGAAATGCTTCATTTCCTGGACTATAAGTGGTTTGACAGCATAATAAAATCATAGATTTATGTGTAGCTTTAAATTTTTATGATTTCAGAATCCAGCAGCCCGCTGAAGTATTGGATTTTTATAATATAATTATTTGACAACCTTTTGTTGGCCAACCACCTACAGCAGAATTGAGCCGAAATACATAATATTTCGTATGTTCCGGATTTGTTTCGTTCGATCTGTATATGGTATTAATGATGGTGTCATATATGGTATTAGTGATGTACCATCATTTATTTATTTACTGATAAATCTTGTATCGTTAATAGAGAGACACAATTCTTCCATAACGAGGTATTGGGCGCAGGAAAACCAGCACAGAAGTGTTGTTTGCCGAATTCAACGTCCTCAAAAACCTAACGTCTGGTCTGACATTTTAGGAGACCACATAATAGGTCCATTTTTTATTGAGGCAACTTGAATAGTAGAGTATACCTCGATTTGTTACAGAATCATATTCTTTTCGCTATTTTCAGTCTTCCTCATCTAAATCTTGAGAATGTTTGGTTCCATCAAGACGACTGTTCAGTTCGCAACGCTCGAATAATTAGGGAGTACTTAAACAATACTTTCGAGTATTGGTATTCGGTATCTCGAATACCGAATCGAGTTATCAGTGGAATGAGCGATATTAGGCGGCCTGTGCGATATCCAGATCTTACACCCATGGACTTCTTTTTTTGAGGGCATTTAAAAGCATCATCTATGGTCATCCTGAAGCTAGAGCCCAAATTTGGATGAATTAAAAAACCGAATAATTATCGTGGCTGAATGGATCAAGTATCCAAAGCCATTAATTAAATAAAAAAAAAAAAACGAATAAGAGAAGTCTCCAATTCTGTTACAGCAGAAACTCTTTCCTCTGTCCGCAGAAGTTTTTATGACATATTGGGATACTGTTCAGTCGCAGAATATGAAATATTTGAATAATTTTTGTAGGACATAAACAATTATTTCTTATTTTATTAGGAATTATTTTTTATTTACAATGAGAGTATATTTTTGGTATTATCTTTTTAAAGAACTACATAAACCGATACAAATGCACTGCCTAACAATGGTCAGTGCATTTTTATCAGGTTTATGTTATAAGGAATAAACTGGGTATACGTATGCAAAACAAAAATCAACGGACGAAGGTGCATATCCCTCGCGTTGTTGTTACTAAATGGTTATAATTACAATCTATATTTTAAGTTTTTTTTGTTATTTCAGGAAGAGTTAATTCGAGAGGTTCAAATGGGACCGTTTAAGCACACTGTGGATGACGGATTAGATATCAGAAAAGCAGCTTATGAATGCATGTACACTTTGTTAGACACATTCCTTGAAAAATTGGATATAGTTGAATTTATTAATCATTTAGAAAGAGCATTGAATGATCATTACGATATCAAAATGTTAACTCACCATATAATAATTAGATTGTCACAGATATGTCCAGAAGCTGTATTGCAATGTAAGTATTTTATTGTTTTCTATTTAATGATCTTAAAACTTTATATAATAGATGCACAAATCAGTCAATTATAATTTCAACTTCAACTGTTCGCATTTCTTAATAGATATAGCTCAGTCATTACATTTAAAGCCTATTGTAATAGATTTTAAATTGGGACCTTTTCCAAATCAAAGTTAGATGAAAAATGATTTTTAAATAACATCGAAATTACCAAAATTAGTTTTTTAGATCCCTCAAAAAAGGTATTGATTTCTATTGAGTTTAAATCCATTTATTGAGATCCATTAATATCTGTTAGAGCCTCTTAAAAAATGTGCTACGAGTACAGATTGAATATCAGTGGTGAAATTATGCACCCCTGTCTCATTCCCCTTACAATGTTGACCTGATCTGTATATTCTTCATCTATTCGGAGCTCCGCTGACTGATTCCAATACAGGTTAGCTATTATTTTTAGGCCTGTTCCGTCAGTCCTCTTCGGCACTTCCATCATTTGTTCATGCCTGACTCTATCGAAAGCCTTTCTGTAGTCAATCAGACATGCAAAAACATCACAGCAGCATCGTATGGTCCTATAGATTTCACAAATTTTTGCTCCTGATTTTTTTGGGCAATGGTATGAACTCTGATTTGAGCCACTATACTGGTATTTTTTCTGCCTTGTATACTTCATTAAATATTTCAGTTATTATTTTTATTTGTTCTGCATCTAATAGCTTCAGCAGTTCTGCAGGAATTTTATTAAGTTCCGGTGCCTTTCCATCCTTCATTTGTCTGACGATTATAGTTATTTCTTCTGGTAGGATTTGGGGACTTGAATTTTCTTCAATGGTGAGTTATTGTATTGTTCTAAGATCGTAGAAAAGTTTCCCCAAGTATTCTTCCCATACTTTCTTTTATCTTCTTTGGTTATCGCAAGATTGCCTTCATCATCTGTTATTTTTCCGCTGTTGCGTTTTTGGAACTTTCCAGCTATTTCCTTCACCTCTCGATGGACATTGAAGTTATCATATCGACTCTGACACTCCTCTGTTTCTTGACATTGATATAATACTCTTTATCAGTTTTATGTCATTAAATTGTTACTATCAATTTCATAACTGTAACATTTATCTGGATTTTGTTTTAGCAATTAATAAGTTACTAGGACCTCTAAAATCTTCATTAGAAGTGAAAGTGAAAGCAAATTCGGTTAAACAAGAATATGAAAAACAGGAAGAACTGAAGAAGTCAGCTGAGCAGGTCATAGCTGTCCTTCAAAGTATACCGCCGGCAGTAGGTAAACAAAACTTCATATTTTTATTAGTATGTTAATTATTATGCAACCTGCCATACAGTCTCACAAAACTGTTACTCATAAAACAAAACAAAGTTAACAAATGAATACGGTCAAAGAGAAAAAAATAATTATTTGAACAAAAATAACAACCATGTGATGTTTATAACATTGCAACATAATTAACAGGGTGGGTCGAAAAACAATAATGTTTCATTTTTTAATCGCTATACCGCGGAAAACTTGCTATACAATTAGGAAAGGTTAGAAAGGTAGGAAAGCTGAAATTAGGAAGAGATAATCAAACAACGGAGCTAAACAGGAGAATAGGACTGGCTTGGGCGGTTTACGGAAAACAGAGAAGTCTTTAGATCAGATATTCCTATGTGCTTGAAAAGGAAGGTCTTTGATCAATGTGTACTCCCAGTTCTAACATATGGAGCAGAAACATTGACCCTCACCAGAAAAGTAATTAATAAAAAACAAGTGGCACAGAGGGCGATGTATGTCATTTCGTACTTACATGCGGCCATGTCAAACAGCAAAAGTTCATTTGTCTTAAATTCTGCAAACTTTTTCTGAAAAGGTTCTTTTTCTTTATAATAATATAATAGTATTATCGATGGTTATTAAAATTGTTACATATATGCTTTATTTTTTAGCGTGCTGAATAGAGAAGTTAATAAATGTAAAGAATATAATTTGCCAAAAATATTACATGACAAAAAAGTATGTTGTCATAAAGGCAAAGGATTAGCAGTAAGTAAAATAAGTATTAAATTTGTTAATTTAAGACGCATACAGCAGATTCAGACCAATCATATTGGAGAACTGTTAGTCAAATATTTTTAAAAAAATCTTTTTTAGGCGGTTCCTGAACATGATGACCCATACTTCTTCAAGCATGGAAACTATCACCAAATTACAAAAACGGAATATTAACAAACATTCTTGGACAAGGAAATCCAGTAAACATAGGACATTTTCGTTATTTTCTTAACATTATTATTTAACATTATTGGTCAAGATAATCCAATACATAGTAGATATATTCATTAGTTTTTTATCATTCTTGTTTAACATTTTCGAAAAGGATATTCCAATAAACTGTGGAAATTTTCGATAACTTCCGTATCATTTTTGTTTTATTTCCGAATAAAGGTTTTATATCTGCTTTGGGAGTTTTATTATGGATGTCTATTAACTAATATAAACTTATATTAGTCCCATATTTTAATTATAAACAAGAAGATGAGAACGATGAACTAAACATGTAACATTTAACACATTTTTGAAAGTTATGCTTTTGAATTACAAAGAACATCTTCCATATATGCAATAGCTCGTGACTACTAAAAGAGGATGCACAAATAGATAAGACCATAGGTAAATTTACCAGGTACTGGATGAAAACGGATTTTTTTTTCATTTTTTTGGGCACACTTTTCTTAAAGTTAACATTTATTTATAATTAGATGACTGCATGAATGAAGAAATATGAAAATAAGGCAAGGAATAATGATTATTAGAGCTAGATGATGATCAGAGCCCTTTTGAACTAGCTGCGCTACTGCTCAAGGTTCACTTAAGGCTTGATTGGTTATTTTGGACTAGTGGTACATTTTTTTAAATAAATACACAAATTCAACATATAAATCATTACTGTATTTAAAATGATATTTTAACAACATATAAATCGCAAACTTTTACATATCTACAAAACATAAATAAAATGATAAATGGTACTAGCAGAGGTCAAATTTGTTGAACTTTGCAATAAAGGCATACCTGTATAGGAATGTGTATTTAGAATCTATTTAAAATTTTTTTTTGTGAAGAAAAAATCAATGAACCTAGCAGCTGTCCTCATAAAAAGGAATGAATCTCCTTATTCAATTCACTATTGGTCCAGTCTAATGAAATATCATCAAGATGGTTATCAAAATCTACTAATTTTTCATACAAAGCATCATTAAGTCCAGATATGCACACATTCATGGCATCATCTGATACACTGATGTCGTCACACTGCCTTAAACTACCATCATTGTACTGACCTACTTTTAGAGCTATTTTACCCCGTTGAATGGTATTGGCTGTGCTGTTCACCTAAAACATGTTGGCATTATTAATAAGGTATCACACCATTATTTTTTATTTCGACAAAATAACTTCTAGCTGAAAGCAATAACCTATGCAGATGATAAAGGTAATATACTAATAAAAATGTTACAACAAACTACAACTTATCTTAATTGTTGACTAAAATATAAAACTATAGATATAGCAACAGACATAACCAAAAGTGTTACAACGACCAGCTATCAGGAATAAAAGGCTTTTTGTAATGAGTTCAGTCTTAAGAAAGGAAATAATACCTCAAAAGAAACACCTAAAAAAAATTACTGTAAATATTATAAATAGAAAAGTCCGTAATGAAATATCTACCAATGATTAGCCAATATTTCAGTGACTGTAATCATAAAATGTGAAGAGCAGAAGTTATCATCAATACTAGACTTAAGTTTACTAACAAAATGTAAAAAATGAAGGCAAAATAAGTGCATGTACAAAGCAAATAAAACACCTAACAATAAAACTCACAGAAGATATACCTACAGAAGAATATAAGTAAGACAATTTACAATCTCAAAAGGTAGAAACTTTCGCCAAATTTCCTCTATATTAAGTTAAAAGCTGCCAAAGAAACGCTAGTTGTCTGAATTGTCAAAAACGTATAATTCACATTGCTGTAATGTGCTTTTGAAGAGATAAAAGTGAAATTGTGTACTTACAATGACAACATAAGAAGGACTACAATTCGAGGCAATCTTATCAGATATTCGATTGTACATTTTGTCAAAACTGGTATCCCTGGGATTCTCGGGGGCTACATAATATCCCGCTATAGTTAAGTTCTTTTTTGAAGCATATTCATCAATCTACAAAAAAAAATAAAGTAAATATAGCTGTGACCTATTTTTATCCTGTAGCACATACTTGCATTAATGCTATTTCTGCCATCGGTGTTAAATTTATGCACACGTGAAATAGAGGAACACAATCAACAAATTCAACTTCCTTATTATTTGAGGATGATTTAGTTAAAAGGATGCCATTTACAGTACAGTGAGGATATTTAGAAGCATGCAAAATCATTTTGCAATATGCCTGCTCGGTAAATTTAATACTGGTCATTTTTAGAATCAAATTAGAAATATTTAATAATAAATAATTTACATGAACTAAATGATTAAAATAAAATATTGACACAGACTACTTGACAGATCATGAATTGACAAAAATCACAAAATAAGGATTAAAGATTAAATTTAAATAAGCATAGCCCTCTAGTAAGGTAAGTCCTATAGAAAGATTTGGGAGAGTTTCTAGCGCTAAATGCGGACGGGCCAAAAAGTTGAACGTTAAAGTTGAACCCTCCACGTAACACCCAAGGTTAGTAAAAGACAGGTTTCATGGTAACTAGGATATTGACAAAATGAAATATGTCACCGTGACGTCATCCAGGTGGTCAATTTTACGAAACAGAATAGGATCAGTGGTTTGGAGAACATATTTTGTTGTTAAATATCGTTAATGTTTTTGTTTATGTTTATATATTGAGATATAATGTGTACATAGATATCATTGAGTCAACGTAAACCCAAAACTCTTAAATAATTTTTAGTATGGCCAGCAAAGAAAACATAGATATTGCTGGACATAGAAACTTCTAGAAAAAGAAGATACTGAAAATAATATTAAATCATAGATTAGAGAACTTGACACAGCTAACTGGAAAGCGAAACTGAGTTTGAGGAAAAAGCAAAACATATTTTTAAAGATTTTTTAACTCCTAATCAACTACAAATAATATTGAAAAGAAAACAAAGGCTCGCCAGCCCCAAAAAGAATTATCAACGGTATTTAAATTAATAGGTACTTTAGTACTCTAAAGTACTTTTTGCACTTGCGTTTTGCATTATCCCCAATTCAAAAGTATGTACTGAAAATAATTTAAACAAGTCAATTGTATTCAAATATAGTATATTTGCATGCTTTAGTCACATATACACAAGTAAGAACCTACTTTTAATTTACTTTAGTAGCAGTGTTATTCTATTACATATATTTAGTTGCAATTATATTCTGTCATTTCTATAACTCTGTAGGTATCTCCCACATTTTTTAAAGATTGAATGAAATATACAGTCATTAAAATTACAAATCTATTTTTTTAATATACACAAAATAATATATCTTCAATCATTGCTGCTTATTGAGTTCATTTCAAGGAGTAAAGTGAATGATTTTGAATGTAGCATTCTCAGTGACGTCATTCCCGCCACTGGATTCTCGACGCTGATTGGTGTAAAGTTACCAGACAACCTGTCTATTTACTTACCTTGAACTTAACCACCGGTTCGGTGACTTAACTAGTAGCGCCGTCGCCATTATGAACGGCTGGGCCCATACAATTCACTTTCCCCACTTGTTCTATTCTATTTACACTACTATGTGTGGTATATACTGTGGACGAAAATTTATGATGATCATACTTTATGCTTTGCGAAAATTTCTATATATATAAAAAAGAAGAACTGGAGAGCAGTAGATTGATCCTTATAAAATTTGAATGGGTCAATAGTTTTTAAACTTTCTGATGTTGTAGCCTGTAGCATTAAAATATAAAATGTATTTGTATTTGGGTTTTAAAAAATGTTATACAGCGTTGTATTTCGTTTAAATTAAGATTTCTATAAAAATACGGGCTGTATAACACATTGTGTATGACATGAATTGGAGGGGTTTGTGATGCATTGTTTTGACAGTGAACACAGCCAGCTGATTGACGTCAATACCAGCATTTATATATTTGTTAAACAATGAATTGGTCAGCATAAACTCCAAAGTGTGGTAGTAGTACAGAATGAGTTTAAATATCCAAAAAATTCCAGTGTTCGTGTTTCCTAATTCTTTAAAATTTTATTTAAGTACTAAATCTACACACAAACAATTGTTGACTCTCTATAATCCATATGACTTCCCAGTGCGATTTAAAGGTAATTGCATTAAAATTAATACAATTATAATAGATCAAAAGCAATTTTAATGTTTCAGTGCTTTCTACTTCGCCAAACAAGTATGCAGTGATAGATCCAGAAGGAAGCATAGGACCTCAAATGTTAGTTGATATTGTGATTCGACATACAGCACCTATCATATCTAATTGTAATGTTGTGGATAAATTCAGGATATCTATGCAGGATCATGCTACCAAGCAGGTAATATCTAATAAATAATTTATCAGTGGTTAAAGTCTACATGCCTAATTAAAGCTTAATTTGTGGAAAAATGGTAAACAGTTACTTAATGTTTTTATTTGTACACAATACATTAGAAGTCATTTAGGAGCATGTTAAAAAGCTTAATAATTTGAAAGATATTATTTTAACCTTAAAAACATGTTTCTGCAATTAATAAAATGAATACTTTTATTAGATATAAGAGATTTGAATATTCTAGTTATGTATAACAGTTCCTATATGTAAAAGAAAGACAGATGTTGGTACATAAGATTTGTTTCAACTGATATATTTCACGTTGGCTTATTTATTTTCATTTGACTGTAATTAGATTATACTTTAAAAGTAGTGCAGCTTATTGAAATATTGACAGATAATGATTTATATTTTTGAAAAAAAAAGTAGATATGAAAATTCTAATGTGCAGTTTTTTTACCAGTGGTTGATTAATGATTGCCAGTGTTAAATCTCTTTCTGAAATTAGCTTGATTTCAAGCTAGTTTCAGAAAGCTTTCTCTCTCTTAGCTATCTCAGGGTTCTTCAACTCTTGTACTTTAAACCTTTCCTCTTTAATTCCTTTTTAACAAATACAATAAAAATTAGATATATAAAATGAAATCAAATTTTGAAATCACTACTGTTTAAATTAAAAATAATTAAAAGTAATTAATGCCAAATAGTCTCTAAAGGCTTTTGCATTATATGCACAACATCCGTCTTGTTGAAACCAAATTTTATATTTATTTCTTCGTATTTTATAAGTTCGTCTTTTGTTTATAGCTCCTTGGTAAAAGAGATATTGAAGCTCTGCTAATGCCTGGTGAAAGAGACAACATTTCCAATGATGGTGACTTTCAAAATTTACCTCATTCTGACAGAAGTACAACAGATGAACAAAGAATGTATATGACAAATAGGTAAGTCTTTATTTGTATATGACAAACAGGTAAGTTGGGAAAATTTCGAACTTTGCCAACACAGCTGGATTGCAAAATTGTTATTCAAAAACAAAGATTAATATCACATTTTTCTTTGCTTCATTTTTTGTAGATATCTCCAAATGTTTCATGTGAAATGTTCAGAAACTTAGTTTTCCAATTTGTCATAAGCAAATATCAATAAAGTTACTTTTTTCCTCGTTTTTTTGCAAATTGTCTTGGAATTTTGTATATGTTGTTAAATAATTCGCATAAGAGTTCAGTGTTCAAAACCTTAAAGATTTAAGCGATGGTTCAACTGCCTTACATTTTGTTTTAAACTGGAAATTGCATCTTATTACTATAATACTGATAGTCCAATTAACCTTTGTATTGTCTCTGGATACGCCTGGACCCGGAAGTGTTTCCAAATGTACGTGATGTTTGTTTTGTTTATTTTTCTGAGAAGGGTTAATAAATAAATAAAAGGACCAGGTGCTTTTGTTTTTTAATTTTTTTATTCGTTCTTGTAGCTCTTCTTCTGATATTAGTACTCTATTGTGGGTTTCATTAATGATTATTTCTCTGTTCTCTTCCTCTCCTTTGCCATATAATTTCATGAAATGCTCAGTCTATTGTTCCATCGATAACATGAAACTACAAAAGCTACAAATTAATAAAAAAAAATTGGAATTTTATTCACCACAGGTATGTTTTATCCAATGGGTCCACCCGTATGCATAGACAAAAAAATTAACATTTACTTCGGGAGAGTAGGAAGGTTAAATCTATCTTTCCGTCATAAGCATTTTCATAAAAATCGTCAGAGAAAAAATATGTGTTTGAAGATTATGCATAGTACGTTATGGTTTTGTTGTTTTGTGTTTTTATTTTGAAGATTTTTTCTTCTTGAAAGAAGAATTATTGTGAGGCTCTCCCCCTCACAATAATTCCATGTATTACATCAGTGAATAGGAAAAATAGTTTAAATTTTGTTTTAGGACACTGCCGGCGATAAATTCGACAAATTACATTTTGTCGATAGTCATAGGATTAGTTTGTGTGATAACTATGCTGTTACCAACTCAAGAAGAAACCCGAAGCCGTCTAGTATTCCCGCTCATTTTCATATTAGCGTCAATTTTAAGTTGGTATTGGCATATGTCTTAGGATTGGTTACAATGGTTATTTTCCGAGCATAATATCATGGTTGCTGTTGTATATATGGTGTTTTTAAATATGAATGATGCAACATGTGTTCAAGTGGTGTGTTTTTTACTGTAAATAAATAATGGTTTATTTTTTGTTATTCAGTTTAAATCATTTTATAATAAAACGTAAAATCTCGCAGTTTTTTTCATTTTGTATATATTTAAAATTTTGTATAATAAATTGTTTATTTACATGATTTTTATTTCATTGAAAAAAATATTTAACAATCTATGAATCTACGATTTGATTGTGTGTATTACAAACAAAATAAATATTGCTACAAAACATAAATTAAATATAAAAGGCCGACAAAATGTAAAGAATTTGACCATAAAGGAAAAGCAAGTCATAATTGAGACTTTATGAATATCATTTTGATTTTTCTTTTGCGGTATTGTAATTATCTTTAATATTTTGATTTAGAATTCGTATTTTAAAATACATTTTACATCTAAAAAAAGTAATTTTACATCTTCGCTAACATTTACATATTTTGCAGCTTCTATTAAGTTTTTTAAATAGTTTTTTGTTATTTTTAATGTGTCGCCATTATAACTACGAAAAATATGTTCCAGTTCACTGCATACATCCGTAACTTTTTTTAAAGACCTATCAAAAATAAAGTATTACTTCAAGTTCTATTAAAATGGGCATTAGTATATATTATTATCTATAGAAACATTTGCTCTGCTTTTAAAGTTTAACTTGCTGTCATTAAAGTTGTCTCGGGTTAACGTCACAAGAACATGCGCGTTGACTTATCTTGTTTTGCTATAGTATCATGATTTAAATAAATGCTTTCATTATTCTAAAAGTCACAATGAATTGATTTTCCATTTGAATATTTCTACTAACTACAATTAAATTTTAATATGTAATGAATGCTAGATTTTCTTATTCTATCATATAAAAAAAATAAAATTACCACTTATTCGGTTTCTTTAGCTCTATTATCCTTATTTAAGTTATTTGAAATTATATTTCTGAGAGTGGGCATTCTGATTGTGATTTACTCTGTGTCGTAATACTTTAAATGAAAATATTATAGAACCTTTTTATGTAGTTTTAATTGCAGCTATGTTAACAAAAGTGATTCATAAAGTAGTTTTGCAATAATAGAGATAATGTAAGATTGTATTAGTTCAGAGAGCAGAATTTAAATAAGTAGTGATTTGGGATGAAATAGTTTCAAAATTTATTCAATATTGGAAGGTACTGACCAAAATGGAAATGAATATCTTTTTGAATACATTACCCGGTATGAGGACAAATACTAATTGTTTCTTATTAGATACTTTGCCCGTTAGAGGATTAACAGGAAAGTGATAACATTTGGTATATTATACCTTGTGATAATTTTTTCTACTTCCATAGTTTAGTACACTACATAAGATTGTATTAGTTCAGAGAGGGGAATTTAAATAAATAGTGATTTAGGTTAAAATAGTTTCAACTTTTATTCAATATTGGATTGTCTTGCTCCTAATCAGGTACTGTATTTTTGGTACTAGTAGAGTAAAACTGAACGATGTCTGCGGAGATGAAATCTGCTTCAGTTACTAATAATTGTACAATAATTTTTATTCTCTGGAAACATTCTTTTTTATTTAATTTCCATTTAAAATATGTCTTATTTTTAAAAGCCACTTATGAATTTTTTGTACAGAATTAAGAGAGGGTGTAATACTTCCCGTAATCATTTTTATGGTGTTCTGTGGCATTAAACGTGAAGCAACATGACATGATAGATAAAGACTACATAGGAGCTACCAGTACATGGTTGTATATTTAGAATATGTATCATTTCTCAGTAGTATGAAGGTATTATTGAATAAACAAAGAATAAGTCTACAAAAAAATCTACAAACAAAGAATAAGTGTTTTAATTCACAAAACGACAATCATAACAATAAAAGGAAAAGATGATGAATACATAGTTTATACATGTATCTATCATAATTTGACATTATATTATATTACAAAATAGCCTCCCACTTGACTGCGCTTCTTAGATTGAAAGTTCTGAAATCTATCTGCCACAAACACTCAGAAAAGTTAATTTTGATTTATATAATAGGTACTACTCAAACAACCAAATTTCCTTTTCTTTCTGTGCCGTCTCTAATGGCCAATTATACTAAAGATTTGACTGAAGTAAATTGGAAACTGCAAGAATTAAGAATTGGCTTGCATCTTGTATGTTGTTTTGAATCATATGTTAAGTCAAATTATTTAATAATTATTACATAATAATAATCATTAAAAATATTATAAAACTGCTGAACGCAAATATCGCATTTGTTTTTCTTCACTGTGCACTTTCAAATATCTTTTTGTGAGAAAACAGCTTAAAGCAAATTTCACACTCCTCCAGTGTGCACTCTCAAATGTGTTTTCAAATTATTTGATTGACTAAATTGCTTAAAACAAATTTCACACTTGTAAGATTTTTCCCCAGTGTGGACTCTCAAATGTTTTTTCAAATTACTTGCGTAACTAAATTGCTTAAAACAAATTTCACACTTAAAAGATTTTTCTCCAGTGTGCACTCTCAAATGTGATTTCACATGACACCCCTGAGAAAACTGCTTAAAACATATTTCACACTTGTAAGGTTTTTCTCCAGTGTGCATCCTCAAATGTATTTTCAAAGTATCTGCCAGAGAAAACTGCTTAAAACAAATTTCACACTTATAAGATTTTTCTCCGGTGTGCACTCTGAAATGTAGTTTCAAAGAATTTGCATGAGAAAACTGCTTAAAACAAATTTCACACTTATAACACTTATAAGATTTTTCTCCAGTGTGCACTCTCAAATGTGATTTCAAATGATACCTCTGAGAAAACTGCTTAAAACAAATTTCACACTCGTAAGATTTTTCTCCAGTGTGCAATCTGAAATGGCGTTTCAAAGAATTTGCATGAAAAAACTGCTTAAAACAAATTTCACACTTATAAGATTTTTCTCCAGTGTGCACTCTCAAATGTGTTTTCAAATTACCTACTTGACTAAATTGTTTAAAACAAATTTCACACTTGTAAGATTTTTCTCCAGTGTGCACTGGCAAATGTGTTTTCAAATTACTTGCTCTACTAAATTGCTTAAAACAAATTTCACACTTGTAACATTTTTCTCCACTGTGCACTCTCAAATGTGATTTCAAACGACACTCCAGAGAAAACTGCTTAAAACAAATTTCACACTTGTAAGATTTTTCTCCAGTGTGCACTCTCAAATGTGTTTTCAAATTACTTGCTCTACTAAATTGCTTAAAACAAATTTCACACTTGTAACATTTTTCCCCAGTGTGGACTCTCAAATGTTTTTTCAAACTACTTGCGTAACTAAATTGCTTAAAACAAATTTCACACTTGAAAGATTTTTCTCCAGTGTGCACTCTCAAATGTAATTTCAAATGAGACCTCTGAGAAAACTGCTTAAAACAAATTTCACACTTGTAAGGTTTTTCTCCAGTGTGCATCCTCAAATGTATTTTCAAAGTATCTGCCAGAGAAAACTGCTTAAAACAAATTTCACACTTGTAACATTTTTCCCCAGTGTGGACTCTCAAATGTTTTTTCAAACTACTTGCGTAACTAAATTGCTTAAAACAAATTTCACACTTATAAGATTTTTCTCCGGTGTGCACTCTGAAATGTAGTTTCAAAGAATTTGCATGAGAAAATTGCTTAAAACAAATTTCACACTTATAACACTTATAAGATTTTTCTCCAGTGTGCACTCTCAAATGTGATTTCAAATGACACCTCCGAGAAAACTGCTTAAAACAAATTTCACACTCGAAAGATTTTTCTCCAGTGTGCACTCTGAAATGTCGTTTCAAAGAATTTGCATGAGAAAACTGCTTAAAACAAATTTCACACTTGTAAGATTTTTCTCCAGTGTGCACTGGCAAATGTCTTTTCAAATAACATTTTTGAGAAAACTGTTTAAAACAAATTTCGCATTTGTAAGGTCTTTGTCCAGTCGCAACTTTCATATTTTTATTTAATGTTCTTTGTTCGGAGTGTTGACTCATATAATTTCCTTTGTATGCTGAATCATTAATTAGGGTCTCCGTAATTTCCATTTTGTGTTTGTCTTGTAGAGAACCTAAAACAAACCAACTGTAATATAAATATTTGAGAATCAGGATAAATGAATTGAATAATCAAATTAAAGCATAATAAAATTTAAGTTGACAGAAGTAGTAATGATATAAATATGTTTTAGCAACATGTGTTTCTGTCTTCTCTATATGTGTAATAGTCAGCCCTATTATATTTTAATGTGTAGTATGTCAATACATTCAATATTGTGTGTAAAGATAGTAGTACAAACGTAGGTATTACACTGACTGTGAAACTTCTATGAGTCACCTTTTTTTAACTTATTTAAAATATGTACTAATGTACTTGTTTAACAATGGACAAGAAGTATAAACCAGTCTTTACAAAATATCATAAAAGATAAAATATATTCAATATTGTGGGATTATAATCATCACTTGCTCAACAGTCATTTTTGTCTTTTGGCCTGTTTGAGGATTCTTGTCCATTCTGATCTGTTTAAAGTTTTTTTTTTCAATTTTTTAATTTTTAAGGTTATTTTATCATTTTCTATTTATTCTATGTACTTATTTCATCTTCGGTCTTCCTCTTGTTCTTTTTCCTACTGGTACTTGTTTGATATTTTGCCACCCTCCATTCTTTTCGCATGTCCCATCCAACACAGCCCTCCCATTTTATAAATTCGTATCTTGGTATATTTTATATAGTAAAAAGTGTGGTACTAGTGTAATAATCCGAACGATGTCTAGGTTTCTGAACCATATGTGAGTACCGGTCTTATTAGAATTTTGTATATTTGGCATTTTGTTTTTCCTGTAACGTTATCTGATCTTAGTTACCTAATTACGTAGTCAGTAGTAACATTTATCGACAATGAAAATTTGTCTCTTCACTTCCTCTGCATTGTTATCAAACGTAACTAGGATCCTAATTATGTAAAAAATTTACGACCTATTTAAGATCAAAGTTATATTAATTGGTAAAAAAGTTATTCTGATTTATAGATCTAAATTAATAAGGGGGACTTAAATGCATTGTTACTAACCTTTTTCAGTTTTTTGGTTTTCTTCAAGTGGGTTAATGTTATTTCCATGTTGTTCTATTTCAGTATTTACGGGACATTTTTTAAAGTCTAAATAATCACATGTGTCAAGTATATTTTGCCTACTAGATTCCTCCTGAATTTCACATTTAAAGTTATCCCAAAGAGCATCACCCAATTCATTACACTCGATTTCTACTTTACAGGTTTCCTCGCTAATTTCTTGTTTTACTTCCATGTGATTGTACTTGATTTTTTGTATCCCAATAATAATTTTACATCCAAAACGCTAAATTTCAGACATTTTTCATATTGATTTGGATTTGATCCCAGTCACAAACACAAACAACTCACAGTGAAGAATGAAGATAGCCTCAAACGTCAAACATCAAAGCAGCTGTTCTGTTAATGGACCACAGGAGTGATGACGTAGTTTTATTGACATCTGTCAGTTTCACTTTCCAAACAAACCTTGTTAGTGTGGATAATTTGAATTTTTAGTTATTTTTTCATTTATTTTATAGAATCTTTCCGCTTTTTGCAATATTTAAGTATTCTAATAGTTACTACAACAATTTTACAAGGTTGTGTAAATCATAAACCACATTGTTTTAAATAGCAATCAATTGCATGTATCAATAAAGTAAGGTTAGAATTTCTTTAATTTAAACTTTTAAACTATATTTCATAGAAATAGAACTCTGAATTATGATGGTTTTATCGTAAAAAACACTATGCTTACAAAAAAAAAGCAACAGAGGAAGTAAAATCTTAACTTTATAGAAATTAAAAAGTCTTGAGTATTGGTGTGCATAGAAAAATTAACCCGGTTTAATTGACTTACGGCAATCATAGACATACTAAAAAATTATATTAACATTGTTAAATATGATAACATAACACTATCAATAACACTAATATAAATACAATAACACTATCAACCATAGCACAAAATATTAAACAATCAGAATGCCCACTCTCAGAGTCCGCCTTTGAAGTTTTTCAGCACGCGCGCCATGTTTTAGAAGGAAACACATAACACAGACATATGATTCGTGAGGTTATGTAATTGTTTATATTTATGTTTAATTATATAATATTTATGTTATGATATTTTAACAATGTTAAAATAATTGCATAGTATGTCTACGATTGCCATAAGTCAATTAAACCGGGTTAATTTTTCAATGCACACTACATAAGTTTTCATTAAGCAACACTGGTTCCCTCTAAAACATGGCGGACCATCTGCGCGAAGGACATGCGCGTACTTAATTTTCCATGTAGAGTGGGCATGGGCAGGAAGTGCGATCTTTAGAGGCCACATTAAACAAGGAAAGAGAGTCTCTCTCCTTGTTTGACATCAAATTTAGTTGTGTTATGTTATTGTTTGTCCCAAATGTCACATGAAATCTCATTTATATTGAAGTTTTTTAACAATTGTGTCGCATTTTAGACTATTATCGTTAATAATTAATTAAAACTTTCTCGTCTAAGACACATTCTGAAAAATATTATATAGCTACTGTTGATAAGTGTCGGAAAATTTAAATTTGGCGCATTCGCATTTCCGGATATGTCCGCCATCAGAGGCCACTTTTTTGGTCTCCTTTTCATAAGGATTAGATTTTAGATTCCCTCTTTTGTCTTTTTGCTCGATGGCTGGGACCAACACCAAATATGAAAAATGGCCGTAATTTAGCGTTTTGGATGTAAAATTATTATTGGGATACAAACAATCAAGTTCAATCACATGGAAGTAAAACAAGAAATTAGCGAGGAAACGTGTAAAGTAGAAATCGAGTTTAATGAATTGGGTGATGCTCTTTGGGATGACTTTAAATGTGAAATTCAGGAGGAATCTAGTAGGCAAAATACACATGACACATGTGATTATTTAGAATTTAAGAAATGTCCCGTAAATACTGAAATAGAAGAACATGGAAATAAAATTAACCCACTTGAAGAAAACCAAAAAACTGAAATAGGTTAGTAACAATGCATTTAAGTACCCCCATTATTAAGGCTGTTTTATCGGTGCACCAAAATTTTTTCTCTGTTATTTACCGACGAAATGTCTCGAAATTTGGACACGTTATACGAAATTATGTTGCCTTTAAACTGATGGTTTTACTTTTTTTATTTTTTTGAATTTTCGGTTGAAAAATTGGATTATACTGTTTAACGTTCTATTATAACCAAACTTTTCACGCCCATCAGTTGAAAGAGTTTTTTTTTCTGTAATCGTTGATTCTTTTTTCACCTTTCTGTGTCCAGTAATAATCGAGAAAAGCGTATTCAAACTTTGAAGAAAATTGCTAAAAAATACTGAAATCTAATAGTGAAACGTGTTCCTCATCATTGTCGCTGAGCTCGATCGTTATCGCATTAGTGACGTCAAATCACATGAGCGTACGGTACGGTCTTATTTTTATTTCTCTATGGGTACGGTCAGTTAGTTCGCTTGAATTAGAATCCATTTTAGTTCTTTCATTCCTGTATTTTCTTTATCAACTTGCTTAGTTTTTACAGTTTACAGTATTCTTATTTATTTTGAAAACATTGAAATTATTTAGTTTACGTGTATGTTAAGTAATATATTATTAGTTTAGTGGTATAAGTTAAAAGTTCTTTAGTTTACGCGTATTTTTAAGTATTACATTAGGTTAGTGATATAAGTTATAAGAGACAAGATAAAAAATGAGTCCCAGTAAACGTCCTATGTCAAGGAAAAGGAGAGCAATTGCACTGCTTTAGTATTTATTATTTATATTACAACCGTTTTTAAAAGCTTTTATTTAACTTAAAAATACCCATTCTCCATTTTCATGCAACTTTTCTAATATGGAGATTATCAAAGAAAAAATGGACGGATTGATAAGTACATTGACTTTTAAATGTCAAATGTGGAATATTGAAAAGGAGATAGCAACATAGGATTCTGGTAACAATTCACTGAACTTGAATGGTTCTGGTTATTCAGACATACAGCAGCAGCACGCTACATTAAATATACCTGTGATTTCCTACAGGCAGTATGCAAAACATACGGAAACAGTTGCAGATATCATCGGCCAAACACTTGTGATTCCTTAGAAGAGGCTGGACGGGAGGAATTAGCTTTAGCCAAAGAAATTGGTGAAGTAGATTCCGACGGAAATGGGTTAATAACCGTTATAGCTGATGGTGCTTGGTCAAAAAGATCGTATAAAGTAAACTACGATGCTTCTTCAGGTGTAGTACCTGACGTTGTAAAATTTATTAAATTAGTACGCCTTTGATGGATAGGACATGTAATTAGGCGAGATGAAGATGAAACGATCAGAAAAATTTTCGACCGAAGAGGACCAGTGGGAAGACGATCCAGAGGAAGACCAAAACTTAGGTATCAAGATAACATAGAGGATGATCTAAAATCCATCGGAGTTAAAGCATGGAGAAAGTTGCCAGAGGCAGGGGCGAATGGAAGATTGTTCTGAAGAAGCCTTTGGCTCATGACGAGCTGAAATGCCACTGATATGATGAAATAACTATCCAAGATTTGTGTTTTATTCATCAATTGGATACTTTTCTTATGTAACTGCAACCTATAAATATATTAAAATAATGTATATTCCATTCAGAGAACTTTTTCCTCGCAGTGCGTCGCCTCGAAATACTTGCCAGATAAATACATTTACTATTATGATGGTTTCGCAGGTACCAATTTTTTATAGATAAATAAAAATATTTTTGTTTAATTTTTACTACGCTAATATCAGTTTTCTCTAACAAATATTAACAAAATATTAATTATATATTAATATTAATATAACAAAATTTAAATTTATTATAAATAAACACCATGGTGTTTTTTGCAGTCACGTTTCACAAATTTTCATTTAATACTATGTTTAGACATATAAATTAAAAATGTGATTAATTCTTTTTAAAACATTATCTACGATAATTAATCTAAAAAAAAGTATTCCGACAAAACTAATTTGAATGGAGAATAATGCATTTATTTTAAACAACCCGTCGGCCGGCGCCACTGAATAAACATCCAAACTATGTATTAGGAAGTCACGTACGGTCTGACATAGCAGTTTAGAAAAGTAAGTGATACGCCCACTTCAAATCGCAGTATGCTATAACTGCGAAAACAGCCTTAATTTGGATCTATAAATCGGATTTATAGATCCGATTATTATATAGATTATATTATAGATTACTTTTTTACCAACTAATATAATTTTGATCTTAAATAGGTAAATTGTTTTGTTACTACTGCGTAATTAGGTATCTAAGATCAGTAACGTTACAGGAAAAACAAAATGCCAAATATACAAAATCCTAATAAGACCCATACCCACATAATATGGTTTAGAAACTTTGACATTCTCTAAAAGGCACAGAAGAAAGTGAAATTTGGCAAAGAAGATACAACTTTGTGATATATAAAATATACCTGGATAGGAATATCATAACATTTATTAAAATGGTAGGGCTGTGTTGGATGGAACATGTGAAAAGAATGGAGGATGGCAAAATACAAAACAAGTACCAGTAGGAAAAAGAACAAGAGGAAGACTGAAGCAGAGATAGGTACATAGAATAAATAGAAAATGATATAATAACCTTAAAAATTAAAAAATGGAAAAAAGCACCTAAACAGATCAGAATGGACAAAAATCCTCGAACAGGCCAAGACACAAAAACAACTGTTGAGTCAGTGATGATTATAATCCCACAATATTGAATATCTTTTGGTATCTCTTTGAATTCTCTTTGGTATCTATATCTTTTATATTACAGTTGGTTTGTTTTAGGTTATCTACAAGACAAACACAAAATGGAAATTACGGAGAGCCCAATTGAAGATTCATCTTACAAAGGAAATTATATGAGTCAACACTCTGAAGAAAGAACATTAAATAAAAATATGGAAGTTGCGACTAGACAAAGACCTTACAAATGCGAAATTTGTTTTAAACAGTTTTCTCACAAATGTTATTTGAAAAGACATTTGCCAGTGCACACTGGAGAAAAATCTTACAAGTGTGAAATTTGTTTTAAGCAATTTAGTCAATCCAGTACTTTGAAAACACATTTGAGAGTGCACACTGGAGAAAAATCTTATAAGTGTGAAATTTGTTTTAAGCAGTTTTCTCATGCAAATTCTTTGAAAGTACATTTCAGAGTGCACACTGGAGAAAAATCTTATAAGTGTGAAGTTTGTTTTAAACAGTTTTCTCAGCCACATTATTTGAAAATACATTTGAGAGTGCACACAGGAGAAAAACCTTGCAAGTGTGGAGTTTGTTTTAAGCAATTTTCTTGTCTGTGGAATTTGAAAACACATTTGAGATTGCACACTGGAGAAAAATCTCACACTGGAGAAAAATCTTACAAGTGTGAAATATGTTTTAAGCAGTTTTCTCAGGGGTGTCATTTGAAATTACATTTGAGAGTGCACACTGGAGAAAAATCTTTCAAGTGTGAAATTTGTTTTAAGCGATTCAGTTATGCAAGTAATTTGAAACAACATTTGAGAGTCCACACTGGGGAAAAATCTTACAAGTGTGAAATTTGTTTTAAGCAATTTTCTCAAGCAGGAAATTTGAAAACACATTTGAGAGTGCACACTGGAAGAAACTGTTAAGTGTGAATTTTGTTTTAAGCAATTCCCTCAAGCAGGAAATTTGAAAACATGTTTGAGAGTGCACACTGGAGAAGTGTGAAATTTGTTTTAAGCTGTTTTCTCACAAAAATATATTTGAAAGTGCACAGTGAAGAAAAACAAATGCGACCTTTGTTTTAAGCAGTTTTATAATATTTTTAATGATTTTTAATATGTAATAATTATTAAATAATTTGACTTAACCTATGAATCGAAACAACATACAAGATGCAAGCCTTGTTAATTCTTGCAGTTTCCAATTTACTTCAGTCAAATCTTTAGCATATTCGGCCATTAGAGATGGCACCGAAAGAAAAGGAAATTTGGATGTTTGACTAGTATTATATAAATCAAAATTACCTTTTCTGAGTGTTTGTGGCATATAGATTTCAGAATTTTCAATCTAAGAAGTGCAGTCAAGTGGGAGGCTATTTTGTAATATAATATAATGCCAAATTATGATAGATACATGTATAAACTATTTACTCATCATCTTTTCATTTTATTGTTATGATTGTCGTTTTGTGAATTAAAACACATATTCTTTGTTCCTAGTTTTATTTAACAATACCTTAATACCACTGAGAAATTATGCATATTCTAATTGTACAACCATGTACTTGTAGCTCCCACATAGCCTTTATCATGTCATGTTGCTTCACCTTTAATGCCACAGAACACCATAAAAAGGATTAAAGGAAGTATTATACTTTACACCCTCTCTTAATTCTGTACAAAAAACTCATGTCTGTACAAAAAATTCCTAAGTGGACACTTTAAGTGGAAATTACATAAAAAAGAACGTTTCCAGAGAATAAAAATTATTGTACAATCATCAGTAAGTGAAGCAGAATTCATTGATGTAAATTTTATCTCCTCAGATACCGTTCTGTCTTACTACATTAGTACCAAAAATACATTACCTGATAAGTAGCAACACAATCCTATATTGAATCAAATTTGAAACTATTTCAACCTAAATCACTACTTATTTAAATTCTCCTCTCTGAACTAATGCAATCTTACATTATCTCTATTATTGCAAAACTATTTTATGAATCACTTTTGTTAACATATCTGCTAGTTGCAATTAAAACTACATAAAAAAAGTTCCATAATATTTTCATTTAAAGTTTTATATAGGCTTTACACCAACAAGAAATTCATGAATTCATTCATCAATTCCAGTGTCAATAAATTCGTGAATATCTTAGAGGTAAAAGTTTCTTTGACTCCAAATACATTTTTAAATCAAGTGTCATTATTTCAGTAGTACCAATGGTTTTATTGTTGTTTGTTTGAATGAAGATATATTTGGAAAATAATCAGAAAACACTAATATTGTTTTAAAATGAAAATAGTGATTAAGATTGTACAAAAAATTATGTTGAATTTGGTAAAGAGTAAGAGCTTGAACAAGAGGTAAAAATTACTGTAAATTATATGTAATCAATGGAAATTATTGAGTTTTAGACACAAAAGATAATTTCAAATAACTTAAATAAGGATATCAGAGCTAAAGAAACAGAAAAAGTGGTAATTTTATATGATAGAACAAGAAAATCTAGCATTGATTGTTTAAAATTATTTTATTCAATTTATATGTAAATTCCTAGACTTAGGTTTTACCAAGACCGCAACCCTGTCAGTCCTAGGCAATTAGAATGTTATAATTTTATTATGTTGCCATAAGAGCACACAATAAAGAAGGTGTGTAGAGATTTCGTTTTATAAGTTATTTATTCACCCTGTCAATCAACTATTTACCACTACGATTAACCAGCGACCAGTCAATTTAAATAATTCATTACATACTAAAAATTAACTGTAGTTAGTAGAAATGTTGATCAATTCATTATGACTTTTAGAATAGTAAAAAGCATTTATTTAAATACAATACCTGCCTGCACCAAGTCGAAGTAAAGAAGAAAGAAATGTACGATGCTTTTTATAATCTTTTAACCATTTATAATAAGGCCAATATGGGTCAAGTGGGACACTTACCTCAATTTCAAATAAATATATTAAGATATTTTGGAAACAATTAGTGTGATTAAATTTTTCGTATATGTTTATGTGATCGGTGAGAGATAATCCTTCAAGAAATTATGACTTTCAACATATATTTGTGTAAAGCAAATACTCTATAATTTTTTTAAATCTTAAGTCAAATGTCCTCATTTGCCACAATGTACGGGGTAAATGAAGACTGCAATTTTTTCCCAATTTAACTCACCTATAAAATCAAATGGGTAAATGAAGACAAAATCTTATCATTTAATGGATATAAAAAATAATAAAATCAATAATTTCTCTTACTAGTTTATTCAGAAACTAAACGGTACAATGTCAACTAAGTGATTCATTAAATTTAAAACGACAAATTAAATAAAAACAATACTATTTGTGAGAAATCTTCGACTCTTTTCATACTTGTTCAATGTCCTTAATACAAGGGTATATTACGGGATTTTTGCCTTCTAGAAATACCTCCATTATAATTGATTCTACCGCTAGATTCTCAATCTTCAGATGAACCTAACCTAACCTGATCAAACCTAACTCAACGCAACGAAAAACAAAATATTTTCTTTTTTACAAAATAAAATTTTCTTGTACATATTTATATTTTTACAAAATTTTACAAGAAACCATATTTTTTGAAAATACGGCAACATTGGTGGAAAAGTGACATGATATTAACAACAGTAGATAAATAATATTAAGAGCACAATCAAAATGGATTAAATATTTGAAAATTGATGTCAAAACACGCAATTTTTAAACGAGAATTATAGAAAAAATATGCATTAAAATACAGAATCCGTCATTTTTAGAGCATTATAAAGTGAGTAGGAAGCCATCATGGACATATAAACACAGATGGACTCAGTTATTTACATAAAATTGTGAAGTCAAAATTATTTGAATAGGTCACATTCTCAGCACCTTCAACTGTTGTCACGTTTTGTTTTAAAATTTCTTATTCGCGAGTCGCTGAAAATATTACTCCGTATTTTTATACTCTACAGGTGCTATCAAACCAAAATAATAATTTATTGTTTAGATTAATATATTTAAATTGTAATCAAAATATAAAGTTTGCACATAGTGTGCATTATCATTTAATAATAGCGTATAATAAATATCAATCAAATATTTTATATGTAGAAGCACTGAAAACTATTTATAAATGGCAACGGTTGTTTACATTTCCCTGTCTTATGGATCTACGTCAAACTTCAAATGCTGTTCCATGTTTGTTTACTTAGTAAAAGTTGTTTTTCGATATTTTGGCTGTATTTTGAGTGATATTTGTGAAAAGTGAAATAAAATAAACGAAATATTTACATCCCGATCTCTCATTTCATTTGTAAGTACATACAATTTACATTATTTTAGATGAGGAAGCGTGTCTGTTTACATTTTAATAGGCGTACCATTGGGTTTATTCATGTTCATTAATGTATTGAATAAGATATGAGTTCATGAAATTAGTAGACATTTGTAAATTGTAAGTAGACATCATCTGATTAAAAAAGATCTGTTTAGTACTTTTTTAATTTAATATTTCTCATGAATACAAATAAATTAGTGAAATGAATAAAACTCATTTATTTTTCTATGTAGGTTTCCAAATAATATTGACGATCGAACTATTTGGGTAGCAAATTAAGGAGAAAACATAAAGATTTTTTATTGTAGCATTATTTTGATACTTTTAAAAAATTAACTTGAATTCAACTATATTTAATTGTATTCATTTTAAAGCAAATACAATTGTATTTTAATTTTTCTATAAAGACGTGATTTGTTAATAGTTAAACTCTCATTTTTTTTTAATTCTTTGAACGTGTTTTTATACATTATTACTACTACCAATTTTTAAAATCTGAATAATTACCCGCGAGTAAAAATTCAAGCACGCTTATGCTCATTGCGGAAGCATCACATTCTATCGAAGCTTCAAAACATTGTGTGTTAAAGGTATGTTATTGCTGTGTCCATCTATGTTTATACGTCCATGGAAGCCATACATAACAAATATTTCAAATTTTAACTTTTATTTACCGTCCACTGTTACCCTTAGTATTACTATTATGTAATTAGTTTATAACTGTTTTATCTTAACAAATAAATATACGTGTATCTAGAAAAAATTGTGCATCTTTTATATATCCTTATTTTCCAGTAAATTTTAATTAGTAAAGAAATAGCCCGCAAAAGGCGCTAAAGGTTATGTAAGTAAGGGGTGTCCATTCGAATTTGCCGCCAAAAGATGATTAGTATTGGTCCTAAGGAACGCAAGGGGTCCTAATGAACGAAATTTATACATTGAGTTGCCTATCTATTTCTACTATATTATATTATTTATCTATGAACATAAATAATTATGCCAAGAGAAATTACTAGACATTTCGGAATTTTTCGATGGCATCTCGATCATTCTAGATTTCTTAAACACTTCTTCTTTTTCGTCTACAGGAATAAAAAATAGAAAACAGTTAACATTAATTCATATATTTCAATGATAGTCTACAATAAAGACATAATTTTAAAATTATGAAATACAATTACTTCAAGGTGACTTCGAAGCACTTCTAGATCTACTTCGTGATTTTGATCGTGACCTAGACCGACTTTTAGATCTAGAACCACTTTTTGACCTAGACCTTTCCCTGGAACCACTTTTTGACCTTGATCTTGCTCTTGACCCACTCCTTGATCTTGAACCACTCTTTGAACGAGATCGAGATCTTGATTTAGACCTGGAACCACTTTTAGATCTAGATCTGGATCGTGATCCGCTTTTTGATCTAGATCTCGATCTGCTCTTTGACTTGGAACGAGATTTCGATCGGGATCCGCTTCTTGATCTACTCCTGGATTTAGATCGACCACGAGATTGATCCGAGTCGGAGCCGGAAGATATTTTTCTTTTGCGTTTACCACTATACCCTTGGTCACTTTCATCTCCACTCGCCATTCGAAGTTTGCCACCGTCACTGTCATCATCGCTAGATGATATAGTAGCTTTTGAAACAATTCTGCTCTTTTGTTTGGAACTAAGACCTTCGTCTTTCTTAGGCTTAGGTTCTTTCTTCTTTGCGTGTTTCTTTCTGGGCTTGTCGCTTCCATCGGAATCGTCGTCATTGTCTTCCTTACGCTTTCTGCCTCGTTTTCCTTTGGATTTCTTTTCGCCGTCGTTTTTCTGTCGTTTGCGCCCTCTCTCTTTTTTATCTTTCTTCTCTCTCTTCTCGCTAGATGGGCCTTCGCCTTCTCCACCGCTTTCAGAATCGGACATAATATCGCCTTTACTTCTTCCTTTACCTTTGGCTGCCTTCTTTTCGGAGGGCATGTCTTGAAATATAATAGCGTTCTTTGTTTTTTCTTTGTATTCTTGTCGTTTTTGCACCAGCTGTTCCTTGTTGAGCCTCTGGAATTCAGCGAATTTCTTTTGTTCTTCGATTTGCCGCATTTTGAATGCTACTCGCTCCTCTTCTTGTTTTCGTCTGATCAATCGCTCTTCCTCGTCAACGCGTCTAGCTCTTGCCACGTGATATTGCGCTTGAGATAACAAATCTTTACACTGTCTTGCTTCTAACTCTGCAACTGCAACGTCGTACCGTTGCTTGTCAGCTAATTCTACGAGATAATTAAAATACCTAAAAAATATAAACTGTTAATTTTCCAGAAAGTATATTAAAAATAAAGATTATATACAGATCACGACATTGTTTTATTGACCATAAAACACAATGGCAATCGCTGTGATATGTTACACGTTTCCACCTCTACAGTGTAGGTAAAAGTTTATGGTCGGTATGTACCTTACGTGAGATTGAGTGAGAAAACACCTTTTAAAAAGAGAGAGGTATATTAGGTCCGCCCTTTATATTGTCGAAATAGCAGTAGTGGAACTAAGAAAAGATGAGAAGTTCAACGTTGCCAAACTTATTGGTTTTATTTGACCTGTTGTTTTTTTAGCATTTTAACAACGTTCTAAGATAATCAAATTTGGGCGAATTGATTTAAATGGCAGCTTACTGTTTTTTATTTTAAATATGCCACAATTTTCCTTTTACAATAAGTTTAATTTAACATTTTGATTTCCACTTCGGAAATCGTTTTATGTAAATAAAATTTATTAATGTTTCGTATTTTAAGTACGATTTCCGAATTAAAAATCTAAACATCAAAATAAGCTTATTTTAAAGTCACATTGTGCCTTATTCGCAATAAAAATAATAAAATTCAATATGACACCACAATACAAAACCTTCTTACATAATTATTTGGCAACGTCGAGCTTTTAAAGTAAGGACTCCGAACTATGAACTGTGTTCGTAGTTCTCTAACTGTAGTAATGAGAAAAACAGTAGAGGCGAGTCTTTGACGTTTATATTATCGTTTATATGAAACTGAACTGCTTTTCGTTAACAAGGAACAAGTTGAAAAACTAATTAAAATATTTAATCGAGTACATAAACAAACATGCTTTCTTGAATCAAAAAAAAATATACTGAAATACTTTCAACGACTTTTCAAATTTGCTGTAGTTGATTTATAACTAAGTTTTTCTTTGCAAAATTTGCATACAGCCTTCTGTTAATGTCTTTCTCAAAGTGATGCCATAAAATACTAACATCTTTACGCGCAGACATGTTAAACACACCATTACTTAATAAAGTAAATATTTAGTACTCACAGAATAAATTCACATTTACGTTAAACAAAACACTCTCACACAACTAAAAATAAAAATTTAGTTTGCAGAATAATATAAAACGTAAATCGGGGACTCCCATGTGTTAATATTTCAAATAAAAAATAATCGATCATTGTAAAATTCAGAAAGTCCAGCATAAAAGCTGCATCTTCTACAAATGTGCATTTTTTGAAAATACAATTATTACGCTTGTACTAGGTAAATGATTTTAAATAAGAAAACGACTTCTTAATTGAAAATTTACAATAAATAAATCCTTTAACGAACTATCAATAAAGATTTCAACTTCAAAACACCATCAACTAGTTGGCTTCCCAGTGAGAAAACGTAGATTCTTTAACGACAAATAAACGGTTAAATAAAACAGTTCGGTGATTCAATGCTCATCTCTATAGAACAGAACTAGTTCTGTGATATGTCATGCGTAATCACGGTAGTAAGTTGTTCCTCCTCTAAAAAGAAATACATAGCTGTCGACAGGCCGACAGCATAGCGATGTTGCCAAAATTATCTTATATTATTTAAAATTGGGTTGCAATTTCGTCAAATAAAAATGCGAATCTGTAAATTTTTCATGAATTTTAGAAATTTTGGACCAGTATTTGTGTCAATTAATGTTTCATTTTTAATATCATCATTAAGTTTTGAATGGCAATATAATCGCACCACTGATCGCCAATTTTTAAAATCAATTCAATGTTTTAATTCAAATATGTAATAAAGCTAAGCTGGATCGGAAATTCGTAAGACGTTCATTAATAAGCGTGTCTAAAAAATGTGGAGGGGAGACCAAGGGGAAATATATTTGTTTTCTGTCTATTCGTTGAAAATATGATTTTATATCTGTGTTAGATATCCTGTTAAATTTTACCATACCGACCATAAACTTTTACCTACACTGTATATTCATTCCACAGTAGGTACGAATTGTCGTAATTGCCACATTGACATTAAAAATTTCAAACGAAGTTCTGACAGAATAAACAAATAATTAATAAAATGCCTATTACGTTGTATACCGTCCAAGACAAGGTTGCAACTTGTAACATGGTACTTTCAGGGTCATTCGATACGCGAAGTAATCGATTTATTTATTGTTTTCGAAAATAGACCCCCACCAAGTGTTACCACAGTTAAAAATACCATTAAACATTGTCAAACTTCGGTATGTGTAAACAGTTGTAAAAAGTGTCATGAAGGTAATGAACCCTGCAATAGTGTACAAATTGCTAGGGAAGTTAACATGAATGCTCGACTGTCCAGCGAGTCCTCAAAAGGAATGGGTATCATTGTTTTAAGATACAACCAACACAAGAACTGTTTCCGGTAGATAACTTTAGACGGATGGAGTTTTGGTGAATTTATGTTCATTACATAAAAACACAAGTAGATAGACTATGGGTCTTTGAGCGCAACCCCTAAATCGCAACCCCTAAAATCGCAACCCCGGTCGTAAGTTCCAAACGGCTTAACGTAGGATGACATACGAGGGGTCGTTGGAAAGGGGATGAAAAATGGGGTTGAACGCAGTATGTGCCGTGCGCATCGGAGCATGCCAAAAGGTCATTATGGGGTATCTTCGTTTCTATTGGTCAGATCGGGGCGTACGAGGGCTCGTTGGAACAGGGAGAAGGCATGGAGACAAAAAACAAAGATGGCGGCGTTGCCAAATGGGCGCTAAAACGTATCTTCGTTGCTATTGGTCGGATTTTGACGTATGAGGTGTCAAAGCGTTGGATGTCACGTGACATTCGACGCAGGACGTGAATTGACGTGACATTCGATGCAGGACGTGACATTTATGTGACATTTGACGCAGATCGCGAAATGTCACGTGACATTCGACGCGGGACGTGACATTCGACACAGAACGTGAAATGTCGCGTGAATTGACGTGACATTTGACGCAGGATGTGACATTTATGTGACATTCGACACAGAACGTGAAATGTCACGTGAAATGACGTGACATTCGACGCAGAACGTGAAAATGTTGCGTGAAATAACGTGACATTCGACGCAGGACGTGACATATATGTGACATTTGACGCAGAACGTGAAATGTAGGAATTACGTGACGTGAGACGTTTTGACGTAACAGTTATGTGTCAGTCAAGACATCGCTTGACATAAAACGTGACATTCAACATAGGACATATTCAGTAGTACTATGAATTCCATCGAGTACATACATAGGGTTATGGAATTTCAACGTAAACTTGATCAGTTAAATAGAGACATTAAATCATATGAGAATATAAAACAAATTAAAAGACAATTAGATAGCCTGCATATTGAGGACAAAACGTGGAAACCAAAAGAGTTGAATCTACAGCAGCAGCAGCAACAGCAAGACACCTGGATTTACGCCTGCAGAAAACTGCCACCAGCTTCATATCCATTGAGATCCATCCGTTGCAAGGTATTATTCTAAGGAAATATAAGCACTTCAGTGTTGCAGTACGAACGGAGCATCCGCAAAAGTTAAATGTTTGGACTGGGATGTTGGGCGACCATATTGTCGGTCCATTTTTTATCGATGGAAACCTAAACGGGCCCAAATATTTACAACTTTTACAGAATGAGATCATTCCGGCAGTTCGACGCCTTCCCGATAGTTTTCAGGAGGTATATTTCCAACAGGATGGGTGTTCGGTTTACAACTCTAGAGCGACTATTGACTTCCTCAATTAAACGTTTCTTGATCGACTGATAGTACACGTGGTACAATTAAATGGCCCGCTAGATCTGTGACTTACCGCCTAACGATTTCTTTTTTTGGGGTTTTCTCAAAGAAAACATTTATAGGCATCAGTTTGAAAGGGCCACAAACCTAGTAGAATCAAGGGCAAAAATACTTCATGTCTCTGCAAGCATTACACCAACCCTACTACAAAATATGAGGAGAAATCTGTATGACAGATTTGGTACTGTTTAGCACAAGGAGGTGGAATATTTGAGCCCTTAATTAATTAATCTGCTTTCCTAATTTTTATTTTTTGTTAGGTACATTTTACGAAGTTTGTAGGTTCTTAATTAGGTAGTATATTTTATGTTTAAGTTTGTTTGGAAGAATTTTATGGTTTTTTTTTTAAAAGTACAAACGATTCTTATTTTGATTTTTTTCTTCTTTCTTGCTTTATTGGTTTTGTACAATTTTCAGTGGCAATAAAGCATATTACTTATTTATTTGTAGTGCTATTAAGGCTAAAAAATAACCAAAAAATCAGTTTTAGAGCATTCTAACAAATATACTCTAGAGATGGCATTGCAATAAATCTTAATTCCTATGATCAATAAAACAATATCGTTATCTGTATAATAAAAATGAAAATTAGGTAAATTTAATGACTGCGCCAACTAGCTAAACTACTACACGTCATGAATTCAAGTCAAAATAAAAAAAATGTAAAAAACAGAAAAGATATAAAGTTAACAGAGAGAACAGGGAACATCGATGAAAATTGTTCTAGTTCAAACCAAACCCTTCTTTCAGTGCGTCATAGTTTATCGAATTCTCTATAACGCATTAAGTTGGAAGTGACAGAAAAAGATACACCCGTGATTATAATAAAATTTAGAAAATTATGTAGCGTTGACGGGTAGTAGCATACCAAAACGACTTCTACTTAAGGATGTATAATTGGTTGACGTTCATAATACACTAAACCGATGACCAATCAATTTTAACTGGGTAATTGTTTGACTCTAATAAAAAAAGCACTTAACATGGTTTGCCTTAACACTTCTGAAATATCACTAGTGTCTTTACATTTTTTCTTGTTCATTTTAGGTCAGCATGATAATTGCAATAAAAGTGCAAGAAGTAATAACCTTTTCATATTTGGCTGATTACGATTCTGGCAACTATCAGCTTTAACTAAAATGACGCACTGTTACAAGGGTTTGGTTTGAACTTTATAGGATTTCTGCTACTTGAAGGTGACTAGGTGTCAGGAGACAGGAGGCTCGGGAGACTGAGACCTCGGAAGACCTGAAGAAGACATCGAAGAGGATGTCGAAAGCTCGGAACATCAACATTAAAGCTTGATGGATATTTTTTGTCAAGTTATTGTCGGAAGGTAAGGGAACCTGGAGGTGTAAATTTTAGCGATAATAAAATCTCTACACGACCAGTTTGCTCATCTGAACATTAGGGTGAATTTTGTGCATTAGAAATTATAGATATTAAAACTATTTTAGTAACAATGTATAGAAACCGTAAATGGAAATTTTAACGTTTTTCTAGACCTATTTGAAAATTTATTGGTTTATACGGAATAACTGTTTGGGGTAATTCTTCTCACGCAGATAGAATTTTTAAACTACAAAAAAGAGTAGCCAGGATACTTGCAAGAGCAGAATATAGGGGACACTGCAAACCTTTATTTATGGATTTAGCCATTAACTTTTATGATAGAGCCGTATTTTAGACATATATAGATACTTACTTAAGAGATAAACCCAGCTCGTGCACAGCCTGTAATACGGTGGATAAAGTGGACTTCTCGTCTTTTAAAATTACGGTCGCTAATCTCTGCAATACAAGTGCTATATTGTATAAAAGTATCGTGTCTTGTGGAGCTACTCGTCGTGCTTTTAACAATACCATTTTGGCCTCTTTGAATTTTCCCGCTTTGAAGTAAGCCCTAGCGAGATACTGCAGCACTTCTACGTTATTGTATTTGTAGAATTTTCTCAAGCAATTTTCATACTGAAAAAATATATAATTACATTTTATCATATACATACATATACAGTATAGGTAAAAGTTTATGGTCGGTATGGACCTTACATGAGATGGAGTGAGAAACAACTGTTTAAAAAGAGAGAGATATATTAGGTGTCCGCCTTTTATATCACCGAACATAAATGAGTGGATATGGAGTGGATATAATAAAAAGGGGAAATTCAACGTTGCCAAACTTATTGATTTTATTTGACCTGTTGTCTTTTTCGCATTTGAACAATGCTCCAAGATAATAAAATTTGGGCGAAATGGATTTAAATAGCAGCTTATTGTTTTTTATTGGGAATATGCCACAATTTTACTTTACAATAAGTGTAATATAACATTTTGATTTATACTTCGGAAATCGTTTTATATAAATAAAATTTATTAATGTTTGGTATTTTAAAAACGATTTCCGAATTAAAAATCTAAACATCAAAATAAGCTTATTTTAAAGTGACATTATGCCTTATTTCCAATAAAAATATTAAACTGCATATAAATAAAAAAGCTTCGTACAAAACTATTTGCCAACGTGGCGTGTCGCGTGGTCAAATCACCGAATCAAAGCGTAAACAGGTATTTACGAATAGAGGTGGGTCATTGACGTCGCAAAACCGATTTTCGTAAACAAGTAACTATGATTTTTTAATAGTAGTTTCAAGTAAGAAACTACCTACATAAACAAACATAATGGCTATTATCGTTTATCTGTATATTTATTGAAGTGAAGGAAACTAATAAAAGATTTTATTATAACTTGAAAACTAAACTAAACAATACAAATAGTAAATCGTACCTACGTTTACATTACACGTTATTATTAAATCACGAATCGTCTAAATTGACATTTAAAAACATAAGTTTTTTTACTTTACTTCTTATTAATTGTGTTTTTCTTTTATTTAAAATTAAACCTGATTTTGAACATGTGTTCACATTTACAATACTTTATGAATATAGTGGTTAAGTTAGGAGATACATGGCGATGGTTTTTCCACCATTGTAATGGACTCTCGCTACAGGTGTACGTTTAGATGAGTCATGTCCAATTAATTGATCAAAAATACACCATGGACTTAAGTCATCTTTATCGGTTTCTTTTTCTTATACTGGTTGATTTTCAATAGTACAATCTTCTTGTTCTTTAATTATAGAAGTAACCAGCTTCTTAACTCTTTCTTTTGTTTTTTTAGCGTCATTTTTATCAGAAAATCCCTGCACTTTAAATCGTGAATCCATAAACGTACATAATGACAATATGCCACTGTATTCTATCCCTCTAAATCTTTTTGCTAAACCCGAGATTAGTAATTATCCCGTAATTAGTAATAAAAACCCGTACTACGTCGGATACTAACTATGGATGTAAGGTTACTGTTTGCTAAAATTTTATTGCAAGATTTTTGCAGGCAGCGTACCAGAACAATCACTGAACTATCATTCAAGTATTTTTGGCCACTCATTGTACTTGTTATTTCTTTAAAAGGCCGTAAAATTTAGGACAATTACGAAAAAATAATCCAGTCTTCATTATTTAGATTTGGTCTAAGTCTAAGTCTGTATTAACTGATACCAATGTGGAACGGATTGCCTCTTCTAACTCCGTCATTCTTTCTAACATGTAATAGGTGAAGTTCTACCTAGTTTCCACGTCTTGGATTGGCCGTTTGGGATCTTTGTTATGTTGTAATTGATACTTTAAAAGCGTTTCTGAAGATAAGGTACTTTTTTGAAATGTGTTTTTTGCCGAATTGTCGAAAAAAAGACTTTTTATTTTATCTATTTGTACACGACAGCATTTAAGTGCGTCCTCCATCAATAAATTTAACGTATGAGCAAAACAATTTAAATGTTTTCATTCCAAAGCATATTTAAGAGCTATGACCATATTTGAGGCATTATCAGTTACTGCAAAATTTACTTTTTGTTTTAGACCCCACTGAATAATAATTTCACTAATTTTAAAAGCGATGTTTTCTGAATTATGGTTTCCAGAAAAATGGCAGCAGTCTAATTAAACCGTGTTAAACTCTAAATTTTCGGTTAAATTCGTTAAAATCAACTAGTTGATGGTTGAAGCTGGTTACTTCTATAAAAAAAAAGAAAAAGAAGATTATACTATTGAAAATTGACTAGTACAAGAAAAAGAAACTGATAAAGATGACTTAAGTCCATGTAAATGTAAGTACTATTTGTATTGTTTAATTTATTTTTCAAGTTATAATAAATATATTCTTCGTTAGTTTCTTTCACTTTAATACTTATACACATAAACGATAATAGCCAATATGTTTGTGTACTCGCTAATTTGAATACTGGTAAACAATCAACTAGTTACAGTTTACGAAAAACGGTTCCGATAAAAATTTAAAAAACTAAAGGACCCACCTCTAGTTTCTTAGCTTTATGAGGATCGGAACCACAGAATATGTAAAATATCTCTGATCGGAACTAATCGTCTCACTAACAGGCAAAATGGGCGTCAAGAAGATTTATGGAGGGGAGACCAAGGGGGAATATGATTGTTATCTTTGTCTATTCGCTGAAAATATGATTTTATATCTGTGTTAGATATCCTGTTAAGTTTTACCATACCGACCATAAAATTTTACCTACACTGTATATATATACACACATATAAATTAAGGACCACGCAAGTGGTGGGTTTTTCAGTCAAAAGGTGGAGAAAAAAGACAAAAAAGGTGGCTACCTCATCTATTTATTGAAGACGTTTGGCTTTCTAATCAGAAAGCATCATCAGTTCATCTAAAAAGAACAGTATGAAAAACCAAACATCCATAGAAAAGTTATTACAAGTGTGTTACCTCAAAAAGACATGTAGCAGTCAATGATATTAAATGTGTAAAAAAGCTTTTGGTAGTTTTATGAAGAGAAATATATTATAGAGCGAATTTAATAAAGAAATATGTTTGTCAAGAAAGAAATATATACAGAGCAGTATTAAGAACGAAAATGTTCTGTCGATATGTTGTACAAAGGCTGTAACAGAGAAGTTATTGTACTTACCATTTGAATAGCGCTAACAAACTGCTTCTGCTCAACATAAATATGAGCAATGTTCAACCAAACATCCGAAAAATCCGCTGTAGCTTCTCTAACTTGAGCGAAAATATCTCTTGCCTCGTTAACTGCGTTTTTATGAGCCAGAACAGCCCCAACACCGTTAGCAGCGAAAATATTTTTAGGGTCTATTTTAAGTACTTGCTTGTAGAGAGTTAACGCTCTTTCTTGATGCCTTTTTATCCTCTCTTTATCTTTGGTGGGTTGGTGAACGGTTTGTAACCATACGTTGCCTAATGCTATCAGTGAGTAAGCATCCTGTGACGTTGATGGATTCTAAAAACAGAAAGCTTGATTTAAGGCTAGATATTTTAAATAAATTAATCGATATATTACCTTTAAGATTCTCTCATATTTCTTCTGGCCGGGGCCCCATTCCTGTTTAGCTAAATGAAGATTGCCAAGTAAGGACCATGCATCAGGGTGTTCAGTATCTATTCTAAAAGCTTCTTTAAACCAATCAGAAGCATCATAAACGTGACCCTTGTCTCTTGCCATACAACCTAATAAAAAAATTTAACTATTATATATATATATATATATATATATATATATATATATATATATATATATATATATATATATATATATAATAATAATTAATTTGCCAAAATAATAATGCAATGAATCATAGAACAGATATTGGCCATCTAAATGAAATGTTCTCCTATTTGTTACTACTAGATAAATGCAACAATAAGACAAACAATAATTTATCAATTGACATTTAAGTAATTAAAAAGTTCATTTTTGAGGAATTTATTTTTTTACAAAGTTAGTTTGTTTAAATTTAATAATTTTTACGACTTTACGACCTTATTTATTTATGTTAATTTAATAGGCTTTGTTTTAAAACATTGACAGGTTGAAGTTTCACTTCCTAATGATATTAACAAATATAAAATAATTTATATTTCCACGATATACCTAATAATAAGCCTTTATATAATTTGTTGTACTAGCAGTTGCTTGATATTAGGGATGTGAGATTTTCACTTGCCAATGTCAATATCAATGTCATAGATTTGTATATAAATAATTAAGTTTGTGTGAATGTTAAGTAATTTTTTAAAATTTTAAATATAGGAATAGGTTTTAGCTCAACAGACTGTGATAAATTTTATCAACAATTTTTATAAAATCATATATGAGACAACCTCATTAAGTTTGTAAGTATCGAATTTTTAATTAATTATACAAATTTGTAAAAATTATTCATCACATTTGTAGCTCCCTGATGAAGGACATAACCAATGTCCGAAAGCTTGGAATAAAAATTTAAAAGAGTACACCTTTCATTTTTATTGCTGCATACCCAATATTTAAAGTTTACTTCCTTACTTGGTCAGCAAATACTTCTGGTTCATTGTTATATATATATATATATATATATATATATATATATATATATATAATATATATATATATATATATATATCCAGTAGCGTAACAGTCTTTCTTGCCGGTTCCAAGCCTGCATAAAGGAGGAGGGTTAAGCGGAAGGCCAACAACTTGCCCTTATAAAAACAGTCTGTTATGAAAACTGCAAGTTTGCCTTGGAATCGAACAGATACATATGGAAAATGACAATCACAATGGACAAGGACTTTGAATGTTGGAACATGGAATGTTCTAAGTTGGTAATACAGCAATACAAGAAATAAGGTGGCTAGAGACGGGAAACATAAAAATAGACAAGGCTGTCATTTTCTACAGTGGAAACCAGACAGGAAAACACGAATTTGGCATAGGTTTCGTAGTACGAGAAGAATACCTGAACAGTATTATAAGTTTCACACCCAAGACATGCAAATAATCTGTGGAGACTTCAACACAAAAATTGGCAAAGAACCTAACCTAAGACCGACAATAGGACAACACAGCCTACACGATATATCAAACGACAACGGACAAAGGCTCGTAGAGCTAGCATCGGCTAATAATATGCTTGTAAAGTCTACAATATTCAAACATAAAAACATTCATAACAAATAGGTAAAGAAATAATAAATAAGACTTACTCACAATCAATTTAATTTAACTATCAGACGACCGGTTTCGCTTTCTACAATATGCAAAGCATCTTCAGGTCTCGATACAAAGTTAAACAAATGCTGAAATAATAAAAACCCATATTAGGGTGTTGTCTAATAAAGATAAACAAATTAGATGTTATAAATTACAATAATTATGCCAATATTACATGTCTGTGGTTTTATTTAAATGAGACCTGAAGATGCTTTGCATATTGTAGAAAGCGAAACCGGTCGTCTGATAGTTAAATTAAATTGATTGTGAGTAAGTCTTATTTATTATTTCTTTACCTATTTGAAATGGACTCACACAAGCAACACATTCATGATTTATTCATAACAAACTTGGATATCTAATGACCACTCCACACGGAACCAAATTGACCACGAAATTGTCGATGCTAGACATGAAAGTAATGTCTGAAAGTGCTGGATGTTAGAAGCCTCAGGGGAGTAGATGGAGATACAGACCATCACCTAGTAAGAGCAAAAATCAGGCCGAGAATATCTTCACAGAAACATAATGCAAAATGAGGAAATCCGAGAAAATTAGAAACAAGAAATTAAACAGCATCTAAATACAGTAGACCAGAGCAATGAAATCGAAAGGCTGGGGCAACAAATGGAAAAATCAATTACGGAGTCAGCATAACTAATAATAGGAAAAAGCAGGAAGAGAACAAGGAAATGGTTTGATAGAGAATGTCAAGAAAAACTACACGACAGACAGATAAAGCAAAACATGTTTGAACAAGTAACAGCAGAAAATAAAGAAAACTATGCAACTTCACACAGAGAAACAAGAAAATTAATTAGAGAGAAAAAAGGAAGTACAAACAACAGAAATATGAAGAAATGGAAAGGAATAGGCAACAGTCAAGTAATCGAGCATTTTACAAATCAGTGTAAAATGAAAAGAAAGGCTTTTCAGACCTAGATGTGTGTCTGTACTCAAAAAAATGATGAACTTTGGTTGTTTTCATATTTCCTGCTATTTTTACAAAGCTATTGTTGTATAAATAAAAAATTTGTAAATAAAATAATCTAATACTGACCTAGTCGTAAATAACAGTCCACATAAATGGGATGTTCCTTTAAGATATCCTTGTACAATTTTTCCGCTTTGTCAAAGAGACACATCGCTTCGTTAAGTCTTGCTAGATTATAGGTCATGGTGACTGAAACAGAATTGTAGTATTGTGGATCGTGAGCGGCTTCTGTTTTAGCTCTATTTATCGCTTCTTCTATGTTCTTTTTAGCCTCGTCCATATTGTTAAGCCTATTAAATTTAAAAGGAATTAAGTAATCGAAATAATGAAGTCAGGATTTATTTAATCTATAGAAATACGAATTACACATACGAGTGTAATTTATTCCGTAATCTTGCTCTTAATTTTCTCCATTGAAATTAATTGAAATGTCATTAATTCGACCCAGTCTCCAAAAAAATACGTTAGTTGTTTTTGTTAAGTGTTTTTAAATTAGAAAAATGTATTTAAAAGAAGAAAAATTTATTTATAAGTAACAAAAAATAGTGGTCTTCGCTTTTTTCGCCACACTTTATAATCAATTTGGTAATTCTGTAATCAATTACGCCAAATATAAACAGCATTAAACTGTATTTAAGACGAAATATTCTTTAAACTTACCTGTATTGTAAAGCTCCAACATTATTCAAAATTTCAACAGGAACCTCAGACTGTACATTCTTTTTCAACAACTGCATGGCTGTCTCGTAGGCACCCAAAGAAGCCTGCAGATCGCTCTGTTCTAAAATTTGTGCAAGTTCAATCCAAGCTTCAATATCATCGGGGAACTGATCTGTAACCTTTTTAAGGTGAACTTTTGCAATATCCCTTTTTGATTGGGACGAGGAGCTTGCATACAATGAACCTAAAATTTTCATTGTTTCATAGTTTCCTGGTTGGGCTTTTAATACTTTTTCAAAACATTGTGCTGCCTAAAAAGAAGCATTTTATATAAACACCTAATTTTTATAGTTCAGTATTAAAATTGCTACAAACTGAAATACTTTAGCTTAGAGGCTTGTTCTGGAACAAATAGCAAGTGAGTATATCTATATTATCACGTAGTGTGAATCAAAAGGAAGCAGGGGACCGGTCAGACAACGAATATCTTGTCTGAAAAATCTGATCATGATCGCCAACATCTAATGAGGATATGGCACGGGAAGGTATACTTTAATCTTATATTATTGTTTATTATCTTAATATAACTTTATTTAAAGCCAATGTACAAAATAAACACATCAAAAATGGCTCACAAAATTTGTTTCTAATATACATGAGCCCATTCCCATATCACACACGATTTGTTGTTGTGATTCAAACATAACCTTAAATAGTGGGGATAGCATGGAAAATATGATCATGCATCTGTTAAATGAACTAATTTGTGAGTTAAGACATAAAAATCATGTCTTAGAGGAAAATAATAAGCTGCTATGTGAAAAAATAGAAAGCATAGAGAAAAAGTTACCAAAAAATTCCATGGATTTAAAAAATGCTGCAAAAACTAAGAATAACAATAACAATCCATCCATTTTAAAACAACAAAATGATGTGAAAGAGACTACAAGGTCAGTTGACACAGTCACAGAACAGCCACTTTGTTCTGTTGATTTGTCTGAGCTGCCACCTAAACCAAGAATATTAAGCAGTTCAATTGTACCCATGACGCCAGTTAAAAAAAACCAAAAAAGGGGTTTTTACAAAACAACTTGTCCAACACTTATTGAACAACTAGATCCACTCCAGGGAATCAATGAGAATGCTGGAAGTATCCTGAAATTTCTTATTCAACCTTAAAATTCTGTACTTACATTCTCAGTATCACCTCTGTAAATATACATCTGACCCAGTCCAAAATGCGGAAGAACAAAGGAAGCAGGAGAAAACTGAGTTGCTTGGTAGTAATACTGGAAAGCCTGATCGTAATCTCCTTGGACTTGGAAAGATCTGGCCAACTGGTAACAACTTTCTGCTCTCATTGCTTCATTTTCTGTATTGTGAAAAGCATGAAGTGCCAAGTGCTGTACTTTGCTGTAATCCTAAAAAAGATGATACAGTAGGCAGTACAGTAGACTATAGTGAAGCTCCATACTATGTTTTCTGTATTTTTTTAAATACAAATAATATTTTTAAAATTGAATAATGTATTTATAAAGAATTTTATTATTTAGTATTTTAAATAAATTCAGTCATATTAAAATAATTCAAATTTAATAAATTTGAATTATTAAATTTGAATTTTTTAATAAAATTCAATAATTAATGATTAACTTTGCTCCTAACGCCATCTGTTAACATATTAACAAAGCATACATTGTTTACTTCTGACAGAACTGTCAAATTCGGAGGATATATTAAATTAATAATAAAATATAAATAATTATCATTTGATACTATTTTTAAATTAAATTATTACATAAACTAAATAAAATGTTTAAAAAAATTATTGTCTTTCTATGAAACTGAATTAAAATTTTTATTCTAGAATTTTTATTACAAAATAAATATGCACTTACTTTTTTAAAAAAGAAATGATTAGCCAGATGATTAAGAACCATGGGATCAGATGGATCTATACCATAAGCTTTTGATAACATCTGTACACCAGTTTTAATGGATTCTGGTTGTTGTAGATTTAATTTTAATATCGCCAATCCTACCAAAGCCCCAACACATTTTGGATCAAGTTCCAGAGCTCTTTCAAAAGCCAGCCTAGCCTTCTCCAAATTGTTTAATTTTATGAAACAGTGTCCCATACCTATGATAAATATAATTAAAATTTAAAGAATATTGACTTAATTACTGTTTAATCGAGTTTTTACCTAATCTCACGGCAGCTGGACAATTTGGATTTGTACGGAGGGCTTTTTTATAAAATGCCAAAGCAGCCCTGTAGTCCTTTCTGTTGTAAGCTATACAGGCTTTACCCAATAAAGATGGAATGTTATTTTGTGACTGATTGAGGACAAAATTAAATTGGGCATCAGCCTGCTCCATTTTATCTCCTTCCAGTAGACAGAAGTAAGCCCTTCCCAACAAGTGATTCTAAAAATAACAAAACCAGTAGTCATATTACTATCTTTAATTGGAATTGGCCCCACAATTTTAGTGAAAAGGTGTTTATTTTGACACTTCGATTATCACTTTGAAAAATTTTCTGAAAACGTAACTGGACAAACTTATTTTGAACTAAAGTTGCTATTAAAAATAGTAAATATCAAAATGCCACAAGAAAATATCTTCAAAACCACATTTTGTATGCGCTATAAGCATACACTTCCATGCTGCATAGTTGATGAATTCACTATTAAACTAAATAAAATAAAATTAACTTACTTGGTCATACATAATAATTTTATCTGCTGTTGTATACAAAAGCGTAGCCTTTGTAAAAAGTTCTTTCCTTCTATCTTTGTTTTTTTCTTTATTAGCCTTCTGTACATAATATGCTGCAAGCATATCAAGAGCTCGCATTTGATCTTTTTCAAAATCTCTGTACTCAATATTTCCATCATTTTTTGAGCATTCGAGTATTTTAATAAAATCATCAATTTTTCCTTGTTTATAATACTCCAACTAAAAAAAGAGGCTTTCATAACAAGTATTACACACACTTACATAATATTTTCTAAGTATTCCATTCACAATTTTTTTACATTATACTAAAATCTATTGGTAGCAAAAGAAGTACTTAATTACACAATATCCTGCACCAATATTTATATTATAAATAAAGTTGCTAGTTTTTAATGCTTAACACTGGAATCACAAAAATAAGCATAAAATGTAGGGACATATGGAAGATACTTACAGCAAGATTGACCCAAACTGACAATTGGGTCTTCTCTTGTCGTAAAATACCCAGGACTTCATCTCCGTCGGGTAGTTGATCCGAATATAACTCAATGACCTAAAAATATATTGTTCCAATATAACTGATAATAAATAATTGTTAAAAAACATACCTCATCTGTATCCCGCAAGGGGATTTCAATCACGCTTGCCATTTTTCTGTCAAAATGTTATTGTGAAAGGTATGACGACCACTACGACTTCTAATAAACTATCATCCTCACTAAAAAGTTAAATGTTGTATTTTTACATTCAAAATATATAAAACGCCATTACCCTCCTTACAATCTATCCACAAACAAATTGACATTGACGTAAAGGCAAACATTCTAACCTTTATATTATACTTCTTCTGCTAGATATGGCCTCTTACAATGGATCCAACGGGAGAGCGTTTTTGTATCAAATATTTAAAGTTTCATTAAAAGTAACAAAATAGTGCAGAAGTTAACTGTTGAATTTTCCTTTGGCACAGAGGCATAAACCACAGCAACAATAGTTGCTATAGTCATAGATTAGTATGCTATAGTAGCAACATAGTAACATATTCAGCAACCTACATATAACACTATAAAGGATAAAAACCGTTTTTACTACAAGAAATTACAGAATAACAAGTAGGTTTTTTCCTGGGACGGAACATTATGGAATAAAATTATTAAACGTACGATAGACTTACATTCAGTCAACAATGGAAGAATATGAAGGAGACCTATATCCAAAATTGGATGCAAGAGGTTGTGGAATGATGATGGTGATGATACTAGAACCGAGGGTGAAGAGATACTTAAACAAAAAAAAGCAGTATTACATAGACTAATAGAACTGACTTATCTAGTTTTCATAAATCAAGTCGATCCTTACGTTTTTTAAGGAGGCAAATCTATCAATAATATCCTTGTAGAAAAGATGCTTCTGCATAAGTTCATTCAACAGTTCTTTATGAACTGCGATAACAGTCAAACTGGATAGTCTATCTTGTGAAATAGTGTTTCTTGTAAAAGTTTTTAACCTTTTTAAGCACGAAAAACTTCTTTCTACGGAAAAGCTTGTCGCTGGAATTGTCAGAATTAAACAAAACAAATTATAGGTTTCTGCAACAATGTCTTTAATTGGTTGTAACTTTATAAACCAATTCTTGCAAATTCACATTTTTGTAATTTTCGTCGGCATAAAGAAGGCAGAGCTCACCTCTAAGTCTTTGATGTTTAGTAAATTGTGTGCCATAAAACTCAAATAAATTTTGAAAAGCGTCGGAAGGAAAGGTCAAACTATGACTCAAATTTTGTTGTATCTGCTAAGCTTACGAATTTTAATTTATCACAATCCTGAAAACGTATATCCATTTCCATTAAAATATGATCATATATTTCAAAAAATAATGCTCTGTATTGAGTAGTAATTGCATTCTTGCTCATACCATCATCACACCTAAACCGTTTGGAAGTATTAATGACCGTCATTGTACTTGCTTTTTCAAAAATAGAATTAAAAAATTCTTCATTTCTTTTATCACTTATTAATTGACGAGTTCTCGTTATCTGGTTTAAACAAAAATTAATATCTAGGGACTTTTTTGAAGAACATCATATAAAATATCTGTTATATAAATGTCGCTAAAAACTGTTGCTAAAAATGTAAACTCAAAACCATTTAAATCTCTTAAAAACCCTTTAGCCAGCTGAACTGATTTGCGGTCTGACTCTTCAGAATTCATTATATTATCAAAAACCTCTTTTAATTTTTCCCAGTCTTCAATAATTACACTGATTAATTTTGAATTAGACGACCATCTTGTCTCTGTAATTGTTGGCATACGTCTAGCCGATGTAGATGCAAGAGCGTACGATCGTTTTGCTGAACTATGAAAAAACGATGGGATTCCGGTAATAGTTGCAAAAAAAATTCGACATTTTGATATTTTTTAAAGCTCTGTTGCAAAACAAGATTAAGTCGTTGGACTTATAATAAAGTGCACTAAACAAATAAACTTAATACTGTGACTAAACTAAACTAATAAATACTCTACATAAACTATACTATATATAAAAAATATCTATATAATAGACTAAATTTCAAAATATTATCGCTGAGAGAAATTTCCGAAAAATAGGAATACTACATACACATTAAACTAGTGGGTGAAGACGGATAGTTTATTTTTCAATTGATCTGCACTTCCCAGTTTTTTCAGCTATCACTAACGACAGGCTGACGCATCCAGCAAAAAGACAATAGAGGGAATGTAAAGGTAGTGGGGGCAAAAATATTGTTAGACAGGAAGTGCGATCTTTAGAGGCCACATTAAACAAGGAAAGAGAGTCTCACTCCTTGTTTGACATCAAATTTAGTTGGGTTATGTTATTGTTTGTCCCAAATGTCACATGAAATCTTATTTATATTGAAGTTTTTTAACAATTGTGTCGTATTTTAGACTATTACCATTAATAATTAATTAAAACTTTCTCGTCTAAGACACATTCTGAAAAATATTATATAGCTACTGTTAATAAGTGCCAGAAAATTTAAATTTGGCGCATTCGTATTTCGGGATATGTCCGCCATCAGAGGCCACTTTTTTGGTCTCCTTTTCATAAGGATTAGATTCCCTCTTTTGTCTTTTTACGCAATGGGCTGACGTCAAGTTGCCATGGTAACAGTGAACGCTTGTGCAGATGAATTCCTCATTTCAAAAATGATATTCACCTATTCCTGAATCGTACACGGTTAGTGACACAGGTCAGGACTAGACTATCAAGTACCTGCCGCTAATAAAGCTAGTTATCTTTTTTAATTTTTAGATTAATTAAAAGAGAATAAATAATTGATTTCAGAATTTAGATATAATAATGTTGCCTTTATTTTTTATTTATTTATCTTAATTTAATTATATTTTTTTGGTGAACCTCACCTTCACCGACTTCACCTGGCCGGCCGCCGCTGAATTCACCGTCACCGTAATATACACTCACCGGCAAAATTAACGGAACACCTTAAAAATGGGACATGTTAGATGACTCGAATTTCCTAAACCTGTTGTCCGATTTTAGTGATTTTTTTAGTATGTTATAGGTATATTATTTAAGAATATCAATGAAATAATATTGTTGCTAGACAGGTCAACGTCATTTTATACTGGGTGTAACAATCATACTGTGTTTTTTCCTTAAAGTTAGAAACACCCTGTGAAATATTTTAGCATATACCTATAAGATATTGAAATTAAAGCTCAATTATAGTCTCAGGCTTTCTTAACATTTTCTTTTTTGATTTATTTGCTTGTGTTGGATAATAAAAAAGTTAGGTACGTTAACAACTAGCCATGTTTTTCATCAATAAATGCTCATTTTCTTCTTAGTTTCACCAGCATATTTAAAGGAACAACCATAAAATCTGAGTATTTTCTCTCTAGTCTATATACTGTTTAGATAATATCATAATACGAATGTTGGTGAAGTATTTTGAATTTATATTACAATGGTAGTACAATATAAAACCTGTTTAAGAAGAAATAAAACACAAAGATGTCAGACTCAACAAAATACGGATTTTAAATGCATTAACTTTATTGTACAGTTTGAACTTAAATTGTTTTTTTATGCATTTTTTGGCTTTAATAGCGTGTGTTTCCCCTACGAGCCCTTACAACAGCAGTTATTCGTCTTCTCATACTTCTGATAACGCTATCGATCAGTTGTTGGGCAGCCTCTCCCATTCCTCAATCTTTTGCAATTGTGACTTCTTCTCTGTTTTGAATAGCAGGAACCCGTGCCCTAAGTTTTCTGCCTAGCATGTCCCACATATCCTCTATCGGGTTTAGGTCTGGGTAACAAGCTGGCCAATTCATCGTTGTTATACCCACTTGTAATAAGAAATATCTTACACTTACACTCTTACACTATAAAATAAAATTTTCGCCAATATATGGTGAAAAAGGTACCACATGGTCTTGGAGAATATCTCTGATATACTTATCTGCTGTTAATGCTCCACCATCAATCACCACTAACTCTGTTATTGCTCCCAAACATATACCGCCCCACACCATAATTGAACCTCCACCAAAAGGTACGGTCGTAGTAAAATTGAAAGGGGCATTTCGTTCTCCTTGGCGTTAATACAATCTTTCTCTACCGTCGATGTAATTTACACAGAAACGGCTCTCGTCCGTAAAGAGAATTTGACTCCAGTGGTTATCATTCCAATTTTGATGTACTCGACCAAATTGTAGTCGTGCTAAACGATGGTGTCTCTGGAGTCTGGGGGCTTTTCTTGGCACATATGACTTGAGACCGGCTTCTTTAAGTCTCTTTTTTATTGTGCGCTCAATTAAATACAAGTTTGTACTTGTTATGAACAGACAGAATGACTGTAAAATGTAAAACACAATACAAATAAACAAATTAATTTGACATTTTGACATTTAAGACTTTCTTGTGACAAGGAGCTTTCAAAGCTATGTACCTAGATATAGTCTATAAAATACAAATATAAAGAAATATTGCATTAATAACAGGTTCCTTTAAATTTGCCGGTATGTGCATTAAATTATTAACTTCTCATAGCCTACTTTAGGCTTGTTTTTAAACTAAGCAGAAAATGAGGATTTATTGATGAAAAACATGGCTAATTGTTAACGTACCTAACTTTTTTATTATCAAACATAAGCAAATGAATCAAAAAAGAAAATGTTATAAAAGCCTGAGGCTATAATTAAGTTTTAATTTCAATATTTTATATATGCTAGAATATTCCACAGGGTGTTCCGAACTTTAAGGAAAAAACACAGTAGGATTGTTACACCCGGTATAAAATGACATTGACCTGTCTAGCAACAATATTATTACATCGATATTGTTAAATAATATACCTATAACATACTAAAAAAATCACTAAAATCGGACAACAGGTTTAGGAAATTCGAGACATCTAACATGTCCCAATTTTAAGGTGTTCCGTTAATTTTGCCGGTGAGTGTATTTTTGTTCATATCTTGTCAATATTGATAAATGTCGGTAATGTTTAAGGTAACTGTATGGCTCAAATTATATTCCTTTTACGATAATATTTTTATGCGGTTTATGACAATATCTATGTGGTGTAGATTGTGAAAGCGGTTTATTAAATTATTATGGTAGAAAATGATAAAAACATTTTCATTAAATTCTCTAATTTACATTTTCAGTATAAACAAAGGGCTAGTATCTATAACAACATCAAGACTGCTCAACGCCTCTCAAATAAAAATGTCAAGTAAGACAAATACATTATAGTTTTATATTTGCTTTATTGCCTTATTATTTTTTAAGCTTCTGCGGAGTTTGTGGAAGGTGTTGTTTGCAAGGTGTCCGATATACAAGAAAATGAACTTAAAACATTTCTATTAGGGAACGGAGAAGTCCTTCTTGTGAAGCAAAATAATGTTATTAGCGCATTAGGTTCAAAATGTACACATTATGGAGCTCCTCTTGCAAAGGGGGCCCTTGGTAATGGAAGAATTAGATGCCCTTGGCATGGAGCGTGTTTTAAAATATCCACTGGAGACATTGAAGAATTTCCAGGTAACTCTTTTTTTTATCTTGCTTTGTTTAGAAACGAAAACAGTTTGTAATGGAGAGTGGAGGAATATTGACCAGTAATTTAATTTTAGTAATCTTTGTAATAAGATAACCAACACGGGATATGTGATTTTTTATTATGAGGTTTTCTTAAATTGGTTTTCCAAACAAACAAAATTTTTTTGTAACGAACTTTTTTAGAAAAAGGAAAAAAATCGGGTAATTTCGACTGGCACGATAGTATCGATCCTAATGTACTTAGGACAAAATCTACCAAACATTTTGGAAACAATATTTGGAAATAAATTTAATTGCAATATTTGAACATTATTTTACTAGAATTTTTTTTACCGAATTCGCCACACATTGTGCAAATATCTTCGTTAACGTCCCTATCATGGTCATCCTCAACATAATCATCTTCAGATGATAGGTATATCTTCTGTGTTTTTATACAATTTCTTTTTGGAACTATTCTTGAAGGACTGGACTCTTTGATGACTATTTTTCGTTTAGTTCCTTTGCTGGATTTATTTCTCATTTGCTCTTCCTTCTTCCGCTGTTTTTCTTCTAGAAGTAACTTCATTGGTGTTGATGTCATTGTTTCGGAATGCTGCTTCCTGTTGCTTTTGTGATTGGATCGTTTATTTCCAACTGAGCCATCTTTTAAGCATCCTGGTAGTGGAATTATCTCAACAAAAGATACTTTAAACTTTTTGTCATGTGTCGAACTTTCTTTATTCATGAATGATTCACCCGGAGCAAAGTCTTCATCGGTAAAATTTTCAGGATTAAGTATATGGAAATATTCCTGTATTCTCAAAACCTTTAATGGCTTTGACTGGTGTGGCTACGCGACCGTATGAATTTTTAAATATTTCAGCTATTTCAAATGTCGTGATACGCTCATGAGGATGATTTTGAAGATAGATTGCCACATTCAATGATATACGCTGATTTTAACGATGAGTAAAAAGCTACATCCAGCGGTTAGAGTCGATGCGATGTGTACGGGGGTATAGTTAACATAATAATTCCTCGTTCTTTACAGAAATTATATGTCTCTAATGTACAGTGGCTACTGTGATTGTCGACGATTAACAAAACTAGATCCTCCTTTAAATGTTTTACAACATTGTAAAATTCTGGAGCAATTCGAGAAATATTTGCTCATGTATCCACCCATTATCCGAGCAGCAGTAGAATGTACCAGGTGGCTCCTTTTTGCTTTAATATATGTTCCTGAGGTACTTATGCAGCACATAATGGCTGTTGTTTGACCTCTTTCTGCGCTTGTAATAAAGCTGACTCTCTTTTGTCCCTTTTCAGCAAGTGTTTTTCCGGGGTTTTGGACGGTTGTTATGCCTGTCTCGTCTATATATTTATCCAATATGGATTTTAAATTAGAGAAACAATAGGTTTACTTCAGTTTTGTTAAAAGCAGATATGCGGTTAATACTTGTCGCCTCCGGTTTTCTTAATAGAATAGTTGGATTTATTTTAAGGAAGCCGTTAAGCCAGTCTCTTCCAGCAATTTCTTTTTCTTTGAAAAATGGATGATGTAAATTTTTTTCTTCAGCGTATTTATAGGCACATTTTTTATTTCTGTGGAAGTTATCCCATAAAAATGTTTTGATAACTTTATGACCTGCTTTGTCAAAACTTCTTCTTCTTTGGTAAATACAGAATTACGACCTAAAGAAGCAGTTCTTGTATCATTTCGCTTTAGTCCTAGTTGAATTGTAGATCTGAGGATTGCAAAACTTCTTGCAACTTCACGGACGCTTCTGCCATTATTTACTGCATTTATTGTTGCACTATGTTGCTCAGCATTCCATCGTGCTTGGTCACTTTTTCTCCTGTAAACTCGAGGCATTTGAAATATACGAATTTATAAAGAAATACTAATATTTATATTATATAAATATAATTTGGAAGTAATAGTGCACTTAAATTAGCACTTAAATTAGAGCAAGAACTTTTTATATAGCCTTAAACTAGGTTAAAAATTTAACAAATGGGTACCAATTATGTAGCTAAATAAACTTAATTACATACTTCTACATACCTTTAAAAATCTTGCACTAATACATCAACTCCAACAAAAATTTTTCCAAAAACAAATAATCCCTCCAAACCATCGTCAACTCAGCGAACCACGTGACCAAAAAATTGCAGAACACGATTGCAGATATATGCAACGGTTGAATCAGGTTGAACAATAGAGGACTAAATGAACCTCCCTGTCTGACCCCAGTGCCAGCTTCAATAAGGTCGGTTGGTTCTTCTTCTACTTTTACTTTTTGTGTTGTTTTTGATTATTCCTACAGGTATCTCTCTTGCGTACAGTAAGTGGATAACTTCTTTTAATTTGACCATTTGTCAAATGCCTTTGTAAGGTCCACGAAACATAGATAGGCCGGTTTGTTGTATTCTAATGATTTCTCTTGCACTTGCCCTATTATAAATATAGCGTCGGTAGGTACATGATCTTCCCGAACCTTGCTGTTCTTCTGCTAGTGTTATTATTTCATTCAATTATTTGATGATTAGTTGACATTTTTATGAATTTAGTTGTTAATTTTAGTGTTGTATTTAATAAATTAATTCCTCAGTAAGTTTCCGGGTCCGACTTGTCTCCCTTTTTGAAGATGGATGCTTGATCCCAATTCTTGAGAAATTTTGTTTTGTTCTATTATTATTTGGATTAATTTTGATAGTTGTTTGGTTAGATCTGGTCCTCCCTACTTTAGAAGTTCGTTCGGTATTCTGTCCTCTCCTGGTGATTTTCTATTTTTTAATTGATTCTATTTATATGATTATAGTTGTGACTACTATATAATTGTACCACTTTTTTCTAGCCAGATTTGATAGTTTTAGCGATGATTAAACGTTTTATTTTAGGTTTAGATTCACTTCCCTGTTATCAAGTTACTATTGAAGGTAAAAATGTGAAGGTTAGAGCTAAAAAGAGCGATTTGATTTCCAATAAACGCATTAAACCTATGGGAGGAAAACTTGGGACAACAGAAGATTCTATTGTTATTATTGGAGGAGGACCAGCAGCTGAAACTTGTGCTGAAACTCTCAGACAAGAAAAATTTGGCGGATCCATTATTATGATCTGCAAAGAGAATTTCGTACCTTATGATAGAGTAAGATTTTGGTGAACTTAAACGAAAGTACAAGCTGAATATAGCGGCAAATGTCAACCATGGAACAAAATATTTCGGTTTGGCAGTGTTGGGATCGGTTTTATAATGCATATGTTGTTCAAATATAAAGACAGTACGATTTTATAAATTCTGCGATTTTTAATCTATATAAAACAATAACGAGTAATTTTTTGTCTCTTTTGAGGTTATTTGCAAACATTTGTTACAATCTCACAACTGGTGGTTTGAGGATTGCCAAATCTATCCGCTAATCTACTCAAAGGGCAATTGCGAAAAAAATATCTAATAATTCACTGCAACTAATCTCCAACGAAACAAATATTTACTCGTTCTTGTTTTATATAAATTAAAAATTGCAAAACTCATGACAGACTATAATCAAAATGTACTTTTCAAAAACTTTCTCTCTTTATATTTGAAGCATACAACATATACAATATAAAACCATGCCAACAATGCCAAACCGAAATATTTTGTTCCATGGTTGACATTTGCGGCTATATTCAGCTTGTACTTTCGTTTAACCAGATTTTTTGTTTCCTTCTGAATGCGATAAATTAAAACTTCTACTTCAGTTTTCAGTCTGGCTTTACACAATAGTACATACGGCATTTAAAATGTGCCAAGGAAAATTTTTTATTCAATATTACAAAAATTAGGCTATTTACATAAAGACGATATTGTACATCACATTAAAGTAGTTTAAACTAATTTTAATATTTAATTGGTCAGCACTTCTTTTTAATAAATCACATCTTTTGGGCATAGAATTTATTAATTTTTGTAGTTCCTCCAGATTACCCATATTAATTTCGTTTAAAACCGTAAAATAGTTTCGAAACACAATTCAGATTTCTGTTGTTTCTGATTAATCTGTGCTTTCTAAAAATTGCAAAGCAAAACAGACGTTGATAAAGGTGTTAAAAGAGACATGGGGAATCTAAAATTTGCATTCCACGACATGTCTTTTCAACTAAGCAGAAATCCTTAGCGAATTGGTTTCTTGTACTCGTACAGAGTAGATTCGAATAAAATGAAGAAGACAGCAAATATTTGATTTCACGCAAACAGCGCCTTTGTATCTGTTTGTACGTATTTCGACCTAAGAGGTCTCATCAGAACAGTTATTCAAAGGTGTTCTGTCTTTTAAGAAGCAACACTAAAATGGCTTCGATATGGACGCAATACCGACATCTGATAATAAAACCGTAAAATAGTTTCAGATTAAAGCAGAAATCTGAATTATGTTTCGAAACTATTTTACGGTTTTATTATCAGATGTCGCTATTGCGTCCATATCGAAGCCATTTTAGTGTTGCTTCTTAAAAGACAGAAAAGATTGATCTTTCACGTTGAGAACACCTTTTAATAACTGTTCTGGATGAGACCTATTAGGTCGAAATACGTATCAACAGATACAAAGGCGCTGTTTGCGTGAAATCAAATACTTGCTGTCTTTTTCATTTTAATTTGTTCCTTTAATTTGTGGGTTTGCTTTTGGAAATGTTTTGATATCCGTTGCCACAAATTCTCGATGGGATTTCATTTCATCCTATCAATTTCATAACTCTTCATCTAAGCTTTAACCAATTTTGCTCTATGGCAAGGAGCGTCATCCTGAAAAATAAATTTTTCTTCGCTAAACAGCTATTTTGGCGAACCCCCATATCATAACGGAGGCAATCTTTGCTTTTCTGAAAGCAGTGGTTTCTTCCGTGCCTTAAATCCTCTAAGTCCAAAACTAAGCAATCTTTTTCTCACAGTGGAAGTGGAAGTGCACACGCTTACACCTGTAGATTCAGACCACAGCTTCGTCAATTGGGTGTAATTAAGGCTTCTGTCTGCCAGACTTGTTCTTCTTAACACAGCGTCATCCCGACAAGAAGTTTTCTTTGGTCAGCCACTACGCGGTCTGTTGTCGATTTTTGCTTGTTCAGCATACTTCTTAATGACTCTAATTACTGTAGATTGATTACAGTTTACTGCGGATGCTATTTCGCTACTAGATTTGTCGTTTTTATGGTGAAAAATAATTTGAAAACGCTTTTCGTCCGATAATTTAGTTTGTTTGGTCTGGGATGACATTTTTACCTTTTTATCAACAATTAAAGAGCGAATAAATATGTTAGGGTAACTACAGTGTTTATATAGTAAAAATATGCGGCAAATTTGTCACTAAGATTCAATTTAATATAGTACTTTAACGACTTAATAATCACCTCGTAGAATTTTGAGCTAGTAATTAAAAAACATTAGTAAGTATACCGATAATGCTAATTACAAGCACAAACTTAAAATTAATTAGCGAAATATACAAAAAACTTGTATGAAACCTCAAAAACTATAAGACAAAACTATAAACTGTATTGACTAATATTTTTTATTGATAAAAGGTTAGATTAAGCAAAGATATGGCATTAGACATAAAAACTGCGGTGTTCCGGAATGAGGACTTTTATCAAACATATAACATAAATGTATTAAAAGGCATAGATGCTACAAAGGTGGACACTGAGAAGAAAATAGTGAGTTTGCGGAACAACACAAAAGTTCCTTACACTAAATTGTTCATCCGCAACTGGAAATAGAGCAAGAAGACCTTGTACTCCTGGAAGTTTTTTGAAGAATGTGATAGTGTTGAGAACATACGAAGACGCCAAGTAAGTAATATTGAATAATTTTAATTTTACAGTACAGTACGAACAAAAAGGCGGTCAAAAGAGAGTTTAAATTAAGACTTGAAAAGGGATAATTCCCGAGAATTGGATGTATACCATATACACTCAGATGCAAAAAGACGCAACGGAGAACATTTTGGTCATATTCAAAGTCTTTCGGTTTTTTTTTATTTTTAGCCCTATTTTGATGATTTTTTTAGCACACTGTGTATAAATTTATAAATTTTAATTTAGTATAGTGAGTTTAAAAAAAATATTTGCATTTGACTTATTATACGGGGTTAATCGAAACGTGGTTCTTTATCCTAACTTTGAAACATCCTGTGGAATAACTCCGTTAGCGGATTTTCGTAAAACCTAGTTTTTCGGTTGCAACCATGTCTTCTAAGTACTATGTTTTTTGTTTCATGTGAAAATATGGATATGTTCATTTTTAGGTGCTAAATGACTTTGCCACCCACAATTTACGACTTTTCCTATTATTAGCATCATCTTTTGTATTAATTTGACGATGGGAGCTTTGGTGACTGATATCGAAGGAATGTCATATCGACATCCCAGAAGCACTGTATTTAAATAATGATTAAAAGCAACGACATGATCTGGGTTTTAATGAACAGTAATAACAATAACAAAACATAAAAAAAAAACAACTTAAATGTAACTTATCCTAAAGTACATATGTATAACATGGGAGTAAAGTGCCTTTACGTCTCTTAAATAAAGTTACTTGGCAAACGTGTAGCGATGGTTAATTTATTAGGTTAGGTCTAGCGATGGTTAATTTATTAGGTTAGGTGTTACCTAACCTAATAAATTACCCATCGCTACGCGTCTGCCAAGTAACTAACAATTTGCCAAATTTAAATGTAATCGTTTCTACTCATTCATATTAAGATTATAATGTATAATATATTAAAGTTTTTAATATTAGTAATATTATTAAAGCTTTTAATATTATTTTTTAATATTAATAATAATATTAAAGTAATTAAATATTGCGCCTTGCTTAAAAAAAGTACGAGATAAATAACTCGTTTTTTATATCTTTACGTACCTATGCTAAGGGTAATAAATTAAAATCCTTCAATACAAGACTAAAGGTAGGTACCTATAATTTGAATAAGCTGGTTTTGCCCATACTGACTTTCTAATTACCTACTAATTTGCATAACAGTCAGATATTGTACCTGGTCATAATGCTATTATATATTATATTATATTAATATTAGGATTTTCATTTCGCTTGTTGAAACTCCATCCGATATTAATTTCTTGTCGATCGCTTTTTTCATCGCATTTTACCGATTTTTTAAAAGCGATTGTTTTTAATTGCTTTTGCACACTTGTTGATCCCAGATAAAGACTTGTAAAATAATTCATAAATAGACATTCTTTTAAAAATGTTAAAAAAGCGATGTAAAACTATCACTTTGCATCGATTTTTCATAGCTTTTTATAACTTTAGTTTACACTCAGTCATAGGCCTTCTCTTCGTGTAAATAAATTCAAATTTGTATTATATGATAAATCGATTATTATCAGTAGTACCATATTTTATAAGGATACTTTCATTAATATCAAGGATCGTGTATACTCCCCTTTTATTAGTCATCATATTTTGTTTTTTTATCATAATATATTTCGTTATACGTTATACGTTAGATCATCCCCTTTCATTTGATGTATCGCATGTTAGGATTTGACTGGTTGTTTGTTTTTTACTGCGTCAGACGCCATCTTGTGACGTCACAAGTCAAAATTTTCCCACGCTGTGGTGGCCCATACTCTGCTAACCCTCATCCGTAAAAAGAACATTACTCCATTGTCCTAAATTCCAACTTAATTGTTCCCTGGAAAATTGTAGTCTTGTGCCGTGGAAATAATTTGGGCTCAGTTTCTGGTCTGCAACTTTGCAAACCAAATTCATGTCGAATTTGTAATATACTTACATTATTGCCTCGAGCCTCTGGAAGCTGAGTTCTTGTTTGCACCGCTGTCAAATGACGATCCCGCAAAGCGTTGATTCGTATAAAACGATCATCTAAAGCGGTAATTTTGCGCTTCCTACCACTTCCCGCATGTTCTTCCCAGTTCGTATAAAACGTTCCACTACCCTTTTGATGGTAGAGATAGAGCGATGCGTGTGTAGTACTCTAGCCACATATTCATAATTTCGACCATCTTCAACCAGAGCATATAAAGAGGATATCAGCCACAGACCAGCAAGGGTGGAGGCAAAAAATAAAGGAGGCAAAGGATCAATTTGTGCTGTAGTGCCGTAGAAGAAGATTAATAAAGTTTCGTTTGAGATTTCCTACAATAATTTAATTTAAATAAAAGCTAAATGGCTTGTGCTTTAAAATTTGGTTCAATATTTAACAGAAACATAAATTTGCTTATATTATTATTACCTTTTTAGAGATGCAAATGCAATGCTTTCAAAGGATAAAGAAGTGGTTATTATCGGAGGTAGCTTCATAGCAATGGAAGTAGCTGAATATTGTAGGGATAAAGCGAAAAAAGTATCTGTAGTGATGCGTGATGATGTACCTTTCAAGACAGTTTTAGGTCCAATGGTAGGAGAAGCGGTAATGAAGCTCTTTAAAAAGAATGGTATTAATTTTATCCCGAAAATGACAGTAGATGTGATCAATGGTACCGAGAAAGTGGAGAGTGTAAAATTGCATAACGGTGAAGTATATAAATATTTTATAATGATAATCAATTTTATTTAAATTGATACAAATATATTATCTTTAACAAAATTTTGTAGGTACTATACTGCCAGCGGACATCGTAATATTAGGAACAGGCAGTAACACCAATACAGATTTTTTGAAAAGTTCAAGCATCCAATTAAAGGAAAATGGAACAATTGAAACTAACGAGTATCTAGAGAGTTCCGTTTCTGATGTATATGTTGGAGGTGATATAGCTCTGGCTCCTGTGTGGTGTAGGTATAATATCAAGGCTGCTATTGGTCACTTTGGATTAGCGGAATATCACGGCAGGATAGCCGCTTTAAACATGATTGGTAAAAAGACCGAGTTGAAGACGGTACCGTATTTTTGGACAAAATTGGGACCCCTTAGCATACGGTAAAAACCTCTTTTTAAATTTTAGTTATGGATCTTAATTCCAAGGTGTAGGGCAGAGTGCTTCAAGAATGTGCACTTAAGATTTAATCAAGTGTAAAATCCAAACCAATTGCGTTGAAAGTATATTTATTTTTATTTAAGCCTGTTGATACATAAACAGCAAAATCAATTATAATTTGCGAATCAAACATAGAAAAAGTGAAACTAAAAAAGATGCTTTTGGGCACTCTTATCAACCCGCTTTTCAAAGGTATGCATTTAGGATTGTAAGACTGCGCACGTAATTTTATGAACATAGGTCACATTTATAAGATCCAAAACCTGCGTAGGCACTGCACTTTTAATGCCACCATTCAGCACATGATATCCAGTTTTCTGTGTTAGGTTCTTTAAATGTTTCGTTGCACCCTGGACAGCTCCAAATTTTCTTATGAGGCGTTGTTTTTGGCTTTGTGAAAACAGCTTTTTGTATCTTCTCTGTCGGTCTGAAGTTCACATCTGATTTCCCTTTTAGACTCCCTCCCAGAAGTGCTTGCGGTCGACAACATCCAGTTTGTTGTATTGCGGCTTTTTTTCTCATTTTCTTCAATTAGTTGGTCCTTATATGGAGAGCTGGTAATAATTTCCGACTTTTTGCTTCTGCGATTTCTGGATCTAACCACAATTGAGTTAGGTAACGGAGAAATGGTTGTTAATTTAATATAACTGATGATGTTCCAGGAGTGTTTGATAAAATCAAATGTTTTTGTTTCTGAAGCTATATCAACTTTTTCTTCCAAAGTTATTGCATATGTGTTGGAAACCAGATCTGTAAGGGGTATCGTTTTTGATCTGTAAAATCCTTCTCCTACAATCGGGTTCAGATGTAGGTATTTCGCTAATTATAGCATCTCTTTCATTAACCTGAATAGTTTCCTTAGTAGTGGAATTCTCAAGAACAATAGTTGGACTGTCAAGAACATTGGGATTATTTTCAGAAGCTGATTCAGAGATTTGATGTGGTTGAATATATCGATTTCAGACGTAGAGCTTTTAGCGACTCCTGATTGTATGTTAAACCCTTCTAGTTCCGTAGTTACTGCAGCTGTAGCAGGTTCTTCTCGTTCTTTAACAAAAGTCGCCATGAAGTCAGCGTCAGTGAATATGTCATTATTAAAGGGACATATCCCCGTCACTTTAAAACCTTCAATTGTATTCGTTATAGTAGCAGCTTTAAAGTATGCAGGAGCAAATATTGAAGCAATTTGGTAAACCGTAATTACCCGCCCTGAATGGTTCGTCAGCCATTTTTCACATTCGTTGGAATAAAACTTTTTTAGCGGGTTAAAAAAACATCTGTCAAGTGGCTGCATACGGTGACTACTATGTTCACCTTTGTTGCCGCATCCTCTCTTTCTCTTCCTTGAGTTTTATGGCTTCTGTCACAAAATAAAACCAATGATCAAGTCAGATTCTTTTGTTTTCAATTGCTTTATTCACTAGTTCTTGTGGTTCGGCTAGAGGTGACCCCAGATCCAGCTGCAGCAAGGTTTGCCCCGCATTATATGCAGGGCATACGAATACCACATGATACGCGTCTTCCACCACTCCACACTCGGGACACAGATTGTTCTCGGTCTTCTTTATTCTATATGTATAAGACCGAAAGATCCATGTTCCGTTATAAATTGGGTGAAGTAGTAGTTGACACGTCTGTGTTTACACTCATACCACCTTACTACATCTGGGATAAGGGCCTTCGTTTAGGCAGCTTTGTCTGTTTCCCTTGGTCCTGCCAGATCTCTAAACTCCTTTTTCTTTCTTGTGTTCCAGAACCTAAAGCTCCATTACCCGTTTGGTGCATCCGAATCCTTTCATTAGCCAGGATATGCACCGGCCACTACTTAAGGCAAATGGTTGATACGTGTTGCATACTCTGATCGATGGTTTTCTCTGCGTCCTAAGAAACATGTCTTTATATTTCGCTTTGTTGAGGATCTCATGCCACAATGGGGCCCCATGTAGTAAGATGGACATGATTGACTGTAGGATAACTGATCTTTTATGTGACCTGGGACACCTATATTCGGTATTATCTTATTAAGGGTCGAGGTCTTCTCTTCCGACATGCTTCTTGTATGTGGTGTCTGAATGCCATTTTGTCGTCTAGTATGATTCCCAAGTATTTTACTGTCTTCTGGGGTCTTAGGTGAGAGCATCTGAACCGAAAATTTACGTTTTTTCTATCCCGTGGCCCCCTCAAGATAATTACTTCTGTCTTTTCTACTGCAAGTTTGAGGTAATTTCTCTCTATCCATGATATATATGGTTTAAATATTAGAATTATTAAGGTGATAAAAAATATCATAAGCCCTCTTACATACTTACTAAATCAATGCTTTAAGATAATACATTTCCCACAGTTCTAAAAAGGACTATTATAACACCCATATTTAAAAAAGAGAAAATTGATGTCCCTGAAAACTATAGGCCTGTCGCATTGTCGCCTATAATTGACTAACACACTTAGAAAAAAGCACTATTATTGTTTGTTGGTTAAACTGTATGAATTAGAATTCACAGTGCGCCATTCTCTATAATTATTTACTTTTCTCTATCTTTCAGATATTGCGGCTTTGGAGTTTATGATGACATAATATATACTGGAGATGTAGAAAATTTAAAATTTGTTGCATTCTATTTGGAGAATGACGAGGTTATAGCTGTAAGTTCTTGTGGCATGGATCCATATGTTTCTAAATTTGCCGAATTAACAGCTCAAGGAAGAAAACTTAAAAGGGAAGATCTCAGTTTTGATATCTTTGGATGGGCAAAATAGATAATACAATTAATACATAATTTAGATTGTTAGTAAAAGTATAATAAAATATAATATTCTGTACTTTATTGTCTTAGTTTAAAATTCATAAATTATAATCTTAAACAACTGTATCTACTCTAAAATTTACAAAAAAAAGGTCAATATATATTGCGCTCAGGGTTTACAATCTAAGGTCTAGAATTATTTATACTTCATACCTCTCACCATCACAAATATGTCACAAAAACCTTAACGAATCTTGCTAACCAAATAGGTGAAACTCTACGTTTGTAACATCTAGAAAAAGCCTTAATCCGTTTTTGGGGAAAAAGAGTCAACCACAATATCAACCAACAGTATTGTTCTGAAGCTATTTTCTTGTGGCATTGTAAATTAATTACTATTAAACTGGGAATAAGCCACAATTAAAGATAAAAATACGTTTATTGACGTTTCAATTTCCACTTCGGAAATCGTACTCAAAATACAAACAGTAAATTAAACAAATTTTGTTTTTTTGTACATAGTGAAAAATTCTTCTAATAATTTAATTTTATCTGACTCATTTATATTGACAATTCAGACATACATTATTCATTTTAAAGTAGACGACTTTAAAATGATATTGCCAATATTTTTGAGTTACGCTCCTGGGACGACTTTACTTATAAGATAGTTCATTCGATTACATGAAATCAACTTTAACTTGAGAATATCCGTCAGAAAAAATCATAGCATGTAATTCGTCTTTAAAAAGACAAACACATGACATGATGACAGTAAAATTCTCCTGTTAGTGATTCCATAGTAAATTATGAGGGAAAAACCAGGAAAAAAAACCTCAATACTATCCCGACATTGTAAGTATTTGTTCGTGAATTTAGTTTACCTTCAACAAACATCAAAACTCTAATTTTATATGTTACGTTATTTAAAAAACATAAATGATGTATCCTCTATATGTTACTGACTTACTAATACTGGTATTTTCTTATTAATAACTTCCTCTTTCAATATTGGTAACCAGATCCTCCTACATTCTGCCGATGAATTTGCGACACAATTGGCCTCATTTTGGATAATTAGAGCCGCTTCTTTGATTTTTCTTTTTTTACCATCCGTTGATGTTCACTTATTCTAACATTTAATGGCCTTGATGATTCACCTAAATAAAACTGATCGCATTCACAAGGTATTTATTAACCAAAAACCAAAGCTTTCTTACCATAAATTAAAAATGTGTCAGATCAAATTGGTAAAATCCTAGCGACACATAAAGTCAAATCAATCTTTAAACCAACTCTTTTTTGCTTATTAATTAAAAAAATATTGAGTTTAAAATAGTCTTAAATATTAACCCATGGACGTATAAACATAGATGGACACAGCAATAAGATACCTTTAACACACAATGTTTTGAAGCTTCAATAGAATGTGATGCTTCCACAATGAGCATAAGCGTGCTTGAATTATTACTCGCGGGTAATTATTCAGATTTTTAAAATTGGAAGTAGTAATAATGTATAAAAACACGTTCAAAGAATTTAAAAATACGAGAGTTTAACTATTAACAAATCACGTCTTTATAGAAAAATTAAAATACAATTTTATTTGCTTTAAAATTAATACAATAAAATATAGTTGAATTCAAGTTAATTTTTAATAGGTATCAAAATAATGCTACAATAAAAATCTTTATGTTTTCTCCTAAATTTGCTACCAAAATAGTTCGATCGTCAATATTATTTGGAAACCTACATAGAAAAATAAATGAGTTTTATTCATTTCACTAATTTATTTGCATCCATGAGAAATATTAAATTAAAAAGGTACTAAATAGATCTTTTTTAATCAGATGATGTCTACTTACAATTTAAAAATGTCTACTAATTTCATGAACTTATATCTTATTTAATACATTAATGAACATGAATAAACCCAATGGTACGCCTATTAAAATGTAAACAAACACGCTTCCATCCTCATCTTAAATAATGTAAATTGTATGTACTTACAAATGAAATGAGAGATCGGGATGTAAATATTTCGTTTATTTTATTTCACTTTTCACAAATATCACTCAAAATACAGCCAAAATATCGAAAAACAACTTTTACTAAAAAGTAAACAAACATGGAACAGCATTTGAAGTTTGACGTAGATCCATAAGACAGAGAAATGTAAACAACCGTTGCCATTTATAAATAGTTTTCAGTGCTTCTACATATAAAATAATTGATTGATATCTAAATTATATGTTATTATTAAATGATAATGCACACTATGTGCACACTTTATATTTTGATTACAATTAAATATATTAATCTAACCAATAAATTATTATTTTGGTTTGATAGCACCTGTAGAGTATAAAATACGGAGTAATATTTTCAGCGACTTGCGAATAAGAAATTTTAAAACAAAACGTGACAACAGCTGAAGGTGCTGAGAATGTGACCTATTCAAATAATTTTGACTTCACAATTTAATGTAAATAACTGAGTCCATCTGTGTTTACGTCCATGTATTAACCAAACCTCTTTTTAATGCAGTAAAACTTTGTCACTAAAAATAATAATAAAAAAAAAATGAGAGTTGCATCCTCCTTGCAGCAATGTCCTCAATTGTTAAAGATGATAAAGACATTGTCTTCTTAATTTGTCAATCTAGCACCACAATAATAATATAATCTGGAATTTTTACAAGGGAGAGCTGTTTAGATTGTTCTTGGGTCGATCTCATTTTTAACCCTGTTCCAGATAACTAGTGTTGATGTACACTAGCCCAGGGAACTGACATCTTTATATACCCTCTGAAGCATGTTGGTGGTTTATTATTTTTAGAAATGAAAACACTGTTGTTTCTACAAAAGTCATTCACTCTAGCTTAGGATGCCAGTATCTTGGCCACTGAGCTACAGCCACCATAAAAAATTTATTAATAAAACTGCAAAACATTTTATTTACATTTATTTCTAAAGTAAATTATATTATATAAAGGTACTATTTAAACTAAGCAACAGATGTATGTTTATTTCTTGCCAGTCATAATTCTGTAAATGGCTTCAGCAGACATACCCAAACCAACTACTGTTAAAAGAATAGTGAATTGGTAAAGGATTTTATCTTTGACACCAGCTTTTAAGTGGACTGGTACTCCATCATCAACCTGTAAAAAGAGGATTCCTTCAGTTTGTACCAAAAAATCAATTCCATTTTCTTGAGAGCATATTCTATAATCAACAAGGTTGGATACATATTTTAACAGTGGAGTCAAATATTAAAATCTTAGTACATACTACTTGCCCTAGCCAGAATTGTTTTTGTTACTGATGAATAGACTTCGGCAAATATGCATAGTGCATATTTTGCATATTGTGCATATTTTATGCAAATATTTCATATTTTGGCATATTTGTATAAAAGTTTGCATAAAGTGCATAAAAGTTCAGATTTTTATACTGTATTTGAAAATTTTTAAACATACCAATTTATTTCAATTCTTGTATAAAATTTTATAGTCATTTTAATCAAGAAATGATCTAAGTACATAATCTCTACAGGTACAAAACATTTACAATTTCAAAGAAGATCAATTTAAGTAGCCCTCAACATTCTTAGAAAGTATGGGTCACTGAGGCATTCAGTTATTGGATAATCGCTAAGGGTTCGCTCATTTGCATTTTATGATCTAATCCCCAAATCTATCTAGAATTTATTGTATCTTAACAGCAGGTAAACGGCTAATAGTTTTGTTCCTAATTTAGGGATTTTTCAAAATCTCCCAGTTTATTGAATTAGGTACGTAAACATTTCTAATTTGATGCTCAGATTTGTAAATCATTTTTGTTTTGATATTCAAAGCGTAAACACTCGTTGTGCGTAACAAAAAGGAAGATTGTGATTTTATAATGCCTAAAACAACCAGTGCTTCAACTTGGATTAAACCTTATAAAGAGCTGTCTATGGATATGGGAAAAATCTACTGTTCAGTCTGTGGCAAAATTGTAAGTATCTAATATTTTCTATTAAATATCTAATATTTCATACATACAGGGTGTTTCCAAATGACACAACGTTTGACTGTAGATACTTCTCGAAAAATTGAACAAAACGATATAGTTAATGAGGGGTCAAACTTATTTACTTTTCGGATACAGGGTGTTAAAATTAAAAAAAATTAAATTCTTTTAGTTAATAACAACAATAACTTTAAAACCAATAAACGTATTTACTTGAAATTTAGTACTCGTAGGTTGTTTTTAAATGAAAAATAGCTTCCTTTAGTGAGAAAAAATTGTCCATGGTACAATACAATGGTGTGTATTTAGAAAAAATTTTCACCTTTACTTTTTTTTATCAAGTCAGCTATTCTAAAACACAATTATTTTTATTGTAATTGAATTAACAAAAAAAAAACTTTTGTTGAATTTTAAAATAAGTTATATGATGTACTAATGGTTAGTAACAAAAACTAATTTGTGGATTAATACTGCATTTAAAACACTTAGCGAGTGTTTTTTTTTCCAAACCAGTTATTTGATTAACCAAAAACACCTTGCATATTTTTATATTTTAAAGGTTGGGTTAAAATAAAGGTTTTTATTTTTATTTATAGATAGCATGTGAGAAGAAATTTCAGATAGACCAACATGTGAGAACTGCTTCACACATTGCAAAAAAAGGAAAAATAGGAGGAAAACATCAAACTTCAATGGCTAAATGTTTCCAATCTACTTCAAAAAAATTAGATGAGCAAGAAACTTTTAATGAAGACTTGTGTCGCGCATTAGTGTCTGCAAACATACCGCTTTCAAAATTAGCAAATGTAAATTTTAGTTCGTTTCTAAAAAAAATATTGCAAACTTAATGTTCCAAGTGATCGGTCTCTAAGAAGAAATAATGTGAACGGACTATACTCGTCGGTGTTAATTAATATTAAGGAAGAAATTGCAGATAATTATTTTTACATATCTGTAGACGAAACCACTGATTCCTCAGGAAAGTATATTGCTCATTTATTGATTGGTGTTCTTAAAGAAGATACCTTACCAAAATCTCATCTTATTTCATGACAGTAACTTGAGAAAACAAATGCTTTAATAATTTCGCGTTTTATACAAGAAACATTAGCAATTTTTTTTCGTCCGACAACTATTCCTTCTAATAAGTTACTGCTTATTTTATCGGATGCTGCTCCTTATATGGTGAAAGCAGGGCAAAATTTAAAAATATTTTTCCCAGATTTAATACATGTTACTTGTGTAGCGCATGGAATAAATAGAGTTGCAGAGGAAATACGAAAAAAGTTTCCTCTTGTAAATACCATGATATCCAGTGTCAAAAAAGTATTTCTTAAATCTCCTATAAGAATTCAACTTTATAAAGAAATGCTACCTAACATTCCTCTTCCACCACAACCTATTTTAACGCGATGGGGAACATGGTTAGAAGCAGCTAATTTTTATGCAGATCATTTTGTTAAAATAAAGAACATAATTGATACGTTAACAGATGAAAGTTCCCAATCTCTTTTGGATTCTAAACAAACTTTTCAGAGTAACTTGCTTCAACAAGAACTTTCATTTATAAAATCAAATTTTAGTTTTGTTAAAAAAACAATTACTCAGAATCACCAAAACTGTCATTGTTCGAAAGTACAGCATTAATAAAAGAATTTGCGTCATGTTGTCGGAACGTTAGAGGTAATATTGGAAAAGATATTATAAAAAAATTTGAAGCTACTATGGAAAAAAATAAAGGTTACCATATTCTTTCTGAAGTAGTCAGTGTTCTAGCTGGAAATATTTCGGAAACAATTAATTTAGAACCAAATGTTTTGGTTAGTTTGAAAAATGCTCCCGTTACATCAGTTGATGTTGAACGAAGTTTTTCCATATATAAATATATGTACTCAGACAGAAGCCACAAGTTTTTGTTAGAAAATTTTGAACACCACTTGGTCATTTATTGTTACCATAATGCTAAATAAGTTTATTTATACTTAAAAATGATGTAGTTACTTAAAATAAATGTAAATCTTAATGAATAGTAGGAAATATTTAGTTATGTACACTTTCTTTTTTAAATAAAAATGTTACTATTTTACGATTTTTTTATTTATTTGTATGCATATTTTGTAAAATATTTGCATATTTTCGGGTAAACACGTGCATATTTATGCGCATATTTTCTACATTTTTATTTGCATATTTGCCGAAGTCTACTGATGAATATGATTTTTTTGTTAATATTTTGATATCGAACCACATTTCTCTATGTAAAACAAAGCAGGTGCACTTTAGATTTAAAAAACGCACATTTATTCTATATCTTTAAAATTTTACACAAGCAAAATAAGAATACTAAGATAACTTTTTAAAAATTTTGTGATAACCAATAAATAAAAGAAAATGGGCAAATAAAATAAAAAATTTTGGGGTCTTTTTTGTATTTATTATGCAAGTATTGATAATGTTTTAAAGCATACCATTTGTATCACACATTTAATTTGCCATGTCCTGTTGACTACTAGATTTTTCCATCAATACTTAATTACTAGAATAAAACATGAATTGGTGATCTTAAAATTTATGAAACAACTAACACTGATTCCACCAAAAATAATTATGTGCTTTCTATTATAGTCAAGACAATATGAACCTAGATTATCTGGGCTGATATATTTGTATTTATAGGACTAAGTATATTTCACATATTAATTTCCATAAGTAAATATCTTCTATGTGTGTTATATAGACTTATTTCTATTCTTTAAGTCAGTTTTGTCCTTACAGTTCTATTATTTGTTCAATTCTTTCAAATCCCTGTTCCATAACTAATAAACTATTGAATTAACACTAGGATAACCCCTTAACATTTAGTTTGTGCAAATGCCTTTTTATATTGAAATGAAGTACCTGTAATCTCTTTTGAAGTTCCTTTAGCCTGGCAGTCCTAGGTCCAGCTTCAACGGATGCATTTCTTACAACTTGATTGTTAATAGCTCTACCAAGAGCAAACAATTGCTGTAAAATTTTACTATTATTAAAATTTGCTAAAATATTCATGGTTACATAATTGTGACTAGGTTAACTTTAAGTGGATAAAATTTTGGACGATAAATTTTAGTATATATAAATTAATATGAATTAAGAGTATTAAATAATAGCTATTATAAATATTACCCTTGTGTGGTTCATTTTTTGTATTATTTTAATAAATTCAACACCCTTTAGCTCGTAACTGACCATTAACTGACTGACAGACAAATATGACAAGCGACAGTTGACAGTAATGTGATTTATAAAAAAAGGTATCCAACCTAGAATTCTACTACTTAGTTTATTTTTAGTGAGTATCATTTTTTAAATACCCATATTAAAAATAAAAGTCTATTTTTTTGGCAGTGCCACAGAATTTTGTTTTGTTTTGGCAAAAAAGAGAATGGATTTCTTGAGCCAGAGAAAAAAGAGAAACACTCAAGCCATTTCTCAGTAAAACCTGGTATACAAGAATCAATGAGGAACCATATTAACTCGATTCCACGTATGGAAAGCTATTAGAACCTTATTCTACCTTCGTGCCAATACTTATAGAAAGTACATAGATGTTGGTAAAAGTTAACTGACTTACATAGAGACTATGTTAAAGAACAGACTGAAAAAACTATCTAGCCGCAATTTTTATGATGTACTCAACGCATGTTTAATAAGTTTATTATTTAATTTTTTTCTTCAAAAAAAGATTTGTGCAATTTATGCGAATATTATAAAAATGTGTCAGAAGTACCAGACACAAGGAAAAATATGAGAAGCATCAATAAAAAAAAAGTTGAGTCATGAATCTAAAGATCAGGATAAGAAATGTGTTGGTTTAAATTTTGTCTTGGCAACATTTGACCTTCAAGCGGTGATGCCGTGCCCCAAAGGAAATTGGTCAATATTTTATTATAAATTCAAAATAAACTCATAATTTAACCATTTGCAAAGTTGGTAATGATGCTGTAGAATATGTTTTTGGCATGAGAGTGAAGGACATCGTGGCGCCAATAGATTTCTGCATATTCAAATATTTGGAGAAGAAAACCTCCGAAATTAATAATGACAATTTGTAATTCACGTTCTACTCTTACTCTAACAACTGTTGCGGTCAAAATAAGTATAGGTATACCATTTCAATGTTCTTGAACGCAGTAAAAACACTGAGAATAAAAGCTATTGCACACAAATTCTTAATCTGCGGCCATACTCAAAATGAAGGAAGTGAGCGGAACTCAGTATGTGAAGTGAAATTAAGTAATCGTGAGCGGTCGTAAATAGGAATAGAAAACAACTCACACGCAAGTTCCTAGCTGGCATTGGTTTTGCGTAATAAAACAATGTAGGAAATGGAAATAACAAAGTTACAAAGATTCACATGTTTAGGACTCACGGATGTAACAGACGGCATCCCACTGCAGCATTAGAGATAATGTTAGACATTCTTCCTCTAAATAAGTAAATTCGTTAGTAGTCTTGTATTGTTCTGTCGAATTTTTTGTATCAACGTAAATATTATGGGTGTTAAACTATGAAAGTGTCTTAGGATATTTTATTAGCAGTGTATTTTTATTTTAGTAATTGGAATAAAACCAAAAGATTTAAAAGAATAACATTTATTGTACATCGTACATTAAATACAAAATATATCTTTACATAATTGTACATTTTAATACAAAATGAGTATTTACATGGATGAAATATTAGACTATTTACAAAATATAAACTAAAAATTATGATGACTACAAAAAAATGTGTTTCACGTGAAAAAAATGAGTATTTTTTAATTAAATTCAATTATTCAACTCACAATTTCCAATTAAAAAGACAAAAAAATGTGTTTTTAGCCATCTTAATGGGTAATATTAACTATTAAATCTTAATTGTGAATTGAATATTCGAATATATCTGTTGGTGTCTTAAATGAAATGTGATGAATATGATTTAGTTTTAGTATAAAGTAACTCAACCTATCACAGAGTTAGTTTAAATAACTTGTCAATGTCACCAAAGCGGATTTACAACTTATTCTTATCCTTTGGCCTACTCAGTGCAGTTTGATAGTTTAATATAGCGATTAAACATTTATTTATCCTTCACAAACGTTTTCTGGATTGAAACACTTTTGAACATTTTCAAATTAAGTACTTGTTCTCAGACAAAAACACATATTTTGGTTTCGTTTCATTTTATACCTAAATCATCAGAATTCTATTAAAAACAATTATAATGTATACTCTATAATATTACAATTAAATTATTAATATTATTTGTGGAAAGGTTATATTTTGTTATTGTGTGTGTTAAAGGAATATTGTAGACAAGATCTAATTTTTTTGTATAACATTTCAAATAATTTCACAATCTATCCCATTTTTACTTTTGATATAATAAAAGCTCGTTCAGAATTGGGATCATTAATAAGAAAATGATTTTCTAATTTACTGCAAAGTTGAAGACCTTCTCGAATTAATTTGGCAGTGAGGGGGAATGATTTTTATTCCTCATCATTATCTATCTAGACATTATCTAGATTGATCAAACTAAAGTTTGATCAATCATATCATGGTCACTTAATGCTTCATCCACAAGCAATTCATCTATATCATCGTGGTTGAAGCTATTAAAACTATCTTCGCCAATTTAATGTGCCAAATTAATTATTTCATCTGATAATGTCGATGTTTGAATAGTTGCATTGGTTGTTACACATACTGGCCTAACATTTTCCAGCAGGCATTTAAAGTTTTTTTATTTCCAGAGATTTTTCCTTCATATAGGCTTCTACTTCTGGAATGAAGCAATTATTGAACCATTCTATAAAAATAGTTGTTGCCACCCAGGCTTTCTTGTTTGCCATCTACTGCACTGGCAGTTGTTTTAAATCTTTGCGTTTTAAAGCCGGTGATCTAAGAGCTTTATTTATTATAACACAAGAGTAACATTATTACAAAGTAATAATGTTACTTGATCTTTACTTGCCTTATGTCCATTTGCAGTTTTTTCAACCTTTGCGATGTAAGTACGGTTAGGCATTTTTTTCCATACAGTCCCGTTTCATCAGCGTTAAATACTTTTTCGGCACAATAGTCCTCATCTTCAATAATTTTCGCTAGCTCCTGTGGAAATATTTAAATAAAAATTAGACTTACGATATTGAGATCGTAATGGGATGGGATTCTAAGAGCAGAAACCTCTTAGAATCTCATTAAAAACCAAATAAAAAATAACAAATGAAGAGGTACCTTGATTAAAAACAAAATATATAACATTGTCTGAGATTAGAATTTCTAAATATTGGTATGAAAATTTGAAAGTGTTAGAAAGGTTTTATCAGAAAACAGAACATTAATTTATCTCACAGCCACTCCGTTTATAGTTATGACATTTCCATTTCTTCCCACTGGTTCTGGTTCATATTCTCCACTGCTTCTTCTACCTCCTTCTTCATAAGGAGCATCATACATGTTTTCTTCGTGAATATTTTCGTAAACATTGGAATTTCCGTTGGCGTAACCATTTCTGTCGCTTAAAGTGGAGTAACTCATTACAGCTGCGTTTCTGTCCTCTTTTCTCTCTGCTCCTTCTACGTTTTCGGTGTTTTTCACTGCTACAGGTTTCCGCCTACAAAATAAAGTCAGAATTAAAAAAGGAAGCATTCGAAGCAATGAGTAAGATGCTTTCAGTACGATTGTATCAGAAATAGATCTGTAGGCTTGTGCTAGATGAGTTATCGATTTTTATAGTTTGTCTAATTCAGTATTTATATATCAGTTATAGCTCTGCACATATATCAAGCCTGATTTTTCTAAACACAATTTTTTTATTTAGAATTTAAGTGTTCGGATACTATGGCCACTTATACAAGTACTGTTACAATAAACAATATGTTACAAAATGAAATATGTGATTTATTACAATGTGATTATATTTTTTGAAATATTTGCTCATCTTTAAGACATTTTAGGACAGAGATTACTTAATCAGAATTGTTTAGAATATCTGGAAATTCATGTTTAAGACGGTACTGCAGTCTCCTGGCTGAATATTGGTGGCGTTCGGTGAGTATGTCTTTGATTATCAAGTGCCATTGACAACAGGAAGGACGAGTGCTAGAAGACATCAGGTAGCCATGAGTTAGTTATGAATGACTTGCGAAGCCTTCTCACATGAGATCTCATCTTTAGTCTATAGAGCTTAATGTAGGATACCTGTTTATCGAACGTTGTATGTCATGTAAGATGAGCTGTTAGTATCACAGAGCTATTCCAATATATCTGGTTTTTCTTTCAATTAATATTAAAAATACCCTGATATATGACTTTGTAGAAGTACTAGATCGTGTGGGGTTGAACGGTTTCGTCCAAATCCTAACTGTTCTCTGCAAATATCTAATATTTTTCAATGAACCATAGTCAAGTCCTTTATTAATCATTTTTTCAAATATTTTACACATGGTACAAATTATTGGTATTGGTCTGTAAGCATTGTAAGATGACCAAATTAAATTGTACATTTTGAATATTTTAAGTAGCCTTAAATTAGAGAGCTTTTTAATACAAGTGTGAGGAATATCGTCAGGACCAGAAGCATTGTAATTACACAAGTTTGAATAGCTATATTAAGCTCTGTGTAAAGAAGGGGAGAATTAAGATGATTGATATCCCCAATTGATTCGGTTAAACAAGAAGACAGGGCGGTGACTAATGGTGGATTTTTATTAATTATAATGTCATTTTCGGATACAGTTTATATTTTTTTATAAACTGTTTCCAAAGATCAGTAGGGATCAGTAGGTTTTTAAGAGGACTTTTTACTTTGTTTTGAACATCTGTTCTGTATGTGGTGCCATACGGTTACAGTACTGTGGAAAATATTTTATACGCTATGTAATATAAGCCTCAGAGACAAAATTCCCAACACCAAAATACATCGATGAACTAAAGTAACCAACATCATGGAAAAAATAGCAACATTGAGATGGCTATGGGTAGCACATGTAGCAAGACAAGACACCAACAGATGGTCTCATGAAGTTACATTCTGGAGACCTCGAGAAACAAAAAGAAGCGTGGGAAGACCTAAAAAGAGATGGATATACGATATAACAGCTGTAGCTGGAAAGCAGTGGACGAGAGTTGCAAAAAATAGGGAAGCGTGGAAGGAATTGGAGGAGGCCTATGTCCAAAAATGTATAAATGAAGGCGGAGGAAGAAGATTTAGAAGCGTAATTCCTTTGTAGTTAGAGCATTAAAAGATATCTCCTTTTTTGTGTATCGTGCAAAGTACTTTCAGATTTGATTTTATAAATAAAGTAACTTTCAAATTACTTTCCTAATTTTTACCAGTAATCCCATTTAGATATTAACGATGTAAACCTATTCTATTTAATTTATTTAATTTTTACAAAAAATACTTACAGTTTAAGGTAAATAATTCCCAACAGCAGTAATAAGAACAGTACAACTCCAGCTCCTATGCCTATATGTGTTGTCATATTCGAAGAGTCCTGTGGTGCTTCAGAAGGTACTAAAACATAATATTTTTTAAAAGAAAAATATAGAATTTCTTACGTCCGATACAATCGTATTGAATATATGAGTAATATGTATGTGCAATATGTGTTAAATGAAGTAGCTTCTGGCAAAAAACCGTTTTCCATTTTATAGCGGGCTTTCAGGATCCAGTTAATATATTACATACCATTAAGAATTGATAAAGCTTGTCGCTCACTTATGCACTGCAACGCGAAGCGAACCGCGGAGAAAAAGGTTGTTATGAATTTCCTTCATGTAGTTAAATATACTCGCGCGTATCTGTGCGAAGCAACGCGCTGCACAGCGAATAGAAGTGACACGGATCGCAACCGCAAAATCCTATTTGAAGAAATTCTGTTCGGCGCGCTTCGCGTTGCAGTGCATAAGTCATGCATAAGTGAGCGACAAGCTTTATGCACTGCAACTTTATGCATTTTTTTTTTCGCGATTCGCTTCTAGTTGCAGTGCATAAGTGAGCGACAAGCTTAACATTGATGAAAATAATGTCAGAGAAGATATTCTTCGAAACAAATATGAAATTACTGAACAGTAATACGTTAAAATATATTTTTAAACCAGTCTTCTTTTCTGATTTTAATAAAAAGTCGTCTTTTTTTGTTCTACGAATATTTAACATTCCGAATATGAATTTCTTGGAATTTTTGAAAAGTCCAAGTTGCGAAATACATATATGGACTGTTTAGATGCCCCCCGTACAGCTCCTATTATGATTCATAGTAACGTATGAGTGGATAATTGGCTTGACTATCAGTAAAAGATGTGGAAGTAAGTCCAAAAAACGAGCTACCTCGAAGTAGCCTTTATTTGTTACGGTTAAATTAAAAACTGTTCCAGAAAAAAAGTTAATACATTTATAAGTTTATAAGCATAAGAACTCAACAAAATAAGTGTTCTTATAATTTATGTACGCATGTAAAGTAAAAAAAATACCTTTACACATTGGTTCATCTCCTGACCATTCTCCGGTTTCCATACATTTTCTCAAGTAAGGACCTACCCTCACAAAGTTCGGGACACAATGATATTCGATTGCGCTGTTGTACGTTGTTCCGTTTACCACTAAAACTCGCCCATTTTCTATGTCTTCGGGTTGTTTACAGTCCACGGCTAAAACAAATATGAACATGAAATGAAAATAGTAGTAATATAAACACATCAAAAATGTCTAGGGAACACAAAGATTTTTTTCTCATATATACATAAATGTACATAAATTTTGATTGGGTTTTAAAAAAGGACATGCCGTTATAATTCTTGGCATTCTTAAAATTAAATTATTAATTTTGTTTTGAGGCAATAAAAGCCTTTCTTATATAAGATCTTAAAGACCTTGTCTAGTATGAACAATGTGCAGATGAGGAGCAATTTGTCTCTGAAGTATATCCCCATGCTCGATGGGATTAAGATCTGGCGATTGTATTGGCCACGGTAACAGTAGTAGCGGTAAAAGTTCTTCAAGCTCTTACTGTTCTTGAATCAGGGTAAAGATAAAACCCAGCTTCATTTGAAAATAACATAGAACTTTTGAGTCCATTAACATGGGAACCCCCAATGGACGTCTCTTTTTACTTCTCTTTTGTCTTTTCATTGAATTTTATTCCATTTTTTATCTTATTTAAGTATATAATGTACATACATTCTACTTTATTTATAAACATTTTTTTCTAATGGTTTAACATTTTAAAAGACTTTAATCTCTATCCTACTCTAAAAATGTATACTTCGATTACATTATGACACAGTCCTAATATAGTCTTGGCCTATATTAGGACTCATCAGGTAGCTCGAAAACAAACTGACAGACAAAAAGACAGACCTTTTAGCCAAAGTTCCCATTACCGAAACAGCCATGAGTATATAGGCGTCATTTTCCTTGGAACGCAGAAAAAAGAGCTCAGCGTGTATCTCTGAACTCCATACCAAACAAAGAAAATAAATTTGAAACAAAAATATTCCTGAAACAAATTTTCACACACACACAAGAACACACACCTCCTCATAAACAAAGATGTGTTTGTAAACTGGAAAATGTACATCGAAGAACTTTTCTGGGACTACCGAGGTAACCTTCCAGAAATAAATTGCATGAAAGGGCCGTCAATACTAGAAAGCGATGTTAAATTAGTTTTAAAACAGTCTAAGAATGGTAAGGCCACAGGTCCAGATGAAATACCCGTTGAACTTATTAAGGTGATAAGTGAAGTGAGCACAAAGTTAACTTAACTGTTTATCGCCATATACGATTCAGTTAATATCCCAGAGGAATGGCTATTGTCAACATTTGTAACACAACCAAAAAAACGATCTGCAAAAACGTGCGAAGATTTCCGAACTATCAGCCTTATGAGTCATGCACTTACGATTTTTCTTAAAATCATACATGCCAGAATTTACAAGAAATGCGATGAAAATGTCGGTGAAATGCAATTTGGATTCCGCAGTTCCATAGCCTACACGTGAAGCACTTTCACCTTACAAGTCAGTGATGCCGCGATGTCAGTTGTGATGTCTATATTTGTTTGATTGACTACGCCAAGGCATTTGACCGTTGTCAGCACCAAAAGATGATCGCCGCCCTACAAAGAGTAGGATTAGATGAGAAGGACATTCGGATCATCATGAATTTATACTGGAACCAGCGCGCTCAAGTCAAGGTCCAATACCAGCTGACCGATCAAGTGAAGATCATACGAGGAGTAAGGTAAGGCTGTGTGCTCTCGCCGACTCATTTCAACATATACTTTGAGGAAATTTTTGCTGAAGCCCTCACAAACCTAGAGATGGGAATCCGAGTGAACGGTGAATACATCAAGAATATCCGCTACGCCGATGACACTGTGTTACTATCAGGCAGTCTAAATGATCTACAAGCCTTACTAGAACGAGTGAGAACTGTGAGCGTAACAAATGGACTAGATATATTAAAAAAACTAAATTCATGGTTGTCCGCCATGCAAATTTAGATCCCGGGGCACTAATGGCAGGTAGCGAAGAGATCCAAAGAGTCGCCAAATTCACATACCTCGGAACTACCTTCAATTCACAATAGGACTACGCTCAAGAGATCAGATCAAGAATTGAAATGGCACCGTCTACATTTATCAAGTTGAGATCCTTGCTGTGCTGCAGTGATCTCAGTTTGAGAACCAAGATGCGGTTCTGGAATGTAGCACCAAGGTGTTACATTCTTTCAGTGTTACTATATGGAGTTGAAGCCTGAACATTGACGGAAGCCACAGAAAAGCGGATAGAAGCCTTCGAGATGTGGATCTACAGAAAGATACTAAAAATATCGTATGTGGACCATTTAACCAACGTTGAGGACCTACAGCGCATAAGAAAAGAAAAAGAAGTTTTTAAATTTAGTGAAACATCGTAAGCTTGGGTACCTCGGGTACGTGATAGGGAACGAAGAAAAATATCGAATTATTTAACTCGTTATGCAGGGTAAAGTATTTGGCAGGAGAGCCAAGGTAGTCTTGATGATTGCCAACAATCGGACCGTTAAAAGGACCGGATAAAATAAGAAGAAACACATTTTTGTTAATTTTTTCTATAGGAAATCTACAAAATTTGCAGTCTGTGCAAAACTGCTTAGTTGGTAACTTTATCTATTTAGGGAATCCTCAATATGCGTGTAGAGCCCCACATTTCGAATCTCTTCACTAAGGCAAAAAATGTAAATTTAGACTTTTATACATACCAATGCAAGAAGGTGGTGAACTGCTCCAAGATCCTTTGACCATACACATCCTTGTATCGTTTCCTTTTAATGTGTGACCCCTGGGACATTGATATTTGGCAACTCCGCCGACACTGTGAGTACTAACCGTAAACGTTAGTCCGTTGGGAGCTTCCGGATCCTTGCATTGAATTTCTGGAAAATATTTATAGTTAGAAACAGTATTTTTTAATATGATAAACTTTATATTGTTCTGAATCTATTTCCTTGTGGTATTTTGATATAATATACTATTTTTATTGTAAATTAACCACAATTTTAATCTAAAATCGAGAATTTTGATAATGATTTTCGTATTTTTTGATATTCATTTTCATTTTAGTATATAATAGGTATATATTATAATATGGAGAAATAAAAATTAAAGACGTTACCTCTACAGACAGGAGAATCAGAACTCCACGTGCCATTCTCCTGACACAATCTTCTAGAAACTCCATTCAACTCAAAATTAGCATCACACGTGTACAACGCCAGAACTCCGTAATAAGTGGCATTTGAAGGAAGCATTACGGTACCACGGGTTATATTTTCGGGTATACCACAATCTACATCTAAAAAATATATAAAATAGAGGATATCTTTTCTAAACAATATATATTTTCGAAATATACTTACAAACACATTCTGGAACGTTTCCACTCCATTTTCCGGTATCTTCACATGTACTTAAAGCTTCGCCAATTATTTTATATCCTCGTTCGCATCGGTACTTTACTAGAGCACCGATTTTATAGGATGTAGCGCTATTTGCAGATTCAGATGTTCTAATTAGTGTTCTTCCGTACAATCGGTCATTGCCAGTTACAGATAGGATGCTATGCTCAGCTAATACTGGTTCAGGACATCTTATCTCTGAAAATGCAAGAACATGGAAATAAACACAAAAACAAATATAGAGATTCATAAGAAACCAACGGAAAGAAATGGTGGAATTGAAGGAATACAATAACGAACCAGCAAATGAATGGGAAATATACCTGACGGAACTGTTTAAAGGAAAGGAAAATATTAATCAATACAACAACGTACCTTCATTAAGACACGAAATAGAAATCAGTTTTCAGAAAGTAGAATTAACCATAAATTCACTCAAAAATAAAAAGTCACCAGGACCAGGCAGAATAACCAACGAGCTTCTAAAACACGGAGGAGAAAGTATAACCCTAGAGATGACAAAACTTATACAAAAACTAATATTGCACTGCAAGATACCAGACGCATGGAGAAACAGCATAATGATACCAATGTTCAAGAAAGGAGATAAAGAAGACCCAACAATTATAGAGGTGTAAATCTACTAAAAATGTAAAATCGAAATTGATGGGAAAATAATAAAGCAGGAAGCAGGGTTTAGATTTCTGGGAATATATACAACTAGTTACGGAGATGTTAAATAAGAAGTACGACAACAAAGCTTAAAAGCAAGAAAACTGGCGGGATCTCTTAATGACACAATCTGGAAGAACAAACACCTAAGACAAGACACAAAAATAAGAATCTATAAAGCAGCAATTAGGGCTTAGACCATACAGGCCAATTAGAAATAGCAGGGAAAAGTCTGTTAGATAGGGAAAGGTGAGAGAAGTGAAAACATACGTAGAGCATGCAATATAGAAGACAAAAGGATGGGTGAAAAAACGGAAACAGGAGTCTAACGAATACATTATAAGTCACCAAATGGATGAAGAAATATTGGAAGACCAAGAAAAAGAAAGTGCGATAATTTGAACAATTTAGGAGGCTAATATTGAAGAAGAAACAGGCTTTAAAGCCTACATACAAGAAGGAAGAAGAAGAAGAAGAAGACATCTGAGGTTTGGAAATAGTTATAATTTTACAAATAATTAAGTTCATATTTAGTTATACTAGTTATTTAAGAGAAAACTGGTGGAAAAGTTCACGAAAGGCAGAAGAGACGAAGAAATAGTTGGTAATCTACGTCCCAAGACATATTCCAGCGATGAATCTTTATTAACAATTTTAAAGATCTTAAGCAAAAACAAGAAAAGCTACTAGGAATAACCAATGCTTTTTATTATATCTGGTACTATTTTTGTTCCTGTATGTAAGCTTTTAAAAGTTAAGTTTTTTTGTTCCCATACCTACCTTCACATTTTGGAGCTGAGTCACTCCATTCTCGATTTTCTAGACATATCCTCCTAGGTACGCCATTTAGTCTATAACTTTTGTAACAGTTGTAAGCTATTTCGCTATTTAAATATGTGGTACTATTTACGTAAACCAGTTGTCCATTATGAAGATCGGGGACTTTCCCGCAATCGATATCTAAAAAAGTAAAAAAATATTAAGATGATCTCAAAAGTACAAGATAAATATGTGAATTAATAATTATTTAATTGTACAGCGTATTAAAGAGTGATAATGAACATAAAACCATAAAAGATTATTCACAATACTTACATTCACAAGTTGGTGTTGTTCCGGACCACTCACCATTACTGTTACATTGGTGAGTAGGTTCGCCTATTAATATGTGCCCAACTTCACAGTGGTATTCGATAACGGAATGCACGTTAAAATCGTAACCTACTACGTAGCTTCCAGCTGGTACTTCAGGCTCCTCACATGTAATTACTGAAATTAAAAACGTTATAAAAAACTGCAGCAGTTAAAACTTAAGAACTTATACGTAAAGTACTAAATACAATATTAAGATTCTTACATTCACATGAGGGAGCATCTGCCGACCATTTTCCTTCTCTTGTACATTTTTGTTTCTTTTGTCCACTCATCCAGTAATCATCGATGCAAGAGTACTCTATTATGCTTTCGACGCTAGTAGTACCATTGATCAAAACGTACTTTCCATTATCAATGTTGGCAGGGGAACCACAGTCTATGTATTTACAAGTTGGTGCCTTACCGGACCATTCACCACCCAAACGACACGATAGTACCTATAAAATAAAATTGATATCTATGTTATATGTTGATATGTATATATAAGAAAAATTGGTTAAACTCAAGATAATATAACTGAAGGGATAACAGTAAAGCTTATTAATGTTACAAATAATGCTAGAAGAGTTTTTCAAGTTATTAAACCTTACAAAAATACGAAAAAAAAAACAGGTATATACTTAAACAAAAATCAATGTAATTTATACGAACTTTTGTTGTCTCAGTATTTAGTTATGCCTCCGAAACCTGAACCATTAGAACAGCAGATGGAAGAAAAAAGAGCTCATTTGTGATTTTGTGTTGAAAAAAAAAAATGCACCGAATACCTTTGACACTCAGAAAAACGAGCACATTAACCTTGCAAGTGAAAATTGAACTATGCAGGAGTTTTCAGACATAATTCTAAATACCACCTATGAAACTCCGCCTCAGGTAAGTGCTGGGTAAAAGCCTCGGAATACAAAGGATGGATCAAAACAAAGACGACTAAGGCAACGGAAAAGGAAAATGATAACAGAAGATAAAGATAACAAAACTAAGAGAGGAGTCTCTATTGTCATTCGAAAAAATCTTAAAAACAATATTAAATCGTAGACCGAAGTAAATGAACAACTGCTAATACTGGAAATGAAAAAGAATGGGCACAACATCGTAATTGTCAGAGTGTTTGTCCCAACTGAAGATGCAGATCCAGAAAGTTAAGATGATTTCTACAACAAGATGAGTGAAATACTCTCTGAAGTTAAAGAAAACTATGAAATCTTTATACTAGGAGATTTAAACGGCAGAGTAGGGAGAGAAGAAAATAACATAGTCGTAGAAAGATATGGAGAACAAATAACCAATGACAACGTAATGCATCTTAGAGATTTTGGTGAAACAATGTGTCTCAAAATTATAACCCCTAAATATAACCTAGAAAGCTTAAACGAAGATTCAACGAAATTTCTTTACTAATTACGACTGGCCACAAAATAACAAAATGGAGATGGAGAAAATATATCAGCGGAAGAATTATACCAGCAACTTAAAAAATGTATTTTTTTAAGCTTTGTGGTATAAAGACAAACATGAAACAAAATATCAGGAATGGTGGTCGGAGAATATACAAACGTTAGTAAACAAGAATAAAACTGCTTATCAGAAATGGATGTCAACGAGAAAGGAGGAAGATTACAAGATATAGCAAAAATTAAATCGAGATGTAAAAAGAGAAGTAGTGAAAAGTAAAACTGAGATCGAAGATGTGCAGAGGTGGATAGGTATATAGGTGGAACAAAAGTTGGGCAAGCATGGAAGGTGATAAAGTCTCTCCGGAGGGAAGGAAACGAAAAGTCTAACTTACGTTAAAGAAATATCCGAATATACACAAATAATTGAGATAACAACTGGAGAGTTAAACAATGCCCTCAAAAGATCGAAAAACGGTAAAGCCGCAGGACCTGGAGACATCCCAATTAAGTTCGTAAAGTATGGACCAAAAATATTACATGAGATGTTAGTTTAACTATTTAACAAATGCTTAAAAAGACAAAATATCCCTGATGATTGGAATGTTGGATACATTAGCTCAATATTCAAGAAGTTGATAATAAATAATAAAAGAAAGAATAGATTCAACCAACTAGCTCAATCAAAACCCCTGGAATCGAATCTACCTAAATACAATATTGATGCACTGCAAAACGACTCGACATCATTCTTATATAAGCTGTGACTTAGCCAAAAATTGGCAAACCTGATCTACTCCTCAGCCCAGAATACCTATAAAGAGATAATCAATAAAATCAATGAAGCAGCTTATGAAGCGCTCGGCACAATCCAAAAGAACAAAAAGAATACTCCATTGTGGTGGACAGATGACATCGCCAATGCAGTACACAACAAGAAACAAGCATATCAAAAGTGGCTGCAAACAAATGATCCAGATGATAGACGAACATATGCAAGATCAAACAGAGAAGTAAAAAATTTAGTAACTAAAGCAAAAAATATTTCCTGGGAAAGTAAATGCGAAGAACTCAACAAATATATAGGGTCAACAAGATCAAGAGAAGCATGGAAAACGGTAAAAAATCTGAGAACAAACAGAAAAGAAACGAGTAGAATAGACTTAATAGAAGAAAAATCTTGGATCGAACACTACTCACAACTTTTGACTGAAACAAGACCTCAATTCACGAACATCAGTACAACAACATATGAACTGGAATTCAGTGAAGACGATGAAATAACAGTACAGGAAGTCGAGAATGCAATGCGAACTCTAAAAAATCGGAAGTCATGCGGACCAGAAGGTATACCAAATGAATTATTAAAACATAGCCCACAAGTATTACGGAAATTACTGGCGTATGTCTTCACCTTATTCTATAATGGACACGACTTACCACAGGAGTGGACAAAAGCACATATTAACAACATCTACAAAAAAGGAGATAGAAAGAATTGTTCAAACTACAGGGGACTAAGTGTCATAAATTCACTCTCAAGACTGTATGGAAAAATAATAAAAAATAAAATTGAAAAAGAGATGACAGATGTAGAAGAACAGAATGGCTTTCGTGCAGGCAGGTCCTGCATGGACAGTATATTCTCTCTAAAGCAAGTTATCGAGAAAAGATTAGCCCACAACCTTTCAACTCATATAGTCTTTATAGATCTGACAAAGGCATACGATAGTGTACCACTTTCAATGCTTTGGGTAGCAATGGAAAAACAAGGAATAAGCAAAAAAAATATACAAGCAGTACAACAGCTCTACAAAAATATGATGGCAAACATTAAAACTGGAAATAGATTAACTAGAAAAATTCCTATTAGTAAGGGCCTAAAGCAAGGCTGCTGCATAGCACCTACACTCTTCAAAATATATCTAAATGAGGCACTCTCACTGTGGAGAAGAAAGTGCTGCAATATGGGCATCCCAATCGGAGATGATAGATTGTACACGATACAGTTCGCTGACGACCAAGCCATTCTAGCTGAAGACGAGAGTGATATAAGCTACATGCTTAGAAAACTGGAAGATGAGTACAACAAATGGGACCTCACAATTAATATACAAAAAACTGAGTACTTAGTTGTAGGAGAAAAACCAGAAAGCCTACAAATCGAAATGGGAACTATAAAACCATCAGACAATTTTAAGTACTTGGGAGTCCAAATAACATCAAAAGCAGGAAGTAGCGAAGAAATACATTCCAGGATTGGCCAAGCAAGATCAGCCACCATACAGCTACACGGACTATTATGGAATAAAAAAAATAACAAAAGAGAATAAAAGAAGAATTTATAAAACAATAATAGAAAATATTGGACTGTACGGCGCCGAACTCTGGGAAATAAACCAAAAAAACAAATCAAAAATTAAGGCCATGGAAATGAACTACTGGAGACGATGTTGCCAGCTCACTAGATATGGAAATCGATCTAGACCTAATAGATACAATCGAAGCCAAACTTAACTGGTATGGACATCTTCAGAGAATGCCGGAAAACAGATGGCCAAAAAAATAGAAGAATGGACTCCGCCAACTAGAAGAAAACGAGGTAGACCAAGACGATCCTGGAGAGACGATGTCGACGATGCAATGACCGCCAGAGATCTAACAACTGAAGATTGCTTCGACAGAAAACGCTGGAAATTAGGATGCGAGAAGCGGCGCCAGCTGTAGAAGACTCGCTTGTTATATATTATATATAGAATACAATCAGAATACGAAGGCATAGAAGAACATAATGGAGTCAGAGTCTCATATATATACCACCAATGAAGATGGAGACTAAATTTAAGGAAAATAATAAAGAAATAAGAAGGAACGACTATAACACAAACTACCGAAAAGTAATCAAGAAAATTTAAAACAAGGATATAAACTTTTAGAAACACAATAAAAATATAACCCAAAACATACACAACATAAATCTTAAGCTGAAATGAAGGGACAAGTATAGAGAAAACTAAGAAGAACAAAGAAATTAAACTAACAAGAAGACAGCAAAACTTGGAAAGCATGCACTTTACATTAGATCATTAGGCTACAAAATAAGTTGTCTATTTAGCAATTTAATAGCAGTTACGTAATTGCCAGGTATAATAATCAGTTTATAATATATTCTATTTAAATTATAAATTAATCTTATATACCTCTTCTCCAAAAATAATATAACCAGGGCTACATGTATATAGAGCAGTATCACCTGCTCTATGCCCCGAAACTTTTACATGACCGCCGTGAATCGTTGGTGGATCAGGACACCAATCAAATAAGCATTGAGGTGTGGAATTGCTCCATTTGCCTTCGTCACCACAAGTTCGAACTTCATGTCCAATGAGTGTATAATTTTCGTGGCAGGTGTAAATGGCTTTGGCTCCGTACGTGGTTATTTGATTTTTTATGTCCACTGAACCGTGGGTTAAGCCGGGTAGGGGACCACAATCAACATCTAAAATGAATTGTAAAGTATATTAGGATTAAAATAATAAATATTAAATAAAATAAAAAAAAAAAACTATTTTTTTCTACAGCAATTTTTTTTTGATGAGGCACAAAATTATGTGCCTCAACTATGTGAGGGCTATGCTTTTAAATGGGATAGTCAGAGAGAATATATTTAATAACAGGAACAGTACGTCACCGGAATATGATGCAGTGTCATAACGTTGTAAGTATCGTAGTGCAATTCTGTTAAATGTAGAGTGGCGCATCAGTTACTAAATTATTTTTGTTTGGACGTGTTGGGTTGGGTTTAAACATAAGTATTTGGAACGAATATGGATGAAACTACAGAAAAACGGTCCAAAAAGAAAAGAGTTGTTAATAGTTGGAAAAAAAAATAAAACCAAGAAAATGAGAAACTCTGGCGAAGAATATGTTTCTCTAGTCAATAAAAAGACCGTTACAAAGAAAATGCCACCAGCTGATGTAAGTATGGTTTAAAGAGATACCTATCTAAATAGACGTTAAAACATCAATATTTTTTTTTGTTTAAATATATCTAAATAATCCAAAATTGTTTTAGGTAAAATGCAAGTGTCCACTAGCATGTAGATCCATAAGACTGGAATACCTTGTTGAGTTGTACAATCCTTTCTATGAAATGGCTGATTATAGTAAGCAGCAAAGTTACCTACAAAGGTTTATTCATCCCCAATTAATCAAAAGGAGACGTCATGGTCAGTACGAACATCCCAGTGAAAGTAAGAGAAAGCACTCTTTCACCTACCATTTACTTTTGCCTGGAGGATCTGAAATAAGGGTTTGCCTCAAAACATTTTTTAGTACGTTTGTCGTAACTCCAAGAAGAGTGCAACTTTTGGGAGAAAAAATTCTTGATGGTAAAATGGATATGTCGAGGGGCTCGACAAAATATTTTCAAGACTGTCTGTACTAACAAGATTATAGAGCATATCGAAAGTTTTCCAAAAATTGAGAGCCACTACGCAAGGGCGAAAACCCCGGATAAGCTCTTCTTGTCACCGGATTTAAACGTAAGTAAAACACGTAAGTAGAATAGGGAAAGATGGAGAGAACTGGGGGAGACCTATATCCAACAATGGAAGGATAGAGAATAGGTTCAAAAAAAAAAGAATGTACCGTGCATTTTTAGAGAAATATTGTGCGGATTATCAGCCCCCTAACAAACCACCAGTGACTAGACAATGGTATAATGAAATTTTTATATTAAAATTTAACTTATCTTTTGCAAGGCCTAAAGTAGATACATGCTCCACATGTGATAGTTTGGCTGTTCAAATAAAATCAGGAGATAAAGCTGCTGTAACAGAACAGGAGCTTCACCATCGGAGAGCAGAGGCTGCTACAAAAGCAATATCAACTGAGACCAAAAATGCATGTACAAGTAATTGCTATGTTCTTTCCTTCGATATGCAGCAGCAAATGTACATTCCCCAATTAACTCACTCCGAAATGTAGGTACTATTCACAACAGCTTGCAGTGTGTAACTTAGGAATTCACGATTCCATCACAGGAAAGGGATCCATGTGTTTATGGACTAAGGACTTTGGAGGAAGGGGTGCCTTGGAAATTAGTTTCTGTTTATATACTTACCTTACTAAGGAAATTGGCAATCACGGAAAGAAAAAGCTTATTTTGTGGTCGGATAATTGTGGGGGTCAAAATAAAAATCAGTTCATGATCGCCATGTATTTGACCATACTAGCAAATAACGTTTTTGAGGAAATTATTCATAAATTTCTTGTAAAAGGACACACTTTCCTTAATTGCGACAGAGATTTCGCAATCATAGAAAAACGTAAAAAAGTGTGTAAGGCTTATACATTGATGAATGTTGTTAACATCATTACTAGTGCGGCCCAGAAAAATCCATTCTCGTGCATGGTGGTTAAGGACTTTTATGATTTCAAAACCGTTGACTGTGATAAACTGAACACAAAGAAGTTAGGAATTTCAACAGCTACGCAGCTTCGTCTTACAAGAGAGAAATTTGGTACGGTGATGGTGGCTAAAGGACATAGTGAGCTCGCTGGATGGAGTGAGACCAATGTACTCAAATCTGGAGTTACATTAGAAGACTTTAAAATCATAGACCTTCAAAAAACTAGAACTCACTTTGGTATCCCACAGAAAAAAAGAACAGATATTGAAAAAATGCTCCCTTATCTTCACGATGATGCCAAGAAGTATTTTAAAGAAAAATTAGGTCAACCGGGGCAAGTTTCTACTGTAGGAAACAACGGTTAAAAATCTGGCACTTAAAACGTTTTGACTTGCAAACCTGATGGCACTTACAACGTTTTAACCTTAGACAGATTTTTGAATTTTTTTTTAAGTAAGCTTTGTGTATTGTTCCTTTGCGGTATGTTTGTATTATATAATACCTTCAAACTAATCCTTTTTCAGTATGTTACATTATAAGAAATAAACATGTTCGATAAAAAACTGTTTTTTACTCCTCCTGAAAAATTTATAATTTGGCACTTACTACGTTATGGAAATGCACGCTTCACTCACCAGAATATGATGCAGTCAAATATTCTATGATATACAATTTGCCAGATAACGTAAAAGAATTACTTTTAAATCTATTTAACCAGATAATTATTGAGGGTAACGGCATAATCGATTTCAAGCGTATTATAGTCGTCCCTATTCCCAAACCGGGGAAAACTCAAAATTCGCTGAATCTTACCGACCTATATCATTATTATCATGTATATTGAAGACTCTTGAACGGATGATTAAAATTAGGTTAGATTGTTGGCTAAGTGATAAAAGTCCTTTACCCGCTAATCAACATGGCCTTAAGAAAGGTCATGGAACTTTAGATTCCTTAACAACTCTTATTGTAAACATTCAGAATAGTTTTTCCAGAAACAGTTATGTACCTGCTTCATTTTTAGACATCGAAGATGCTTACGACTCGGTATCTCTCACAATTCTCTAAGAAAAAGTGATTAAATTTTTTCATATTCCAGCGCAGTTTGCTTTTAATGTTACCTGTACACAAATAGGATAATTTATTTAAAAGACGATCATACTCTTATAGGACCTAGACTTAATAACAAATGATTACCTCAGGGCTCCGTTTTGAGTCCTATTTTGTTTAACATTTACACAGCAGATTTACACAACATCACTATTATTAATATTGCATTTAATATTGTACAATATACTGACGATTTCTGTTTGTATACAGAACACAAAAAATATAAGCAATCCATTGAAAACCTGAATAAAATATATGGATTCCATCAAAAATGGTTTATAGAAAATGGTTTCGAATTATCTTGCAGTAAATCACAAGTTTTTTTATTTACCAAACATACCTTTCCTAATGCCAATACAAACAATTTAGGGGTCACCAATTTTCCTTTAAAATTATAATTAAATATTTGGGAATGATACTCGACCAGATATTTATCTGGAAGGTACATATTGATGACATGTTGAACAGATGCAATAAGGGATTAAACTTTTTTTATTAGGATTACGGAAGTGTTTTAAATGTTTCAGCAAGTAATGTACTACTAAACAAAATCAACGTTTTACAGAACTCAGCCTTACGAATATGTTTAGGACCCATGAGATCCATTTCAGTACAAGCTTTATATTTGGAAGCCTTGGAACCTCCTTTAAATATAAGACGAAGGTTTTTGTCCAAAAAATATTTAATGAAAGTATACTCACTGAACTCATCTGTATACGAAAAGATAGAAATCTCCCTTACTTTGTTTGTACTTTTTACTAATGTTTTTGGTTTCTCTAATAGTTTTTTTTATTTCTTTGTCAATTCGTTTATACTCCCACATGTCTCTGTTTTTAGCTCTTCTTCTATTTTCCATCATATTTAGGATTTTATCAGTAATCCACTCTTTCTTTTTAACCGTTGTTAACTAAGATGTTTATCTAGGATGGTCTGGTTAATTTGTTGTAGTTTTGCCATTTCGTTATCTGGTTCATTAGCTTTGTCTGTATTTTTTAATTCTTTTTCTATATAGGTTTGTATCTGGTGCCTGGTGTCTTCATTTTTTATTGGCCCTAAATCGTATTTCCTTGCTTTTGCACTCTCTATCTTCTTCAGCTTTACTCTGATGTTAACTAACAGTGGATTATGGTCCGACCCGATATCAGCACCAGGATATGTTTTGGCTGATATTATTGAGTTTCTGAATCTTTTATTCGCCATAATGTAATCAATTTGGTTTCTGATGATGTGATCTGAGGTGTCTTGAGATGATCTCCACGTATATAATCTCCTAGTTGGTAGTTTGAAGAAAGTTTTGGTGATTACCAGTTGTTCTTCCACAGCGAAGGTGATCAGGTTCGTTTTTGTGAAGTTTTTTTAAAACACTCATTAGTTCCGAATATTAAGGTTCGATCTCTTCGTCTGATTTGTCTGCAGTAGGTGCATATACCTGGATTATGTTGGTCTTAACACAGAAAGTGTTAAACTGAATAAGGAGTATTCTCTCTGAGATTTGGACGAAGTTTGTGACGTATTTAGAGATGTTCTTATTCACTATGATACTAACTCCGTTAATATGTAGGTCTTCGCTATTTCTGGAGCAATAAATCTGGTGGTCATGTACTGTGCACTGTCCAGATCCAGTCCAGCGCATTTTACTTATACCCATTATATCGATAGCAAGTCTATCCATTTCCTACCTACCTACCTACCTACCTTGTGCTACCTACTTTTAGATTTAAATAAAATTACCATTATTTTACTTACATTTACAAGTAGGTGTTGTACCTGTCCACAGCCCATCTTTACCACACTTTCTTTTTCCACTTCCTACCAGCATGTGTCCTTCTGGACATTGATAATCGATAACTGCTCCTATATCATAATTTGTACCAGTGATAGTAGTATTGATAAGCTTGTCAGGACTACCACACGAAAATGGACCTATAATTTAAATAATTTATTATACTAATACCGGTTTGCTTATTTTAAAATAAAGAAAACTATAGAAATGTGGTATAAATGTAAATAAATGTGTAAATAAATATCAATATTAAAAAAACCAAGTATATGGTCTTCAGTAAAAACATGACACAACCAGCGTATATTAGTATAAACGGCACTCAAGTTGAAAAAGTATCAAGTTACAAATACTTGAGAACTTTAATAAACGAAACTGAAGACCAAAACAGTGAAATAAAAAGACGTATCGAGATTGCTAGGGCCACCTTCATAAAGATGAGAAAATTCTTCTGCAACAGAAATATAAGCATCCCTCTACGATTAAAAATGCTGAGAGGCTATGTATTTAACACGCTATTATACGGTGTAGAGGCCTGGACTCTCAAACAGAACAACATGAAAAATATTGAAAGTTTCGAGATGTGGTGCTACCGTCGAATGCTGAAGATTAGTTGGGTTGAAAGAATAACAAACTGTGAAGTAATACGAAGAATAGGAAAAGACCCAGAGATTTTGCTAACGCTAAAGCGAAGAAAACTCGAATATTTTGGTCACCTGATGAGAGGACATAAATACGCATTACTTCAAAATATAATGCAGGGAAAAATAGAAGGAAAACGGAATCCAGGCCGTAGAAGAATGTCATGGTTGCGAAATTTGAGAGAGTGGTTTGGCTGCACCACTAATGAACCCTTTAGGTCAGCCGTAAACAAGGTCAGAATAGCCTTGATGATTTCCAATCTCCGATAGGAGTGGCACAAAAAGAAGAAGAATAGAAATGTGGGTTGTACTTGGTGTATTTTGCATTACTGTATACCAAATAAAGGATATGACTAGTTACACACTCTCCGTAGCAAAAAAACAGGAACATAAGAGAGATTATCGGTCAAAAATAGTCAAACAAACTACATAACGACACAACATCCTTACGAAGGAGAAAAGATACGCGAGAATACTTCAATATAATATCTCTGATCTAAAGTAGAATATATTTCATTTTTATGCAGTCCTATATAAAAAAATCTAGAGGTGCTATGTCTGGTGGTCAAGGGGGGCATGGAAAGGACCATTGTTGGCTATCCACCTATCTTCAAATGTCTCATTCAAAAATTGGTTTACCATTTTGGAACAATGCGGAGGAGCTTTATCGTGAAGAAAAAATAGTATTCTAAATTGTTGCGGTCGTAAACGATCTAAGTAATTGATTTGATTGATTTTTAATCCTTTAAAAGTAGTTATTAGAACATAAAAAATTATAAAAGTATTTATCCGCAATTTATAATGGTTTAAGTTACCATCATAAAAGTAAAGAGCTTAACCTGGTTGTCAAAAAATTTACAGGATGTTCTATTTTAAATAAGAAAGTTATTTAAATTTCCAGAAAAACTGAAGATCTGACAACAATGTAAATACCACCGTAATATCGGGCACATCCCAAGACCCATACGCACCAAAATCTATAAAAAATCGTGTTAGCAGTTTCCGAGATAATTGAGACTGTATATTGATCTGTTGTATCCCCTTATAGAAGAACATGTACTAGAAGGACTAATACTTTCACCTACCAGTGGCGGCTCGTGACATCTGCTATAGGGTGTGCTGCATGAACCACGGTCAATATAAAATAATAGAAATAGAATAACATACGAAAACAAAAACAATAAAATTAGCTTTAATACTAATTAATAGTAACTAATAACGACATGCTATAAAAATCTGATTAACTTACATTTATTGCATTTTTCTAAATTGGAAATTAATACGCCGGTCCTTTTTTGTCGCAAACTTTTCGATTACTTTATCGTTAAAGTTCGGTATTGAAGCGATGAACTTTTTTTCTATCGAGAGTGTGGAAAGGGCTGTTAATCTGTCTTCGCACATTGAATTTCTTAAAAATGTTTTGATCCGTTTTAAAGTTGAAAAACTACGTTCAGCTTCTGCTGTGGTCATTGGCGTAGTCACCAGAATTTGTATCAACTTTTTGGTTTCTGTTAATGTGTCCTCTAAATTATTAGAAATTATAAATTTTAGTAAAGGCACTGCACCTTTTAATGTTCTACACTCGATATTGGAATACAAAACTGACAGTTCTGTTCGCAAACGGTTTTTATCAAAGAAGTTATAAGCTGTACAAGTTAAATCCAATTCATTTTCAGGAAACTTATTATTATATTTTTCGAAATGTTCTGAAGATAAAAGTGTTGCGGCAACTAGATGATTTGTATATGCAAACCGTTCTTTTGCATTGTTTATAATAACATCACAAACTTCTAGACAGGCAATACGGTGATCCTGTTGGCTGTTATTTGGGCGTTTCCTTTTTTGGACACTAGGCGCCGCATTTAAATTTGAAGCTTGATGTATGATAGGGTCTATTTTATTTCGGACATTGTTAATACTTTGCTCAAAAACATGTATAGCTTTCTGTGCTTCGGTTGGGTCCATGTTCTTTTTTTGAAGATTATTGTACAAAACGTCAACATGTGGCATAATATAATGAAAAACAGTCAGCCAGAAAGTAAAATTTTGATCTTCCAGAATACGTCTAAGTCCTCTTGCTTCCTTGGAAGTAATAGCATTTGACTCTTCTTCTAGTTGCTCCATACACTCAATAATAAAGTCTCTATATTCGTAAACGACATTTACTGTACGAATATTGAAATTCCAGCGTGTAGGGATTGAACGAGGAATATTTTTTCCAACTATTTGATTTAAGACAGCTATTCTTTGAGGTGAATGACTAAAAAATCCAGGTATATCATGTAAATCTCCAAAAAATACGCGTACTTGGGAATTAATAGAACATGCTCTTGACATTATTAGATTCAATTGATGGGCGTAACAGTGCACAAAATGAGCAGTTTCATATTTTCTCTTAATTATTGTTTGCACTCCGCCATGTATCCCACTCATAACAGCTGCTCCGTCATAACTTTGTGCAATGAGCTTATTTTTGTTATTCTTTAATATTGGGTCTAAAACATTCAAAATTGTGTTAGCTAAGGTTTCAGCATCATGTTTTTCTGGAAGCAAAAAAGTCCAAAACCTTTCAACTGGAGCACCGTTTTTTACATAACGAAAAACAATGACCATTTGAAATTTCATAGAAACATCCGTTGTCTCATCAGCTATCACTGCTAAAAATGGGGCTTCATTGATTTCGTTTAAAATCTCCTCAGCGTATACTTCTAGCATGCAATCCAAAATATCATTTTGTATTGTTTTTGAGGTACCTTTGAAAATTGTCGCATTTGTAAGGTGTTCACTAAGTGTTTTATCAAGTTCAGCAGAAAAATTCACTAAACCACGAAAAATTCCAGGGTTATCTGATGTTTCAGATTCATCGTGTCCTCGTAAGGCGAGCTCAAAAGCCCCACAGAATTTTATACAGTCAATTATTTTTGACAAAACATACCTGTTTTTCGTCACCTCTTCATTGTGTTTTTGTATATTTATCCAATAAGCAGAGTCAAGTTGGGCCTGTATATTAAGTTTCCCAAATAATGCAAATCGCATTTCATTGTTCATATGAGTTTGCGTGTTTTCATGCTTCTTTATTTTTTCACTTAAATGCACTAGATCCCGCACTCCTGTCTCGCGCCACAATTTTTCCTCTTTATCTGCGCCGAATAATGCACACGGAAAACAGAAAAAAGCATTTTTTTCGGAACATCCACAAATCCACTGATTTCGTAGATACATGTCTTTATTAAATTTACGCGTATATGTTTTTCCACGGCTTTTACCGGACACTTCAATATTAAGATCAGGCATAGGACGGCCACGTTCTTTTATAATCAACTGTTGTTGATAGTGAAGTTTTTGAAATTTATTTACACCTAATTTAAATTGAAACTCCATTGTTTTAAACACGCTCGAACAAAACAAATTAAACAAAATTGTAACCTAAGAATTTCTAAACACGGCACAGATGCAACGGTCACGAATAACTGTCGTGAATTGCAGCTCGCAAACACATTTCCGAGGCCGTTAATCAGCCGATTGCCGAAGCACATCGGCTAAGATCGCCGTTTGCCTAATAAATGCATTTTACCGCTGCCAGTGTTTCGGTTGTTATCGACGCGGCTTCACTGGAGCAGCAAATACGTAAAAAGATTGCTTCACTGGAGCACCAAATACGTAAAAAAATTATACGGTTTCACTAGAGGAGTAAATACGTAAAAAAAATAATATTAATCATCGTTGTTGGTGAATTATTATTAACAGTTTATGTTTAATATGATAATATGGCAGATTTGAAATAAAACTATATTAATTATTCTTTAATAATTAAGATTTGCTATGGTGGTTTGGTAGTTCTGCAGCTCAGCAGCACATAAAGAAAAGCCGCCACTGTCACCTACGAAAAAAATGTATGCAAGAAACATAGCAAAAGCTTATAATTTTGGACTACATTAATAGCATTAATATTTTAAGAAAAGGAACCATTTTACCATGTTGGCAGATCCAATGACAGTAGTCTAAATTACATCCAACGTCATTCCATAACCACTGGCGACCACCATCCAACACCACACAGTTTTGTTCTCCATTGTAATTGTTGGGTTGGTCTTTACCCCAAGAAGGTCGCTGGACGAGTTCACCTTAAAAACAAAAATATGTGAGCGTTTTAATCAAATGTACTTGAGTTATGATAATATAGGTAAAACAGCGTCATTGTTATAATCGGAGAAGTAAAAATACCAAACAATATCTTAGCAAAGACATGTATCATTAATGGTATTAAGTGTCCTAATACTCATGTTCTATATTCAGGGTGGCCGAATGAAAATGAAACGGAAGCATTACCAGAAATTATTATTATTATTACATAGTAATAAGGAGTGGGGTCATGAAAACACATAAGCCCATTTACAAGAAAAATGAAATAGTACATTACAAAAAAATTAATTACGCAAATAAACTATGAACTAGTAAATTGTATACAGTATTGTTCAGTTTACAAACATGTAACAGTCTAGTTGGTTTTTAGAAGAATTTATAGATGGGGAATTTATCATTTCCGTTTGAAGACTGTTCCATATACTAAAAATACGATTACACAGAAAATGTTGGCGCCTTGTCCATGAAAAGGGTCACTTCTTCAGTTTTAAATTGTGTCATGTAGTCTTCTGTGATGATCTAAAATAAACATAGGCTGCATATCCAAACTTTAAAATTCGGAAGGTGATAATTAAGTCACCACGGAGTCGACGAGCTTCAAAACTTGGTAACCCTGCCAAAGAAAGTCTTTGTGGGTAATCTGGCCTTCTTCGTTTGAAAGATAGTCTGGTGACTGTCTTTTGGACATTTTCGAAAAGGGTTCTATCGCACACTAATTCTGAGCACCAAAATGTTCCACAGTACTTTTACTCCACAGTACTCCACAGTACGAAAAGGATATTTTTGTAAAAGTCTTATTAAGTAAGTATAATTTACTATTCGCTTTTTTAGTGATGTTTGAAATATGCTCCAACCAACTCAAATTTTCAGTAATTGTAACACCAAGGTCACAATATGATCCCACAGTATCCACTAAATGTCCGTCTATCGAATAGGACAAACTCGGGTTATTTTTTCATCATCATATAACGGAGGTCCTACGGCGAGTGCCGCTTCCCGCATTTCAGCCTCCATCTTTTCCTCTCTCTCCAATCTCCCTCTTCTAAGCCTCTAGATTGCATTGTTTTTGTAATTTCTCTTCTCTAGGAATTTGGTGGTCTTCCCCTTTTCCTTCTTTCTGGCGGAACATAAAGGCTTTCTTTGGCCACCGCTCCTCCTCCATTCTCATCACGTGACCATACCATTGTAATTGCCTTCCTTGTATTCTATCTGCAAGAGTATCTCTAATTCCTGTACGGTTTCGTATTTCCTCATTCCTGATTCTTTCCATTCTCGATACTCGACATGACCTTCTAAGATAATCCATTTTCACAACGTCTACTTTATCTCGTTCATTCTTTGTCATCGTCCAACATTCGGCACCATATGTGGTAATCGGTTCTACAATTGCTCTGTATACACGAAGTTTGGTATGCATCTTTATTTTATTAGACCACAGTAATAAATTCTGTATTCGGATGCATTTTTTTCCCTTGGGTTATTCGGTTTTGTACATCTATCTTAACTCTGCCATCTGCTGATATGATGCTTCCTAGATATTTATACTGGTTGCAACTTTTTATGACTGCGTTTTCAAGCCTCAGATCTGTGGTATTTTCCCCAATTTTTAAATATTCTGTTTTGCTTATGTTTACAGTAAGCCCCCATTTGGCATATCCCTCAAATAATTTTCGATTCATATAATTTATATCATTCTCATCGGTTGCAACCACCACCTGATCATCTGCAAACAACAATGTATACAGAGTTTCTTGTCCCACTTCGATGCCCATAAATCTACATTTATTTCTCCAATTCCTCAATGCTTCTTGGACGTATATTTTAAAGAGTGTCGGTGACAAACAGCATCCTTGCTTTAGACCTTTAGTGACTTCCAATCCGGACCTTTCGAGGACCTCAAACATTTTCTTTAACAGGACACTATCATATGGTTTCTCAAGGTCTATAAATACCAAATGGGTCTCTCTACTTCTTTCGACATGCTTTTCAATATTTGTCGTAGGATAAATATATTATCGAGGCAGGATCTCCCGGTACGAAAGAGGCTTTGTACTTCAATATCTTGTATCTGTCTTTCAATCCTCTTCTTTAATATTCTGCCGTACAACCGGCCCACAGAGCTCGTTACACTAATACCTCTATAATTGGAACAGTCTCTTTTATTCCCTCTCTTATAAATATATGGAGCTTATATAAGATTTATTCCAATCTTTAGGAATTTCCTGGTCTCCACACATAAATTTATTAAAAAGGTCTACTATTAATTCTAAAAGTGCAGTCGGCCCATATTTAACCAGCTCCATGGGAATGTCTCCAGGCCCTGCGGCTTTTCCGTTTTTAACCTCTTTTAAGGTTTCCGTCAATTCAGATAATGTTTATTATAGGGATTTTCTGTCTTTTCTCTCCGTTATCTATTAATTCCCTTATCTTGTCCCATCTGTACTCTACTCTATCCTCTTTCAGCAGTTTCGTATAATATTCTTCCCATTCATTTAACTTTATGAGGGAAATGTTGTCTTCATTTTCCTCATTTTTTCTAAACTGCTTTAATGTTTTCCAAGCTTGTGCCACTTTTGTTATTTCTTATATTATTTATTATTGGTTATTTTTTCCCAAATGTAAAACTACACACTTATCTCTATTTAGAGGTAACATCCAATCCGAACATCACTTGAAGATCGAATCTAAGTCACTTTGTAAGTCTTATCCATTCAAAAGTGGGTCAGTAAATATTTTTGTATCATCTGCGTAGAAAGATTTCCTAGATATGATATGAGAATCAAGATCGCTAGCATACAACACAAATAGTAGTGGATCCAAAACAGATCCTTGTGGCACACCACTTCAAATTGGTTTCTTAGATGACAGCGACAGCATTTTTGAAAAATCCAGCGACATGTCTATTTTTGATTAAACGGAGTCATATTTAAAGGGAGTAAGAATCACTTCAACATAGAACATTTTTACTTAGAATAAATTTTTCTTCGAATTTAATGATAATAATTTAAACAATTAAAACATTTTAGTTTTAATAAATTGAAACTACTTACCATTTACCCACTTCCACGTTCTTGAAATTACGCTAGGTTCCTTCTGCGCCCCAATCCAGACAAATTGGGTTTTCAATTTTGATTTTCTTCTATCTAATTCTGTATGTAGAAACGTCGTTTGCATTGGACTCATCGAATGTATCAATTCACCGTATTGCTTTTGGCAATAGCTTTTGGCATCTGCAAATGACCCACCTTTAGTTATTTCGAATTTGTAGCAAGTTTGAGCAAATGTGGCCAGCTCGGTTTCATCAGGAGAGTTTGTTGGTACGCATCTATCCAAAGAAAACTCTGTAAAATAAAATGATTTTATATATGATTATATATAAAAGCAGACATAAACGCTAAACGGAAAAACAGAAAAGAAGGAAGCCGCGCATGCGTGACCACATGGAAGATATAAACGTGAGCTGGGGTAAACTTAAAAACAACATTAAAGAAGCAGTAACACAAGCTCTAGGAACACGCAAAGTCATACTGAACAAAAAGAACAACAATACACCATGGTTCAGAAAAGAAATAAAAGAGAAACGAGAGGCCTACACCAAGTACAAAACATCAAATACGCGACTTCAATGGTACACAAAAACAAATATGGAGATTCACAAAAAAGATACGAAAAGAAATGGCAGAATTGAAGGAATACAATAACACACCAGCAAACGAATGGGAAAGATATCTGACGGAACTGTTTAAAGGAAAGGAAAATAATAATCAACACAATAACGTACCTGAATTAAGACACGAAATAGAAATTAGTTTCCAGGAAGCAGAGATAGCAATAAATTCACTCAAAAATAGAAAGTCACCAGGACCAGACAGAATAACCAACGAGCTTCTTAAACTTGGAGAAAAGTATAACCCTAAAGATAACAAAGCTTGTACAAAACTAATATTGCACTGCAAGATACCAGACGCATGGAGATACAGCATAATGATACCAATATTCAAGAAAGAAGACAAAAAAGACCCCAACAATTATAGAGGTATAAATCTACTGAACATCGCACTTAAGCTTACCACAAAAGTCCTAACCAACAAAATTAATAAACCAACAACTTTATTAAATGACCAAGTACAATAAACCTAGCATATCTATGTTTTATATACCCGACAAAGGCTTTCCATCTTTCCACACTTCCATAATCGAATACAGACAGAGATAAATGAAAGACTAACACAGTGTATACCAGTTATCGAGCAAAAAGACAAAAGAGGGAATGTAAAGGTAGTGGGGGCAAAAATATTGTTAGACAGGAAGTGCCATCTTGAGAGGCCACATTAAACAAGGAAAGAGAGTCTCTTTCCTTGTTTAAGAAATCAAATTTAGTTGGGTTATGTTATTGCTGATGTTATTGTTTGTCCCAACTGTCACATGAAATCTTTTTTATATTATCTATTGAAGTTTTTTAACAATTGTGTCACATTTTAGACTATTATCGTTATTATTTCATTAAAACTTTCTCGTCTAAGACTCATTCTGAAAAATATTTTATAGCTACTTTAAATTTGGCGCATTCGCATTTCCGGATATGTCCGCCATCAGAGGCCACTTTTTTGGTCTTCTTTTCATAACGATTAGATTTCCTCTTTTGTCTTTTTGCTCGATGATACCAGTACAAAGCGGAGTCAGATAGGGTGACTCGTTAAGCCAACTTCCCTTTAATATAATAATGGACGAAATAATGCAAACAGTACGTAGAGATCATGGTTACAGATGAGAAACCAAGAAATCCAAATATTTCCATGTGTTATGCAGACGACGCCGCATTAATTGCCGAGACAGAAGACGAGCTCCAAAGATTAACATACATCTTCAGATAATATTAGAAGAAAAAACCAACATCTAAATACCCACTAGGATGTAGCAGCAAAATATTAAAGCAGGAAGCGAGGTTTAGATATCTAGGAATATATGTAACTAGTTACGGAGATGTTGAAGAAAAAGTACGACAACAAAGCTTAAAAGCAAGTAAAGCGGCGGGTTCTCTTAATGACACAATCTGAAAGAACAAACACCTAAGACAAGACACAAAAACAAGAATCTATAAAGCAGCAATTAGACCTATATTAACATACATGGTGGAGACAAGACCTGACACATATAAAACGAGACGACTGCTAGAAACAACAAGAGATGAAAATACTCCGACGAATATAAGGGAGAAGTCTGTTGGATAGAGAGAGAAGCGAAAACATAAGAAGAGAATATAGAAGACATAAATGGATGGGTGACAATTTAAACAATTTAGGAGGCTAATATTGAAGAGTATTGAATTGTAAAGCCTACAATCCATTTAAGACGACAAAAGGACTTCTACAAGGCTGTGTGCTACGTTCCTTACTCTGTTTAAAATATTCTTGGAAAGACACTCAAACCATGGAGTAGAAAGTGCGAAGAAATGGGCATACCAGTAAGAGACGAATACCTATCCACCTTAAGTTTTGCCGACGATCAAGTAGTCATTGCACAAGATGAAGAAGATCTTAGCTTTATGCTCAGAAAACTAGAAGAAGAATATAAAAACAACGCAATGGAAATAAACTTAGAAAAAACCGAATACCTAACAAGAGAAAACAAGGATATGAGAAACCTATAGATAGACGAGCGAAGACAAGTAAATGGAACAGATAAATTCAAGTATTTAGGAACCATAATATCGAACCAGGGAACAACAGAAGAATACCCTGACAAGAAGTATCCTGACATATGGACCCGAAAACTGGACAATGAACAAGAGAAATAGAGGTAGAATAAGAGCAGTAGAAATGGAGTTCCTGAGGAGAAGATGTAGACTTACAAAAAGAGACAGAATTGAAAACGCAGAGATTAAGCGGAGAATGGGAGTGCAATCAGACATAATCGACTATATAGAGGAAAAGAGACTATCCTGGTACGGCCACGTCAGAAAAGCGAACAGAGGACGCAGCATAAACAAAATCACAGAATGGAGCCCGATCGGAAGAAGAAAGAGAGGAAGACCCCGAAGGTCATTCAGAGACGAAATCGACGAGGCTATGGAGAAAAGAACCCTGCAAGATGGAGACTGGAATGACAAGGAAAATTGGAGAAAACGGTTGAGTGAAGGAAGACAGTGAAAACTGTGGAAATCCTTAGTAGTAGTAGTAATATTGAAGAAGAAACAGGCTTTGACGCCTACATACAAAAAGAAAAAATAAGAAGAAGAAGCACTATTCCACCACAATCACCTACTCTGTATACTATATTTATAATACTGTAATTATAACTGAGAAATTAAGATTTCATGGAATCCGGAACCGTTGATATTATTTAATCACTGTTTTGTGTCGATAAACTTATATAATAACAAAAGATCTGCAATTGAAACTGAAGTTACGTTTCATTAAATCCTCGTAAAATAAGTAATAAATAAATGTTGTTTCGTTGAAGAATAAAGCAGCTTTTTAATAGTTTTTCATGAGCGTAGAAGACAATAAGCAGGAAAACAATTTACTTAAATCTAAGTTGACCTAGCTATAAGAAAAGTTTCAAAATATTTTTCCTTTTATTTTTTCATATATTTTCATTATTTTGTTATTAATTTATGGGTCATGTCTTTATCATATATCATGTAAAATTTTATAGTGCTACGCTATTCGTAATATGAGATTAGATTATGAATTTCAACTACTCTAATTATTATCATCATTATTCTGGCTTTACAACACTGTTTCCTCTTTTCTTCTCTTTGTCTGGTAATTCTCTTCAGTTGTTCTAGTTCATCTGCTAAGCATCTTTCTGGAGGTTTGGTGTTTTTTCTTTATTGCATTTTTGCATTCATCGTCAAATCAATTTGTCTCAGAATGACCTATCTCTACAGTATAGGTAGTGTGAGTGAACCATAGTTTAGCAAATGCCCCATAAAGAAAACAATTGCCATAAATTTGTGAATGAAACAAGTGTAGTGATATTTGGCAGTTATACATCGATAAAATAAATATTTAATTAGGAGAAATTCTTAAAAATCTCACGAGATATAATATTGCCAGCTACACGTTTTATCTCGCCCGATCTAAGAAAAAGAAGAAGATAACTAACATCCAAACTGATTGAAAAATATTACGAAAGCGCTTATATTCTTATAAATGTAAATGCTTATATTCTAAATTTTGTTGTAATCTAACTACCGTAGAATGGGGTGACTTTGATTCTATAAGGTGACTTTGATAAAACATGAATATTTTATTTCAAGAGAGTATACAACCCAAATGTTTCGTCCGTTATGGTGGTTGCCTGAACTTTATTTCAGTACACATGTTGATTCACTATAGCAAAAGGTGTTTGTGGCCAATATCAAAAGTATACGGTTGTAAATTCACCATTGAAGTTTTTGTTTGAATTTGAAGATTTTATATTGTGTTACTAAATTTAAACATACAGCTCTTACAATAGAATTGCAGGTAATTTTGTGTATGTTGCCTTAATGTAGGTCTAGTTGTCACTATTTTAAAATATTTAACCTAACTTATTTCCGTAACTACTCCATGAAATTGAATGGTTTCTTATCCGGGGTCACTTTGATACATTTTTCGGGGTGACTTTGATACTTTATTTCTTTTTATAGTTTGCTTAATGAAACTTCAAACCGTTAATTATTTTCAGGACTTCGTCATTATCTGCATGAAAAGAAAAAATGCCGCGAGTTTATAAACGAAAGTTGGGATCAAGAAGCTACACTTCTCAGAAGCAGAACTTCTCTGACGAAACTCTTGAACATGCTCTGCTTCAAATAGTAAACGGAAACTTGTCTGTTAAAGCCGCTTCAGAAAGATTTAAAATTCCGTATGGTACTTTATATAATAAATACAAAGGGAAGCATGTGAAGAAGCCAGGGGGCCAAACTGCGTTGACGGAGCTAGAGAAAAAATCAATCGTGTCCTGCATTGTCAAATGTGCAGATTGGGGATTTCCATTATCGACGCTAGATGTACAACTTTTCACTAAGAGTTATTTAGAAAGAACTGGAAGAATTATCTCTAAATTTAAAAACGGGGTAAGTCCTGGTAACGACTGGGTAAAACTTTTTTTTAGAGAGACATAGTCAGCAAATCTCTGAACGACTTGCGTCTAACATTACTAGAGCTCGGGCAGGTGTCACAAAAGAAACGATAGAATCATATTTCAATAATTTAAGAACAACTCTCTCAAATTGCCCTCCATCACACGTTTTCAATTACGATGAAACCAACGTTAGTGATGATCCGGGGAAAAGAAGATTGCTTTATAGAAGAGGGACCAAATATCCAGAACAAATCACTAATCATAGTAAAGCCGCCACATCAATAATGATGTGCGGTGCTGCTGATGGTACACTACTCCCTCCTTATATAATATATCGCAGCGAACATATGTGGGATGCATGGACATTAGGAGGTCCACAGGGCTCTCCTTGTTGTAGTAGTGGATGTTGCGCAAGAGGAGCTAGATATAACCGAACAAAAAATGGGTGGATGGAGGTAACTTGTTTTACAGACTGGTTTGAGACCATATTATTACCCCACACAAGACGACTAGAAGGTAAAACAGTTATGATCGGCGACAAATTGGCGTCTCACTTTTCAGATCATGTTTTATAATTGTGTGAATTGCACAATATTGAGATAAAGATAAAGATAAAGATCAATTTCCGTCGTTATTAAAAAAATGCTTAAAATTAATGGATCAGACAATTGTAGAAACTGAGTACAAATGTGGAGATTGTGAAAAAAGTGCAATTAAGAGAGTTTTGAAGAATGGGTTCGAGGCTTGTGGCATGGTCCCTTTCGATCCAAATAAAGTCTTGAGTAAGATTACACCAATCAACCATGATGTTGATTATGTAGAACCTCTGATTAACGACAGCCTCACAGACTATCTGATGAATAAGAAGTCCGAGATAGAAGTTACTAAACGGCAAAGTAAAAAGAAACTTCATATCCAACCTGGTAAAAGTGTAAGTCGACATATAACGACAGATGACAGCTCCTCAGATAGCGAGTTAAACAGCTATAATAGTGAAAGCGAAAATGAAATTGAAAATGAAGATTCTGTGGAGGACCAATCATATGAAGATGAGATGAATACAAAACCCTCCCTTGCTGAATTGAATGTTGGAACTTACGTGCTTGTAAAAATTATGTCAGGTAAACAAAAATGTAAAAATTACGTATATGCCGGAAGGATACAAGAGAAATTACCTTTTGACGAATACGAACTCATTGGACTTAAATCACTGGATGAGACCCATAAACATTTTAAAGTTGCGGAGACCGACGTTTTTAACGCTCCTTTCGATGATATCTTAGCAATTCTGAAGACCCCATCGGTTGAAACAAATGAAACAGCAACTACATGTACATTTCCTGGCAGAGTTGATGTTAAAGAAAAATAACTTTGATTTTGTTTCCGTTCAAAATACATTCTTTTGGCCTTTTTTTACTATTTTATACTGTTTTACTAATTTGCTAAAATGTTTTTTACCTGAATAAAGTATTAGCTACCTGTAAAATTATTTATTATATACTAATTATTGAGCCTATAGCAACTGTCAAAGTCACCCCAAAAATTAAAATTGAAATATCTAAAAATTAGCTTGATCGATTTAAAAATGGGTTGACATTGACACCATTACAGCTTTTATGCATCGTCCAAGCTATTTTAAAATAGGGTATCAAAGTGACCCCACATCAATGGGTGATTTTGATATACCATTACTTATTTTTTTTGAGAAAATCCTCAATTTAAAGATATATATATATATATATATATATATATATATATATATATATACTAACAGTATAAATTACATAAACATAAGATGAATCCCAATGGACATTTTTCCACATTTTTGGGATCACACCCATTCAAAAGTTACGTAAGAAAATATAAAAAAAATTCAGCTAGTAAATTGACATTAATTTTTTTTTATTGAGTTTAATGCGTCGACAAATAATGGTCACATTGGCATGGTACAGTGAATTTTTACAGTCAGGTGTGTAGTGTGTGTGTATGTGTGTGTAGAGTAATTGTCTTGATACTTAGCTAAGTCGACGTCATTGTCTTTGCTAAGAGACGCTAATTGTATCCGAACGTCTGCGGTCCCTCCGGTGAGTACCGATCGCACAAGCATAGAAATTATTTTCATTTATTAATTTTTTTAATAAACGAAAATTTCCACCCAGGTGAGATTCGAACTCACGACCTTTAGGTTCAAAGGTAGGCGCTCTTACCACTGAGCCACAGAGGGGGTATTGACATTAATTTTAATTGACATTTCTAATCAATATAATACATAACGAATCGTAGAAAAAATATCCCCTAGAAATGTATTTATTTCTTCTTTGTTGTTTAATACAAGGTCACTTTAGTCGCTCATGCAAACTATAAATCTTGCAATACTAAATTTGTAACATGGAACAATATATTTGTCATTATAGTTAAACTATGAAATCTATTATGAAACTGCAAAACGCTGTCTATGTGCTATTTGTTTCGGCTGAGCGGTTTTTATGTCTTATAACGATTTTCTTACCATTCGAAGTGAAAATTTCAACCTCACAGAGCGATAATGACCCTTCAACGCCGACCAGCTGAAGAAACACATGTTGTCCTGTTAGCACTCGGGCACACGTGAAGGTTTTCGATACTCCTTCGTCTGAAAAATTATAAAAAATAAAATATAATAAATATATATTTATTAATTATTTTTATATAAGATATATTTTATATAAATAAATTTAGGCAAATTAACATGTGATTGAATAATTTTCGTCTCATTGTTGAGTACTTTTACAGTAAAAAAACCTACAATAGTAAATTTGTCTTTTATTTTTATTCGGTCTCTGTGTCTTTCTCTCAATTTCAAGTCATATGGCTCGCACACCTTATTATGGGAAAATTCATTCATTCTAGATAACTACAGTATCAAAAGGATTGAGAGTGTTCTTACAGATATACCGGGTGGTGAAACGCCAAACGGTCCATAGGAAATTCAATGGAAAATTCTAAATTGTTAAATTCCTGCTTCCCTAATTATTTTACATCAAAATTCATAGGAAACTATTTGTAAAGAACTAAAATATGTATTAAAAACAAATGTTAAAATTGTTCTACGAATTAAATGTATCCCAAAATTTTGTAAAAATATAATACATTTTTTAGGTCACCCCTTAAAGTCAGGCCACACAAGGTACAAGAATGTGTATGACGTGTTGCGTTTGGTCATATTTATGTTTTTACTATTTGACATTATTTGAATTGTCAATATTTTTAATTTGTGATTAAATCATACACAAATACTAAAATGCATAAGTTTTCACAAATACTACTACTAGTGAACAGTAACTAGTACTTTGTAAACAATAAATTATACTGTTTATAAAGCAATAAAATTGATAAAATGTAATCAGTTCACGAAAAATCGCAATAAGGCAATAGTGCGAGCACTGCCAGATCTTTATTTCACACAAGATATCATAATACACTCCATTTCAATTCCAGGTTATACAACAATCAAATAATTTCTATATAGTTTTACTGTGATCCTTCCTAATAATAATTTATATAATTTATGATAATTTCAACATAAAACTATAACAAATGTTCAAACAATAAGCCATTTTGTACTAAGCAGTATCCCACTCGATTGTAAAATTCTCGTCTAACATTAGCCAGAATGCGTGACGTTATTTTTGCACACTCTTCAATAATTCGCCTTTTTAAAGTTTCAATATCTGTAAATTTTTGGTCAGAATAGATTTTTGATTTTAAATGCCCCCAGATAAAATAATCGTTTGGAGCTAGATCTCCCGATCTCGGAGGCCACTTAATATTACAGTCAGGTCCAATCAAACAATTATTAAAGCTGTTTTTAAGGAATTCCTTAACCTCCCAGTTATTATGCGCATGGCAGCCATCCATTTGAAACCAAATTTTTTCTTCATCTGGAACTAATTCTGCAAGTCTATGTAAAATTTCTTCTTGTAGCAAGTCTAAAAACTTTTTTGAATTTAAATTTTCCTTATAGAAAAATGGTCCAATAATATTGTGTCTAAATATTCCTAACCAGACATTTATTTTTCGACGATATTGGGTATGGCTTTCAATAATATTCTCAGGCTTTTTTGTCGATCAAATCCTATAATTTTGAACATTTGGTTCATTATTTAATGTAAATGTACATTCATCACTAAACAAAATGTTTTTTAAAAATTGTCTGTCTGCATTAGCCCTCTCTAACATTTCATAACAAAATTCCGCTCGTCTTTCAGCATCTCCTTCTCTTAGTTCTTGATGACATTGGAATTTATAAGAACGGAATTTATTCCTTTTCAAAATTTTTAAAGCCGTAGAGTTATGAATATTTAACTGATCTGCAATGGTCCGAGAACTTATTCTAGGATTTTCTACAACTGCTGTTAATAGATACATTTATTTCATTTTGATTTTCTAAATTTTTTGGTTCTTCAGCAATATTGTTTGTACAGGTACAATTAGAAATCACGGTCCCAGTATTTTCAAACTTTTCTAAAATCCTTAGAATTGTTGAGTGACTTGGAATTGGTCTATTGGGATATCTTACGCTAAATAAAGAACTGACAATTCGCGCACTATTGCCAGAATAAAACATTTTTATTATTGCTACTTTCTCCTCGACTGAATACATTTTTTAATAAACTATGTTGTTTTTTAAACAATAAATCACTAAATTAAAATTTTGGCAATTCAAATAATGTCAAATATTAGAAACATAAATACGACCAAACGCAACATCTCATACACATTCTTGTACCTTGTGTGGTCTGACTTTAAGGGGTGGGCCTAAAAAATGGTTTATATTTTTACAAAATTTTGGGATACATTTAATTCGTAGAACGATTTTAACATTTGTTTTTAATACATATTTTAGTTCTTTACAAATAGTTTCCTATGAATTTTGTTGTAAAATAATTAGGGAAGCAGGAATTCAACAACTTAGAATTTCCCATTGAATTTCCTATGGACCGTTTGACGATTCACCACCCTGTATGTCGTCAGTAGTACAACGTTCTGAGTGGTCATATACAAATGTTTGTTAAAATGCAGCTATCTAATATTATTTAAAAAGTTCTTCGGAATGGTTCTTACGAAACAACTGTTTCCAATAGAGAAGAGGTTCAAAGAAGATAACCCTCAAGGATGAGGATTACCCGACAAGGTGAGGTTTTAAAGAAATTCCCTGGCAACCGAAGACGGCAGGTAGATTCATACACAGTCCTCTACACGTAATCGAGGAAGTAGGCAATCGGAGGTTCAGAGTCCAGATAGGAAAAGCCATATCTAAGTATGGAGCACAGAAAGCTGGAGTGGTACAGGGGGCAGTTTGGTCACCACTTCTGTACACAATCTACCGTGGCGACATCCCAAGAACACCTATAACTCTAATAAGCCTTTATGCAGACGATACAGCAGTAGAAGTTAAACACAGAAATATAAATATAGCTGTACGAAATCTACAGACGACATTGGATACCATGGAAGAATAGAGTATCCAATGGAAAATAGCAATAAATTTAGAGAATATCCAAGCGTTTATCTTCAAAAAGGGAAATAACCCAAAAGAACAGCCGACAGTATAAAACAAACCCATCAAATGTAAAAATAAAGCAAAGTATCTGGGAGTCACAATGGAACAAGCTCTAAAATTTGACCGTATGTTGATGCTACAGTGAAGAAATTAATAATGACCAGAGACGCAACAAGAGGATTCACAGGAAGAAGAAGTAAATTATCGAAAAAAACAAAACTAAGACTGATAAATAGCATACCAATACTACCAATAATTACATATACATCTCTCACGTGGAGATACATAAGTAAAAGTAACAAGCAGCCCACAATAACTGCCTTAGAGAAGCTGCTAATGTGCGTAGGTAAGGGTTTTAGCTCAGCTGCAATATAGCGCGTAGGTCATGAAGAAGTTCTTGTACTCAGGACTTTCATATGACAAGCATTTTCCTGATTTGCAGCCACTATAGTGCATCAGCGTACTGTCGGGTGGTGAAATGATGGTCTGGATCATTGGAGCGGGGTAGAGTGATTCCTGATTACTCGAATTAATTCTCCTCGCCCAATGAACTGTAGCACTCAAATGTCATTCTCAGTGGTGTGCAAGTGTCACAGGCTGCATTTAATTATATTGCTTGCTTGCTTGCCATCAAAGAAGAAACTAATTCTTCTTCTTCAAGTTCCACTCCTATCGGAGATTGGAAATCATTCTGGCAATTATAATTTTATTGGTTACTCGCCTGAATAGTTCAATTGAACTGCATCCAAACCACTCACGGAGATTGCGTAGCCACGAGATTTTACGTCTTCCTACGCTTCTTCTACCTTTGATTTTACCCTGCATTATATTCCTTAGTAGTTCGTACTTTTCACCTCTCATGATGTGCCCCAAGTATTCCAATTTCCTGATCTTTATGGAATTTAAAACTTCGCATTGTTTTCCTAGTTGTTCGAGAACTTGTTCGTTTGTTTTACGATCCATCCATGATATTTTCAAAATGCGTCGGTAACACCACATTTCGAATGCTTCTAGGTTTTTAATGTTGGATTTTTTAAGTGTCCAAGCTTCAACTCCATACAAAAGGGTAGAGAAAATATAACATCGCAGCATTCTTATCCGGAGCGATATATTGATATCGCGATTACAAAAAAGTTTTCTCATTCTATTAAAAGTTGACCGCGCAATTTCAATGCGGCATCTTATTTCTTTTGTCTGATCAGTATCTTCTGTGATCCATGCTCCAAGGTATTTGTAAGAAGATATTTGTTCAATTTCTGTATTATCTAGTACTAGCTTAACTTTGATGTTTTGTGCTTTTGTAAATACCATGAACTTGGTTTTCTTCAAAGAAACTAATATATAGGTACTATTTTGTTAATTTTGTATTTATAATAATTTTGTTGTATTTTAAAAAGAATTATCTAGGTTTAGATTCTCAACTATCACTAGTTATTCTGTGAGTACAGTATGGTTCCAATATAGCTCGTATTTGTCATTTTCAAGCACATAATGATAAATTTATAATACAGATGGTGGTTCATTTAAAGAAGGCTCAGTCTGTTGAGTAATTATTGATGAAATATCTTTTCTACTTGTCGTTCCGTTCTTTATAACTAGTTCCAACAAATGCCTGGAAATCCCGGTAAAATATTGAATAGTTTTTTAGGTTTGACATCCATGTCGAAAATTGCCGTTTTGCATTTTAAGTTTCTAATTTTGTCATTCCAGTATCTTTTTCCTTTTCTATGCTATGCTAAAATTTATGACCACCTTTCCTTCTCTAAACTTGCTCTATCACGTTATTAATGTCCATATTTATGATCTTTTGTTACTTGCGCTTTTTATGTATCATTTGATCTCATCAAATCGCATCATTTTTCTCTGCCAAGCTCGTATTCCCATATTCTTTATGTCTTTATCGATGTTACCAAGAAACCTTGTGGACTTCCTCTTCTTCTCTGACCAATGGGTCTATCAGGGAGCATTTTTCTAGCTGGGTCACTTTGTTCCATCCGCATTACATGCCCTATCCATCTCATACGTCCCATCTTAATATATTTTACGATATCTGCTTCCTGGTATATTCTATAAAGTTCTGTATCATTTTTTCCACACTCCATTGTCACTCACCGCTCCATAGATTTGCCTTAGTACTTTTCTTTCGAAAGATCCTATAATTAATTCTGTAGTATAGTATAGTATCAATAGAGGATGAAAACAAGGAGACAGCTGTCAACAGATTTATTCAACTTGGTACTAAAAAAGGTAATTAGAGGAGTCAAGATCCAGACAAGCGGGTCCAATTCTGGACAAAAGACAACAGTACATAGGTTTCGCAGATTACTCGGTGTTTCTGACACGTACAAGAATAGAACTTCGAAAAATATTCACAAAATTTGAAGAAGAAGGTAGAAAATATGGTCTGTCTCTAAATAAAAAAAATCAAGTGTATGGAAATGAAAAAGGAACACGCAGAAGCAAATAAATGGATTACTCTATGGACGAGTGGGATATTTGAGAAGGTAACAGAATTTAAGAACCTTGGAGTAAGAGTGACAAATAGAGAATGCGAAGAGAAAAAAATAGATAAACGGTTACTGATAGGTAGTAAAGCAATAGGATTGTTAAACGCACTGTAAAAGACAAAAAACGTGTCCAGGGCAGCCAAGATTCGATCTTATAAAACAATAGTGAGACCAATGGTGTTGTAGGCATGTGAAACTCGGACAATGAATGATAAAGAGGACAAAAACTAGAGATTTGAGAGAGGAAAATCTTGAGAAAATATTTTGGTGATTAAAGAACAAACCAGGAGCTGCAAAATAATACAATATTACAGAAAATCAAGACACAGAGAGCTAGATCGTTGGAATATTTTACAATATGGAGCATTTTCGATATGGTGATATAATGCTCAGTATATTTGTTTTAAAAATAAATATTTAAAACAAATATACCGATCCATTTAAAAAGAAAAGCTTTTAACCAGTGCGTTCTACCAGTCCTCACATACGGAGCAGAAACCTTAACTCTCACAAAAATATCAGCCGAAAAATTGAGAAGGACACAACCAAAGATGGAGAGATCAATGCTTGGAATAAGCTTAAGAAATAGAATAAGAAACGAGGAAGTTCATAGACGAACCGGAGTGGAAGACATTATCGAACATATTATAAGGCAAAAATGGAGATGGGCAGGACATGTTGCAAGAATGAAAGACGACAGTTGGACAAAAAATTGCTTGAGTGGAGACCACGGCCTGACAAGCGAAGTCGAGGAAGACCCCCCAACGCGATGTACCGACAACCTCAAACGAATCGTGACCAATTGTATAGCAGAGGCGCAGAACAGAAGCAGATGGAAAAATCTAGAGGTGGCCTATGTTCAACAATGGACAACTCAGGGCTGATTGATGATGATATAATGCTCTTTAGATTTATTAACTGTTAAATTTTTTACAAACTCTATTATTATTTTCTTCAAAAAAAAAACAATGAAAAAACTTACCAATTGTACCGGGAAACCAAGCGCATAGAGGATTCTTTTGTAAATCATTACTACTATTCCCCACTCTAATTTCCAGATCTTGGAGAGGTTGATGCCCGCAACAACCCCTGGTGGTAATTCTTATAACTTTAATAGGGTACGGCTTGAGTAAATCTACTTGCCACCAAGGACTAGTTTCTCTTTGAGTTTCCGAACATCTTTTGCCGTCGTGTTCAGTACTTTTATCACCGTCATTGGCATTCAATGCTGATCCTCCTTTGACTGTGGTTGATTGGTTGGAGGGACGTCGATAGGCCACATTGATTCCTAAAAGTAACAGAAATTATATATGATAGACAAATAAAAGCATACGATGTAATAATAATACTAATATTAAATATTTCTTGAGAAATAATTAGCAGAAGATTAAATATTAAACAACATGGCGCAAAACAAACAATATGAGATGAATATGTCAACAAAAGAAACAGAAATAATAAGTATAAGATAGCTCTGATGGGATTATGTAAAATAAATTTCATTCCATCCTCACAAATTACAGACACTTTATTTAGAGTATGGTAATTAAATACAAAAAAGATATTAGAATAGAGCATCTAAATCATCATAATATAGCATCATAAATCATAAGTATTTAATCAAAGCCAATGTCGCGTAGTTTTGTTGCGGTGTTCACTAGGTGTGTTATAAACGAGAGTGTTCTATCCACAGTGACGCCCAGGTATTTGGGGTTATAATGGTGCGTGAGCAGTTGGTTGTCAATGTACACCTTAAGTTGTGTGGGCCATTTTGTCATTTAGTTCAAACAGCTAACCTCCGTTAGGTTTAATTCTCCATTGAAAGTAGGTACAAACTACCCTATTTGTCTGTAGTGTTTCTTGGTGACCTAAATTATGTTTTTTCAATTGGCATTTCTTGAAGTAGCTTTGGGCCAATTTTGGGTGATTAGTCTTTCGAAGAGCTTATAATTCAAGCCAAGTAAAGCGATAACTTTCTGGCTTGTCGGTTAGTTATCTTGGTTCAAAGATGACTTTGATTTTTATTTGTTTGAAGAGGTTTAGTAGATTACCTGATTTATGTATGTTTATGTAAAATTTAGACAACCGGTTTTTGCAGATTTTTCACAATGGATCAGGAATTCAAAGGTTATGTAATCCGTGCCAGGTGCTTTGTCAGGTAATATCTTTGATAGTCTTTTGAATGTCTTCTGAAGTAATCCGTAGAAAGTATTCTGAAACTAAGGGTAGATAGCTTTAAAATATTTAAGTTCCAGTTTTATAATAGTGTTGTTACACTACTATATATGCGATACTTTTTATCGCATCCTCCTCTGGAGGTGGTATCTACCTCTCATAACATGTCCAAAGTATTTTAATTGTTGGAGATGGACTTTGTTAGAAAGCCGTTGGCTGATTTTTAGCTAATTTAAAATTTTGATGGTACACAAGGCAAATATCGAACACAGTATTTAATTAAATCTTGCCCAAGTACTTTCGATCACAAGATCATCCTCAGGGGCATTTCGTCAATTGTGGCCTATCCAGAAATAACCGAATGTCATACATGTAAACTGGGACATAACAAATACACTAAAGACAAACAAACACTTTAAAATTTAAATTGGAGAAGCTACATTTTTATATTATAGAAGCCGGAGACAGAATTATTCTGTCTCCGGCTTCTCCAATTTAAATTTTAAAGTGTTTGTTTGTCTTTAGTGTACTTGTTATGTCCCAGTTTATATGTATGACATTCGGTTATTGCTGGATAGGCCACAATTGACGAAATGCCCCTGAGGATGATCTTGTGATCGAAAGTACTTGGGCAAGATTTAATTAAATACTGTGTTCGATATTTGCCTTGTGTACCATCAAAGTTCATTTATTCGAACATTCAACCTTATATTCATTTAAAATTTGTAACATTCTTCTCCAACACGGAATGTCGGAAAGTACTCTTGTATAGTTTGGTAATGGACATCTTTCTCGGTTTTTGCCCACGAAACATAAATCTGGATTATCAACTTGTCTCCATACAGATGATATCAAAGTGCCCCGGTATTTGTCATCGAAGGCGTAATAGAGATAGTTACTCTCTAGTTACTCCTAAGTTTTCGTCATTAGTTCTGTATTTTTATTCTTGGTTATATCGGTCAAAATTATCTGAATTGTTGACTGGATGAGGCCTTACATCTATGACGTGGTTTGTCCATGTAATTTTGGGAGGTTAATAAACATTAGTGACCTCTATTTCTTCTATTTTGGTGACGACCGAATGTATATTATATTGTATGGTGGAGGAAATGAAGAGGGCGTTATCTACGAAGTTTTTTATGTAGATGGCGATGCCCTTAGCACAGTGTTAGCTTGATCCCAAGAGATCATAGCCTGGAATTCTGTCACTGCTTGCGAGTTATTGTTCGTTCGCAAAAGACACAATAAAACATATTATAATCATAAATCACCTTAACACAGAAACATTTCAACTTATAGTTCAAGCAGATGAAAAAATACAGTACACGATGAACAACATCGAAAGAAAAACTTGAAGATCCTGGAGAAAATACTCAAGAGCTAGATCAACTTGCCACAAAGTTAGCTACAGAAAAATGAAAGAACGATATTCGAAACAAGTAATTATATTAAATTAACTTTATGATTGAATGATTATTTTATTAGTGTATACTAATCCAACCATCACTGTGACAAATTTGCTTCCGTTGAACGCTTTAATAGTTTTAATTACAATAAGTTGTAAATAATTTAATTAATTTTATTTCGTTTCATGTAACCTATTTTGTCATGAACCATTATTTATCAAATTATTAAACATAAATATATTTTTTGCTTTTGTATCCTACTTATGTAACGGTTTTCTAACAACTTAATATCTTCCGCTAGATATTTAAGTAAAATCTCTGAATCGAATCACCGAGAAACTAGATCAAAATAAGTAAATGAAATATATTCTGCAAAAATTTGGAAATCCTCTAACTTATTTGCGAGTATGACAGTATCATTGGCATAACTTATGTTGTTTATACAGATTGAACCAAATTAAAACGGAACATACAATTTAATACACGTCTGTTTGAACTGCATTTGAAATAGTGGACCAATATAAAACTTGGACAAAAATAAATCCATACCTGGGTATAGACATTGTATAAAATATCGTTCAACTATCTGTCTCGCAACAAAGTTGTTTGCGTAAGACGGGTTTGTCTAAGGAGGCGATAATAGTTCAGGAAATGAAGTTCGAAAAAAGTTAAAACCTCGCAATTTTTTCTTCCTGCATGTATTCAGTTGAAATTTTGGCAGAAGGTAGGTAATAGCCCAAGGATCAAAATCTATATCGAACCGAAGTGCGCTGAAGGGTTTTAGGGGTGAAAACTACCCCTAATTGTCAAAAATTATAAAATAACATATTAAACCTGAATATGGGTAAGATTTGGTTTGAATTAGTTAAATAATGATTATTTTATACTTTTGAATAGAGTTCCATCATATTTCAACCCTTAAAAAGCAACCCTTGTTAGAGATTAATGTAAAAAATTACTAATTAAAAAAAAATGATTTCGCCTTGGATCGATTTGGATAAAAATTTGGATTTAAGCTCAATTCACCCGCTGCTTTATAGTTTATGTCATGTCAACGAACCCTGATTGTTCTTAGGGGTGAAAACTACCCCTAATTATCAAAAATTATAAAATAACATATTAAACCTGAATATGGGTAAAATTTGGTTTGAATTAATTAAATAATGATAGTTTCGTGCTTTTGAATAAAGTTCCATCATATTTCAACCCTTAAAAAGCGACCCTTATTAGAGATTAATATAAAAAAATTAGTAATGCGAAGAAAATGATTTCACCTTGGAACGATTTGCATAAAAATTTGGAATTAAGCTCAACTCACCCTCTGCTTTATAGTTTATGTCATGCCGATGAACCCTGATTGTTCTTAGGGGTGAAAACTACCCCTAATTTAAAAAAATTGTAGAATAATATTACAAATCTTAAGATGAGTGAAATTTGGTTTGGATTAGTTAAATAGTGAGTTTTTTATACTTTAAAATACAAATTCATACATTTTCAACCCTGAAAAATCAATTGTTATGAGTGCTATAGGTGAAAACAATTTTTTGCCAAAATTTTGCAACTGTTCAACTTTTGAAAATCACCCTTTACAACATTGCAGTTTTTATAAACTAATTTATAAGATATAAATTGAAAAAAGTAGAATTAAATACAAAAAAAATTATCAACATAAAAAGGCACCATATATTCTTATACATTTACATAAATAGTTGAAAATATTTACATTTATAGGTAAAACAATTATAATAATAATTTTATTCGTCATCAATTACATCTTCATCGTGATCTATGTCATCCTCATCTTCTTCAATTATTGGTGGACTGTTATTGCACCCTTCACCTGAGCACCCAGAACAAGTAGAGTTACAGTATAAACCAACTTTTCTGCACCCATATGAAACGCCGCATCCTTTTTTGCATTGGCAAAAAATAATTTTCAAAAATTTATTGGGTGCAGGTTGTTTGTTCATGCGTACGGGTAATAACAAACCATCTTTGGAATACCATCTCCAATCTGTTGCTCTGATATTTTCATTGCCAAGCCATAGACATATGAGCAGATGTTTTATTCTGTTGTATGGGATTTCAAAATAAGAACGCTTAAAATTTCGAATGTATAACGCCCCACTAGCTAATATACCGGTTTTGTAGATTATTATGCTCCGAAATGTACTGTACTATACTAATGGAATTTTCCGGAAAAAATTAACTGGTTTTTTTAACGTATTTCCTTTAATTTTTAACGATAGAGTGTTTCTTCAAAAACGATTTGTAGAGGTTTTTAATAGCTACAAGGATCTGTGAATTAAATCTTTTTGGAACCCTTAGTTTTTAAATGGGGTGAGTTTAAAGGGCTCGAAAAAGATGGTGTTTGATCGTAAATCGATGCTTTAAAACGGCTATATCTCGCCAAATATTCATTGTACAACAAATCTAAATAAAGGATAATTTTAGTCATTAAAAAAGCTACAATTTGGTAATTTTTATTTTTTTCATATATTCAGTATTTTCGGGCATATTTAAAAAAAGAAGGGTAAAAAATATGAAATTGTAGATCGTTTCTCGCTTTAAGCTGTACTTTTTCTAAAACTAAGCATTTTAAATGGGTCAAACTTCTTGGACGTATTAACAATACATCTACAAAATGAAAAAATGAATTGCAGAAGGGTGAAGATCGATTTTAATTATGGGGGTGGTTAGGGTGTTGTTTTCCTCGATTTTTTCGTAAAAAATGAGGTATTGACAATTTTTTATGATAGTTCTATTTATGCTCTTTAAAAAAGTTTTTTTTGGGAGTTTTCTTTAAAAAATGCATCATTTTCCCGATATTTGACTTTGAATCTTTCAAATTTGGCATTTGAAGAAAACCGCTGAACATTGATATTGTATTTGTAATTGTATTTGTCTTTTTAAAAGCTACCAATTTGTTCTCTACAATTTTTTTGATAAAATGCACCATTTTCGAGTTATTCGCGAAAAATCGATTAAAAACGTGGATTTTTTCGTCTAAAAGTTACTTTCAATCGCGAATAACTTGAAAAATATCATTTTATAAAAAAAATGTATAGCACATTTTTTGTTTAGAATCACTTTTCTAATCGAAACCTGTAGTTAAAACGTAAAAAAAATTTCACCCCGGAGATGGGGTGGCAACCACCCCCTAGGCTTTGGCACACTTTGGTTCGATATAGATTTTGATCCTTAGGCTATTACCTACCTTATGTTAAATTTCAAGTCAATCCACGCCGCACGAAAAAATTGCGAGGTGAAATGCTATATTTCCTGGACTATAACTGGTTTGACAGCATAATAAAATCGTAGATTTATGTGTAGCTTTCAATTTTTATGAGTTCAGAATCCAGCAGCCCGCTGAAGTATGGGATTTTTTATAATATAATTATTTGACAATCTTTTGTTGGCCAACCAGCTACAGCAGAATTGAGCCGAAATACATTATATTCCTATGTTCCGAATTTATTTCGTTCAATCTGTATGTGTTCCGTTTATTTTTATCCCTTTTCAGCATCATCAACCTGTATGGGCCCACTGCTATACATAGGTCTTCCGCAGCTCTTTCCATCTGTCTCTGTCTTGTGCGGCTTGCATTCAGTTACTGCTTATCCCCTTTACTTAGTTTCGAATTGCTATCTGGAATATCTCACTCATATAGACATTGAATATAAGGGGAGATAAAATACAGCACTGACGAACACCTAATGTGATTTCTATTTCTTGAATTATTCTTGATTTTTTAGCTAATGGTTTAAAGCAAATATAAGTCTTGATTGCTTCTGTTGCGATGCAAGAGCTTGTTATTTTTGCAACAGTTCGGTACCTAAACCGCAATGCTCAAGTTGTTGTTTTTCTTCTCGGAAACTGTGACATAATTCTTTCAGTTTTTGCATCTTCAAAAGGACTGTCTTCTAATCTCTCCAAAAGCGTACGATCTTCATGAGCGCTAGATATTTTTGGTCTTCCAAGACCTTGCTTTCTTTCGAGAGTTTCTTGTTCTCTCCATCTTTTATTAATATTAAAAACTGTTGTTCTGCTTACGTTAAAATGGTTCGTTCTGGCAGATAGTGAAAAACCATCTTCTAATTTCGATACAATTCTTGCTTTTATATAGATATAATTACATATCTTTTAAAATAGTGCTTAAATTTAAAAACTTAATATTTAACAATCAAGTACCTATTACCAATGTGCTGGATGTAAGAAGCCTCAGGGTTGTAGATGGAGATACAGACCATCACCTAGTAACAGCAAAAATCAGGTTGAGAATATCTTCAGAGAAATCTAAGGCTAACAAAGCATTGGGATAGTGGAATATCGAGAAAATGCAAAATGAGAAAATCCGAGAAAATTACAAACACGAAATTAAAGAAATTACGGAGTCAGCAGAACTAATAATAGGAAAAAGCAGGAAGAGAACAAGGAAATGGTTTGATAGAGAATGTCAAGAAAAACTACAGAAAGACAGATAAAGCGAAACATTATGCTTCAACAAGAAACAGCAGAATGTAAAGAAAATTATGTAACTTCACGCCGAGAAGCAAGAAAATTAATTAGAGAGAAAAGAAAAGAAGTACGAACAACAGAAATATGAAGAAATGGAAAGGAATAGGCATAGTCAAATAGTCGATCATTTTACAAATCAGTGGAAAGACGAAGAAAAACAAATTTTCATTTTTTCTATTCGAAAGTACCGTCTACCTATGACAATTGAAACTAAATGCAATTATTTTCTAGAAGATGTAAATTAATTTATCCACACTCTTTCTAATGACACTAATTTTTTTTTAAAATCGGTTGATCCAAACCAAAGTTATAGGTATTCTCCACAAATAGTTTCCCACTCTCCCACCCTTTATTTGAAAAAATATAAAAAGAAGTATTTGAACAACTTTGTGCGGAATTTAGGCCTCCTTCTAGTTTACTTGTTTAACACTTGGTATAATTGGGCATATTTCACAAAAAATTGGTTTTCAAAGTTTTCTTCACAGGTTACGCCCCCTAGCGGTTAATCCAGAAACTTGAAAGTTATTTCCAGCGATTTCTCTTGGCCACTTTTACTAAGGAATTTTTTCTCCTAAAGTTATAACATGAATAGTTTCTAATATATAGCCGAGAGATTAACTTATTGGACCACCCGGTACAGCCTCCACAATACTATTATGTAAATGTAAAAGCCTAAAACGAACATCAAAGTTTAGAATATATAAAACGGTGATTAGACCGGTACTCATGTATGAGTGTAAGACGTGGATCCTGACCAAAGAAACTGACAGAAAACTTAGATGTTTCGATAGGAAAATCCTCAGAAGAATCTTTGGGCCTTATCTCGACAATAATAGCAAACCAATACTGAATGAGAACAAATGCTGATGTCCAGCAGATGTATAGAGCAAGCGACATAGTCCAAGAGATTAAATCCCAACGTCTAAGATGGGCTAACCATGTCGATAGACTCCCTAATAAGTTAATATGGGAGGAAGCCCTCACAGGAAGAAGGTACTTAGGACGTCCACGAATACGATGGAGAGACAATATATGGTCAGATCTAAGTACAATGGGGCTACCCACTGACCCAACTATTATGGACGACCGTTCAAGATGGAAGCAAGTTGTACAGTAAGACAGAAACCAACCCGGGTTGTAGTGCTACGAGAAGAATAAGAAAAAGTATCTATTTCCTTCTTGAATTAATGAATAAAATAATTTGATTGTATTTAAAATATACACTACTCTTAAAATATACATGTTACTCGATATTGATATTTATTAAGTAAATTTAGTATAATACAAGATCCTGATTGATGATATAAACTTACCACAAAATGGTGGCTCTCCAGTCCACCGACCGGAAGCGGCACAGGTGGTTTTAGTTTCACCGAAGGTTTCGTATCCTTCGTCGCATTGATATGTTGCTACGGTACCTGGCATTAATTTTGGGGAACTTAACGTTACCCTTGAGTTTAAAGGAACTGGAGGGTGACCACATTTTATATCTGAAAATAAAGTGAAAGTAGTACATTGAAAATACTAAAGGATGTCTTTCTATATCAAATTAAATATTTTGTGTTCTTTATAATATATATAAGTATATATATACACATAATAATAAATAAAATTTTTAACCCATATCATCTTCGTGACTAAAAAATATAAAAGTAAAAGTGTAAGGAGAGGAACAAATAATCTTAATTATATATTTTAGGAATGTTTCCTTCCTCGTGGATGTAATAAACTTCCGTCTAAGACAGCATTCAATTACTAGCTCGTGTCATTGATAGTCAAACCAAATAGCTATCTCGATATAATTACACACGATTGCATCTTGGCACTCTCACTAGTTTTCTAATTACTTGGTCTCTACCACTGCAATTTCTCTACCTATTATTATGGTAAGTATTTACCGCAGGACTGGACTGACACAAACTATGTTGACATTACGAAAACCAGATTTTTAAATTATTGGAATTTAGTTTTAAATTGAATGGAGCAATTTCGTTTATATTCGTTTCAAGAAATTATGTTTTTTTTGTGTGTTTTGGCTTGGACAATTGTCATTCAGCCAGTCTCAATCAAGATAAGTTTATTAATGTAGTGTGTGTGTGTGTGTGTGTGTGTGTGTGTGTGTGTGTGTGTGTGTGTGTGTGTGTGTTTGTGTGGGTAGAGTAATTGTCTTGATACTTAGCAAAGTCGACGTCATTGTCTTTGCTAAGAGACGCTAATTGTATCCGAACGTCTGCGGTCCCTCCGGTGTGTACCGATCACACAAGGATAGAAATTATTTTCATTTATTAATTTTTTTAATAAACGAAAATTTCCACCCAGGTTGGATTCGAACTCACGACCTTTAGATTTAAAGGCAGGCGCTCTTACCACTGAGCCACAGAGGGGGTTTGAAGAAATTATGTTTTGCAGAGTAATAATAGCGTATAGCATGAAAATGCAGATAAATTTTTTAATCTTCTAGAAGAGGTTTATGATAAATAAAAAATCATTCATTTGCAAAATTTGTTTGCGAGGAAAAAGGCAAGTTGCTACACCTGACATCTGCTGAAAGTAGGTATTTCATTAAAATCGTTGCCTGTATGAATGCAACGGGAACCTTCGTTCCTCTTTTAGTAATTTTTTCACGAAAGAATTTGAGCGATCAACTGAAAAAAAACATATTTGCGGCTCATCCCTTAGGATGGATACAAAAAAATCTGCCTGCAATGTGGTTTCAACACTTTATAGCATTTATAAAACCTTCGAAAGAGACTCCTGACCTTCTCATCTTAGACGGACATTTCAGTCACACTCAAAATATTAACTTAATCGATTTGGCCAGACAAAACTATGTTTCAATGATATTACTTCCACCCCACTTATCATACAAAATACAACCACTTTACAGGACATTCATGAAACCTTTAAAAGTCAACTAAAGCGAAGAAATTCGACAATAATTACAATGGCTTCAGAGTTACTGGAATTTTTCCTATTAATGTACGTGAATCAACAACTTGCTCCAAATTCTACCATTTCTCAGGAACTAGATGAGCAGAGAGAGCTAACTTCAACTGAAACTGAATTAAATGGTGTTGAAGTTGATCTGACTTTACCATTAACAAGAGCATCTGATTTAGTTGTTCCGCCAAAGTCATTATTTCGTATTAACCCTATACCAAAATTTTACAAAAGAGCTTCTACTAGTGGAAGTAAAGCAACCAGTTCAGCAATTATAACTTCTTCTCGTTACAAATCGCAATTAGAAGAGGCTGTAATAATGAGAGAGGACAAAGTAACTAAGGCCAGTAAACAACCGTCACGTGGTAGACGTCGTGGATCAAAATATCTCCTGTTACAAAGAAGCTAAGAAAAATCTTAACTCATCTCTTAGAACTATATCCTCAGGTTTTTCTAAGTTAGAAGTAGAAGTCAAGACGACTTGATGCGGTGTATTTGATTTGCTGTGTGAGATTTTCAGATGACTATAAAGGACAGCGTTGGGTTAAATGCCTTATGTGTTCCCTCTGGGCTCATGTTGAGTGGGCAGGGGCAGAAGAAGACAACTATATATGTGACTCTCTCGTACTTGACTGTCAAATATTATATTTTAAATGTAAAATTAAAATTTTGTTCTTGTAAATTGTTATTGTTATTTTTAAGTTTTTTTTTTAATTTTCTCCAATATTTTTTTAGGGGTCCACATTAGGAAATCTTTCTTAAACTAACAAAAATGCAATGTTCCAAAAAATAATTTTTCTCGCCAAGAAAACCTAATACAAAAATAAAAATAAAATGGATAAAGAAATAATAAATAAGACTTACTCACAATCAATATAATTTAACTATCCAGACCACCGCTTTCGCTTTCTACAATATGCAAAGCATCTTGAGGTCTCGATACAAAGTTAAATAAATGCTGAAATAATAATAAACCCATATTAGGGTGTTGTCTAATAAAGATAAATAAAGTAGATGTTATAAATTACAGTAATTATGCCAATATAACATGTCTGTGGTTTTCGAAAATGAATAAAAGGAATAAAAAAGTATACAAAGTTTTAACAGACAAGCTAAGACCCACAAATTGTTATAAAATAGTCTATATAAATAAATGTTATAAAATAGTCACATTACACCTATCTCTACTTCATTATATCAAATCTATCTCCTCAAGAACTTCCCGTTTATTGTTAAACAACTACAATAGCAGACTTAAGTTTTCCATTCAACAATGATAGTTTTAACCATGTTCTACCATCCATCAATTAATAGAGTACCGACATATAAGTAATGTTTTATTTATTGGCTCATTTATTAATATTATTAATTTATTACAATCTATTAGACTATTTTATAACAATTTGTGGGTCTTACCTTGTCTGTTAAAACTTTTTATACTTTTTTATTCCTTTTATTTATTTTGGAAAACCACAGACATGTAATATTGGCATAATTACTGTAATTTATAACATCTACTTTGTTTATCTTTATTAGACAACACCCTAATATGGATTTATTATTATTTCAGCATTTATTTAACTTTGTATCGAGACCTGAAGATGCTTTGCATATTGTAGAAAGCGAAACCGGTCGTCTGGATAGTTAAATTAAATTTATTGTGAGTAAGTCTTATTTATTATTTCTTTACCTATTTGAAATGGACTCACACAAGCAACACATTCATGATTTTAAAAATAAAATGTTTTATTAATTTGTTTCAAATTTGAATTTTTAAAATACAAAGTGGTTTTAGGCAACTTCATCTAAGTAACTAATACAACTCAGGAATGATGTTAATATTATATTAATTCAATAAATACTTGAGGCATTTACAACCTTACTTTATATAAATTGAAGTTCAGTACAATTCATTATTATTTCCTAATGCACTTTTGTAAGACAATGGGCTTAATTCGATTCTGGTAAATATAAAATTCTCAAGACATACATTAGTAGTCTTTAGAACGCACTCAGACGTCATTATTTATTTTTCAGTTGATAAAGCCGTTATACCTTTGTGTTTTTACAAGAACTGGGACAAGAATACCTGACATTAATATTCTAGAAAGTAGATCTACTGATGACTATAGCCGATTAGGGGTAATTATGGACGTTGTTGCTTTATTATATGTTTACTTACATATGTACATGACAGACACTTTTACAATATCGCAAAGGTAACGTTGGAATATGTCCTCAAAAATCTTTCGGTAGAAAACTACATTTTAATGAATCATTCTCTCTCCTGTTGCCGACAAGAATGTAGCGTAGAATAATTTTAAACTGTTTGTCCTTGTTTTAGTGTAGTGTTATGTACAATTTATGTTTAATTTCATGTTTATTACATTCTGCGCTCGCTGGATAGCCCAAATTTGACGAAAGGCCCCTGATGATGCTGTAGAAAGCGAAAGTACTTGGGCAAGATTTGATTAATAAAATTGTGCTCGATATTTGTCTTTAATCAGTTTAAGGTTCGGTCTTAGGACCTCTTTTGTTTATTATTTATGTCAACGATTTGTCTAAATTCATATATCCGTACTAATCCATACAATTCGCAGACGATACGACATACGTTATGTCAGGAAAAAATAATGATGAACTAAAAATGTTTCATGAGGAAGTTTCTACTAAATCTAGCACATGGTTTGCTTCAAACAAACTAAAACTTATCTCTGATAAAACGCAACATTTGGTTATATCTACAAGTAATTTACATAATGATAGAGATAACAAAGAGACTGTTAAACTATTGGGAATAACCATACATAATCGACTGAACTGGTCAACTCATATCTCACAACTAAAGAAAAAGCTATTAAGTTCATTATTTGTTATTCGCCAATTAGCAAGGGTTGTCAACTTTGAAACATTAAAAATGACATATTTTTCTTTATTCTCACCTAAACTATGGTTTAATCATATGGGACATTTCTATAAATGCACTTCAAATTTTTAGAATGCAAAAGAAAGCATTTTAGCAGGGGTTAGTTATCTAGAACACTGCAGACCTTTCTTCAAATTCAAAATTATGCCGCTACCTAATCTGTTTACATTTCAAGTTCAAACTGAAATTCACAGAAAACATGTCCATTTAATAAAGCAGTCTGATAGACTCACAATACGCGAAACTGTCACAACCTACGATCAAATCGCTGTAGAGTAAGTCTCAGATAAAATTTGTTATAACTATTACATTATTACTCTGATGAGAACGTTTTTGCATATCTTAACTTAATGTACGACTACAATTTTGAATCTATGATCAACAAATACACTAGAATACAAGGTAAATCCAAAACCTGTCTGGATCATATATTTGTTAAAGTAATAAAACAGTGTAATCAAGATTATAAAGCAGCCGTTGTAGAAACTTGTATAACTGATCATAAAGCAACCGTTATATGTATGCCGCTCGATATAAAGCAAAATTTTAACAAAGTACCTAAGGAATATCAAGTAATAGACTACAAGAAATTAAATAATGATCTAAAAAATTACCACTGGAAAG